ATATTGGAAGATATTCTTGTGCTGCACCCAGATTTTGCCAGTGGAGGCTAATAGATCAGCATTAAGTATTTTGTTCTCTCCTATTTCCATGTATGACTGGCCATCCTGTGAGGTGAGGATGTTGGGTGAGCTTGTAGCTGGTTTTTGATCTACACTGTGTGGTCCTTTATACAGAATAGGGAAGCAGCACATTGCTGTGTATACCTAAACATGTTTAAAAATACATTGTTTGAGAGGAGTTTTGTAGAAACTGGTAAGAGTAATTATAATATAATGTTTCCATGATTCAGTGCTTACCTCTTGTGAAAATTGCTTAGAGTTGATTTGTTTTTTGTATTGAGGCTGGTATTTTCTAAATTGATTCCATGTACAGTATGTCTAACCATCCTGTGAGATGGGAGTATTAGATAAACTTATAGCTAGTTTTTTATCTACACTGTGTAATATTCCATATAGAATAGGGTAGCAGCACATTGCTGTGTATACCTAATCTTCTTAATAAAAAAAATCAGTAATAAAGATTTTAAATTATAGTTTGTATTATTACAAATACAGTACTGTATTATCCTTATTAAATCATGTTGACCATGGATCATTAAGATCTCATGTTGATATGTAATACAAGTCATATTTCTTTTGAACTGCTAATCCATGCTAATCATTCATTAAATTGTGCATTATGTCTCAATTTTTCACTTCCTTGGATATACTGTACAGTACAAAAAGATAGGATAAAAATAAACCAGTAATATTTCTTTCATTATATTTTTCATTTAAATAACTGCATCAATATTTTTACAGCTGACAGGATTTGTTTTCCCATACAGGTGCATTATTTGTTAAAAAAAATTTGGTTTATTGTTACACACAATGGTGCTACATAGCCTTCCCAGCTTGGTGCCTTCTTTTAATACTTACTGATTAAAAAATAAATAATAAATACATTTTATTCAGGAAAAGTACATACAGTTGATTTACAAACATAATGTTGGATTTATAGGCAGAGCTAGTACATACAATACCTAAAGCCACTAATACTCATAGCATTTCGGGCAAGGTGTGGGGGGAAAAAAAACACAGACTAAAACTTAATAGTAATCGGGATTAGGTATAAATTGTGTTGAAAGAAGGAATAAAAAATAAAAAAAGGGGGTTAACATAGCATAAATCAGCAATTGCACATGTTGGTGAACAGCGTTGTTTAAAAAATAGCAAGACATGGGTTGACATTTAGGAGGTAAGTTAGGTTACATGGAGTTAATTAGGCAGTACTTGGTTTAACTCTTAAACCGGTTGAGAGAGGTACAGCCTTTGACATGATTCGGGAAGTCATTCCACATTCTGGGTCCCTTGATTTGTAGAGCACTTCTAGTTTGGTTACACACAGCCAAATTGAGTAACAGGAAGAGGTCTTGGACACAAATTTGTTCCATGCTAAATGTAGAGGAATCAGCTGAGTATTCCTCAAATAAAATAAGTTGCCTCAGCTTATAAGGTAAATAAAATAAGCATTTCTCAAATAAGTAGCTGCCTCACCTCACTGCCTTACTGCTACATAGCCTTCCCGGCATGGTGCCTTCTTTTGATAATTACTTGTTCCACACCCAAATTGTATAACAGGAAGAGGTCTTGGACCCCTACTTCCCTCTCTCTTTTTTAATAATCTAGTCATAATTATAGCTTTAAGTATTCAATGAATAAAGTTTTTGACATTTTTACCCTTTTCCTTACCTAACATCATTTGTGCAGCATATTTTTATTTTATGTCTCACCCAGATTTAATTTTAAAATAAAACCAAACTAAATAAATTAGAAATGGGTATGTATAGCTAAGGTACACCCTTACTACTAGGTGAACAGGGGCATTTGGTGATAGTAAATGATCCCATCAGGCAGGGCTCATCACCTTCTCTCATATTTCATGTTCACCAGTGTTTATTTACTTAATAACTACTGGTATAATATCTTGCTATTATAAAACTAATTCTACTATCATCAAATACATATTTACTTCAAGTTTCAAGCAGAGAATGCATATATAACTAACACGAAGGATTCCTCTTCACTAGATTTATCAGCTATAATATTTTGGTCATGTTCCAATATCATAAATCGATCCCAGTGTTATGTAGTAGAGAAAAAATGACTTATATCCAGTTTACGTAAAGCTACGAGTGGTCGAAACCACACTTAGATCCCGGAATGAACTTGCGAAGGTTTTTCCACTTAGGGTAGTTAATTGAATACGGACGTAGCTGCCACGAAGGCGCTAAGACGGAAAACGCTCTTAGCTAAGAGGAAAAACCTTCGTAAGTACCTTCCTGAATCCGGCCCCTGACCCCTCCACCCCCAGGAATGTTCACCCAACCCCTCCACCCCCAGGAATGTTAACCTGACCCCTCCACCCCCAGGAATGTTCACCCAACCCCTCCACCCCCAGGAGTGTTCACCCGATTCCTCCACCCCCAGGAATGTTCACCCAACCCCTCCACCCCCAGGAATGTTCACCCGATTCCTCCACCCCCAGGAATGTTCACCTGACCCCTCCACCCCCAGGAATGTTCACCTGACCCCTCCACCCCCAGGAATGTTCACCTGACCCCTCCACCCCCAGGAATGTTCACCTGACCCCTCCACCCCCAGGAATATTCACCCTCCCCTCTCCCCGAATATTCACCCGACTCCACCTTGTAACATCTAAATACCGCCTTTCGTATTTGGTGTTGGGTTAGTGTAGTAACTTGGGGATGTGATGCCACCCGTCACATCACCAAGTTGCACTGAATTCTCAAGTCATGTCCGGGGTATATATTGGTAACAGGAGGCTTGTGCAAGTAATTATTAAAAGAAGGCACCAAACCGGAAAGGCTATGTAGCACCATCAAATGTGCGGAATAATCAGAGGGCACTAAATATCACCAAGGATGTCAATATGAGAACAGAAATGCATAAGGCAAACAATATCAAAAGTATCCGATTCACCAAGAATTCTATCGAGGGACAAGTGACCAAGAGGGACAGTCGGAAAGCAAGACACACGCTTGTCCTGTAAGTCAGGACATTCAACAAGGATATGCACAACCGTAAAAGGGACAATGCAATTTGGACAATAGGGAGCAGGGCGGCGCTCCATTAAGTGACCGTAAGTTAAGCGTGTATGGCCAATACACAACCTCGCCAGAGCCGTTTCCCATTGCTGGTTACGGTGGTAGGAAGGACACAGGGACACACTACTCTTAAGAGTACGCAGTTTGTTACCAACAACCCTGCCAACGGGCAAGGATGGAGGAATGAATAACTGGGTAAAAGTCGGAATAAGGCTACATTGATTTATTGTGCAAGCTTGTTGATAGCTTGGAATGTAATTGGTCAGCAACTTGTACAAAGATCAGCCAACTTGTGTTAGACAAGACTACCATGCAAGCCACCCTTTATTTATACGTATTAAGGTTTCAGGCAAAACATTACTCGGTGTTGGCTATGGGAAGGGGGAGGGGCATGGTAATTAAAACTGTATTTCCTAAAGTCAAACTCTTGACCCTTTGACCGTTTATCAAACCAGGGAATGGGGAAGGAGAAAGAGAAGATAAAGGAATCAGGAGGAAAGGGAACAAAAAAAATAAAATTAGAGAGATTAACTAGCACATACACACACAGTTTACTGTCCATATGATCCTTCCGAGAAACGCCTGCACTAGTCTCCTCGACTGGTAGCACTGCAATTTGTTTACGATTTAGATGGACTAACCCTGACTCTACTAACACCGAGAAGAGAGGGGAGGTAAAAGTTAGGTATATGGGGGGGGGGGAAGGAAAATAGACTTTCCCCTACTGTTACAACTCCCTTTCCCCAAAATTAAGACAAAATTGCATATATGAACAATTTAGCCTGATTGTCTTATTCAAACTTGTCCATACCCCAATAGTGTTCACCTGACCTTCCACACCCCTACCCCAGTAGTGTTCACCTGACCCTTCACACCCCTACCCCAGTAGTGTTCACCTGACCCTCCACACCCTTACCCCAGTAGTGTTCACCTGACCCTCCACACCCCTACCCCAGTAGTGTTCACCTGACCCTTCACACCCCTACCCCAGTAGTGTTCACCTGACCCTCCACACCCTTACCCCAGTAGTGTTCACCTGACCCTCCACACCCCTACCCCAGTAGTGTTCACCTGACCCTCCACACCCCTACCCCAGTAGTGTTCACCTGACCCTCCACACCCCTACCCCAGTAGTGTTCACCTGACCCTCCACACCCTTACCCCAGTAGTGTTCACCTGACCCTCCACACCCTTACCCCTAAGAGAATAAGAAAAACAATAAGACCTGGGAGTAGACACGGAGACCAGAAGTTCATGTGAACAGGATAACAGCAGCATATAGGAAGTTAGCAAACAAAAGCTCATTCAAGAATATAAACATGGATGCCTTCCAGTCCATACACACTGAGAAAGGGTGTATAGGTTGGGGGAGGGGTGCATGGAGTGGGTGTGGGGAGGGACACAGGTAGTGATGGGTTAGGTGGTGGTGTTGGTAGGCAGATTAGGAGGGTGTTTTAGTAAGGGGGAAGAGGATTGGAGAGTGAGAGGAAAGGGCCTAATTGGATGGGGTCCTTGAACACTTTTCTTCACACCCACTCCATTTCCATCTGCACCAATGGGTCCAAGTCTGCAGACGGTGTTGGCTACTCTGTTGTTTTCCCTAACCACACGTGTGTCACCTACCTCTGGAAACTAGCATCTTCACAGCAGAGCTTTATGCTATTCTCTATGCTCTTCTCAGTCATTGAAAGAATACTCTTCACACAAACTGCACATAGTACTATGAAAAAGGTGTGGGTTAGGAGAGGGGCTCGAGCAGTGTGGAGAATGTGAGGGAAGTAAAACACAAGAGTGAACGGTGCAGTGTTGTGAGAGGGGCCTGGTGGTGGAAGTGGTGTCATGAGGGAAGGGCATTGCAGGACAACTCTTGAAAGGAAGATTTAAAATGACTACTGTGCTCTAAATTTATTTTAAAGAGTTTATAAAATCAAATTTCACCCCAGTGCCAATAGTTCAAACAAAATACAGTACACCAATGTTAAACTATTATTATAACTTTTAAATAATGCATTTGTAACTCCTTTCATGTCAAATTGTTCACTATTGTTCCTAGAGTTGTTTAATATCCAAATATGTAACATTTTACTAACAAAGAATTTTAGTGGAACCAGTAATGATCTATCTCCAAGCCAAAATAAAATAAACTACTTACTAATAAACTTTTAACAAAACAACCTACATACAGAAGCTTTATCAATAATGTAGCAACATGCCAAATACTCTACAGAGATAACTGTTATAGTACAAATAGTACAGATCAAAGCTTCTGCTTTTATCACATTTATTACACATCAATATGTATCGTATAAAATACTGTTCTCAAACTAAAGTAACTTTGATGCATGGACACTAATTTAAATAACCTTTAGTTTAAATACTTTGCAAGTCATATTCTGAGAATAAGAAAAGATTTTGTATAAACAGAAGTGCACTTAAGTACAAAGTGACTAACTTCACTTTTATTGACCTGTTCCCTCATTTAAATTAAAAGTAATGTTAATCTGCCAATACATTTTATAGCAAAGCATTTAATTTCAAAAAAATAATAGAGAAATTTCCACTTCTAAAGAACATTGGAGGAACTGACTATTGGACTAGTAAAGGAGACAAACATTCAACACACAAGGACACACATGTCAGATAACTATGTTGATTCTGAGTAATGACACTACCAGACAGTATCACCTGCTTGATATTCTAGTTTAACCTGAAGTTACAACTAAACTGTGAAAGGCCTAAGACATAGGTGAGAAGCATTTAATTATCTTTACTAATCACAACTATTAAGAACCGAGTTAATACAGTACTGCATATTCTGCTTGTAAACAAAAATGCATTGGTACATTTATAATTTATTAATCTATATTGATACTACATTTCCTTGGGATATTTGCCTCTGAGGTCACTAGTACATTTTAAATTCACTAGCTAAATTAACGTTTAAAGTTATATTACTCAAGCTTGAGTCATTAGTGAACATGGTTCTGTCTCAACATACCTTATATTATCCAATGAACAGGGTTTTTCCATAGGACATTTACAATGGTATATATTCAGTGGCATTAACAATAGTTCTTTATATATAATGGTTATACCGCTACAAATACTTTAAATTTTCATACGACAAAACATGTCTTGGGTTTCTACACCTGGAACCACTAGTATCACGGCAAACTCAGTAGAAGCTCCGTTAAGAACTCGTCTGGGTTTTCAATCTCATGAAGTAAACCTATAGAGAAATTAAATTTATTAAAAAAAATTATAACTAAGCAAAATTAAAATACAGGGTAATGACTTTATTGTATTCTGAACAGTTGAGATGGTTTTCTAAATTACCATAACTATATACTGTTTTAAGACTTCAGTAGAAATAATGTCTTAATGGATTCAGTGGTAGTCAATATAGAAAAAATTGTTCCATCATTTTTTTTTTAAACAACAGCTACTGAATGTAGCATTCTTTACTGCACTGAAGCTGTGGATTCAATGCATGAGGTTACTCAGCACAAACCATAAGGTTACTCAGTACTAGGGTAAAATACAAAATGGGTGGCATTTTACAGCTGGTACAGGAAATTGTTCACAAAAATTTATTAACTAGTTTTACTTCATTTCAAAGTAAGCAAGCAATTATCAAAAGAAGGCACCAATACTTAATTTCAAAGATATTCAATAGATATATGCTGAAACCCACAACCCATCCTCACAGCTGCAAACCTTCAGTAAACAGCGAGTCTACATAACTTGGCTGAAGATATGGTGTCAAAACCACACAACAGTAAATAAACAAACAAATGTTTTGGTCCGTCCTGGGCCATCATCAAGTGGTGTAATGAAAGCGTGAAAGAGAATACAAGGGGAGTGAGCGAGATGAAAGATGGCATGAATGAAGGAGGAAGATGAAAAGATGAGATAAAAGGTAAACTAAAGAGAAAAGGTAAAACTAATAGAAAAAAGAATCAATTAAGGAAAGGTTAGAAGTAAGGGTAGGATGAAGAATAGGTAAAGGAATGGGTATACAGTATAAAAGAAAGTTTATAAATAAAGAAAAGACTACAGGAAGCTAAGTCAAAGAATAAATGAAGTAATAAAAGAGACAAACAGCCCAGAGAGGACAAAGCTAAGTCAGATCACATTTGGTAAGAAAGTTAGAGCATTAAAGTATGTACTATACTGTGAAAGGAAAGTCAACTGCAACAAAGCCAGGACTAAGGTTCAGGTTGGGCAGGGTGTGTATCAGAGTCGACTATATGATGGTGTCTGAAGAGTATAGGCAAGAAAGATCATTTTAGAAGACCAATCTATAGGATGATTAGAGTCCCTTACATGACAGAAGAGAGAATTATTTGTGCAGATGTAACACTTCTTTCATGTTCTTTAATTAAGTCTGTCATTCAGTGTACAGCCAATTTCACCAAAGTATTTTAGAGAAGACAAACAGGAAACAAGTAGACACCAGCATAAGTGTGAACCAGATTACTACGAGGCGTGTTACTTTGTCGAAAGACGAGTGTCCTCACCACGAGGACGAAGGATATTAGCGAGTTCAGATATGAAGGGAAGGCACAGCCCTGTGTTACTAGTATTAGAAAGAGGTTTGGGATGAAAAATTTCTTTTAGAACATTCCCCTCTTGGTTAATACACTGACTCAAACCTCAACTTGGCCAACTCAAATGAGAGAGAATGGAATTCCAGTTAGCTTACAGATGTTTGATAAAATGATTGCACACTGCCATTTTGCTTTCACTCTGAATGTACAAGTGTGTGCCAAGCTGAGTGCACTCACTCTAGCTTTCTTAATATGGGAGCTAGGCTTGTCTTGTTGGGTATCTACGAGGAGCAGACACCCTTGGCTGTACAGTAAGACTATGGAGGGCACCATAATCTTTCTATAAAAGAAATTACAGCCATTAATATAGTTTTAACCTTAAGTTGATACCTGGTTGATACCCGATTGATGGGGTTCTGGGAGTTGTTCTACTCCCCAAGCCCGGCCCAAGACCAGGATTGACTTGTGAGAGTTTGGTCCACTAGTCTGTTGCTTGGAGCGGCCCGCAGGCCCATATATCCACCACAGCCCAGTTGGTCCGGCACTCCTTGGAGGAAAATCTAGTTTCCTCTTGAAGATGTCCACGGTTGTTCCGGCAATATTTCTTATGCTCGCTGTGAGGGTGTTGAACAACCGTGGCCCTCTGATGTTTATACAGTGTTCTCTGATGACTTGTTACTTTGAGTTACTTGGAAGTAAGTAATTATCAAAAAGAACGCACCAAACCGGGAGAGTTACTTGGAAACAGTACCAGAAGCGAGAGGGAATTTTGGCCAGGAAAGCCTAACTGTTCCTTCGCTCATGTAATCATCACCAGTGAGCTGTGATGTCATGGGAGTCATATGATTAAGGAACAAGAGCCTATTGGGGGGAGGCACCAGTAGGCCTCCAAGATGCTGTTGCACGATTGGCTAATTTTGAAGAACAAGGGGGAGAGAGTCGGGTAGGCCTGGGGCCAGCCGGCTTCCCACCCTTGTGCGAGCATTCCGAAAGCTAGAGTGACTGTTTGGAAGCCGAATCCGTGGCTCTGGCTAAAGTCACGGAATTCACCGTTTAACATGACGTCATAAGCCCAGTATATATCAATCACATCTACGCGATTCCTTCAAGTCAGAATCCGGTTCTGCAACAACACGTCTAAAAATAATAATTTAGTCCCCCATATCTCACTGCCAATTAATGTAGTGGTGCTTTGCAATTCCTGGAGCTGCTGGATTCGAACCAGTTTCATAGGCACTAACATTTAATTTTGGTGTGAGATCCCATTGAGCTACCCTTTTGATTGCCATCAGCATTTAAGGAGCTCCACGACCTAGTGGATAAAGAGTGCCAAGGATTTGGACTCTGGCAGCTGCTCTCGCCATTTATTTCAGTTTTAAAGTATAATCTCACATCTGGCATTTAACATGCTGGCTTGTGCAGATCTTTGACTGAGGACACTTGTACTAGTGTCTAACCCCAATAAACAATCTCACAACAAATATATCAGATACTTTGCCTGACATAATAGTGAAAAAAGGTGATGAAATGTACCTTAAGAAATTTGTGAGAAAGGCCAATATAACAGGCTTGCTTCCATTCCTTTTGAACTGAACATTACTTACCTACAACATCACAAAATTCCATGAAAGAGGAAATGGGAAGAAGTTCTTCCTGGTAGTTAGTAAGAAGTTTGGAGGCAGCTTCAACCAGCACTTGGTCATTGTGACGAACAAACTCTGCCACTGTTACACTCCATTCACCTTCACCACTTGCCTTCTGCAAACACACAAAAATTAATACGTCTGAATCTTATTATTGGATTTAAAGACATCATTGAATTTGTACAATCATTGGATTTATTAAATAATTCTGAAAACCAGTTTCCATTAAACAACACATAGTATTGGATATTGTTCCAATATTCTCCTGCCCCTCCCCTTCCCCCACATTTTTTTTACTATAGATATTGCTATATTGTGACAAAGCAATATGGAGGAGGAGGATTCAAGATATGAAAATTCTAAAATAATCAATACATAGCAAAGATTAAAAGCACTTTGATAAACTTTAAGACTTTCCTCAGAGTTCATAACTGACATAAGTATTGTACTCTGTACTCAGTAGATCAAGCATAATGCATCTGTTGAAACCTCAATTTCAGCCAAATCAACCTCCTTGCTCAACACCACTATACAACCCTGACAGCATTCAGTGACCACACATGGAGCAAACCTTGACCCTTGGCGAGAGCCCTTATATTATTGTGTTTATTTTCTAACCTTAAACATTTTGCAAAGGTAGGAAGAGTTAACCCCACATTAAATTAAAACAACTTGTGTGTCACTAGAAATACAAGGTCACGGTCACTATATGGCTTTTTAAATTCAATATTACTCAATGAATGAAAACTAAAAATTTTCTAGGCAAATTAAACACATGAATAATAAAATGTCATGAAAACAAATCTTGTGCTGTGAGGTGATGTATGAAGAAGGTACGGACGGACCAGCGGGTGAATGCTTGGAGGAGACCGAGCCGTGTATATAGTAAGAATGAGACGAGCAGAAAAAAAAAAAAAAGATAAAACAAGGCGAGAAGGTAAAAATGTAGGAGATTAAGGAAGATTTTAGGCTTAACTTAATGAATGTAGAATGGCACACAAAAATATTCATGCAAGAGAACTTTACTGATGAAAGTAACTTGCCCTATAATTGAACAACACTAAGAAATTATAAAAACTCTCAAATAGAAGAGCACTAACCTTAAAGAACATGTTATAAATTCCATCTACAAGGGCCCAAAATATAGCAGCATGTTTATATGCTGCCCAATCCTTTGTTGCTTTGTCCGTTATCCTGTTCCCTTGAGGTGGATGAGGCGAGACAGAACGAGCGTGTGCAACAACCAGCAGTCGTTGAAGGTATGTAATCCGAACTGCCGTCCATTGGGCTGGCGAATAAACTGCTAAGGACAGGACACCCATGTAAAACACTCCCTCTGCCTCATATGCTACTTCTACCCACCGCTCCCGTCCAGCTTCAAGGAACGTGTTGAGTTTTTTCTCTTCCCGGCTTGCAGAACGTGTTCTATTGTGAAAATAATGGATTCAGAAGACTGCCATAAAAGGTATCGGATTAAAAATTTAACTATGCAAGCATCAGCCAGATATTAAAAATGGGGCAAGGATTAAACTTTCACAATCCTGGTCAAAACTCTACAACCCTAACCTTTAAGAGAGCAACCAAATGTGTTGGATAATTAGTACTATGGTATTATAAAACACACACACATCACAAACATCTCAGTCTGGATACTGCAGACAAGAAAATAGCCTCTACCACAGTAAACGACCAGACTACCACCTACTTTGGAACACAAACATTTTCTTTTCATAGAATGTTTACCAATTTAAACAAAAAATTAAAATATATCTTTCTACTTTTTCTCTTCTATGTTCCACATTTTTGCTTTTCAGTAAAAGCCAATCAAACATACTTCATTTAAAAGCATTAAAATTTAAGGTCAAATAAGCATTTGGGAAAAAGAAGGACTACATTAGCATGAACAGTATGTCAATTCTAGAAAATGGTGGTTGCTGCTTCTGGAACCATTTCTTTTAGTGCAATCATTCATTTAGCCATTTTAAAATCTGGATGCTTCCTTAGGCAAGATCTTTACTTTACTTTTACACTGCAGCCTTTTTCCTTAAGTAAGGTGTGATACGCCATACACAGTTTTAAATGTAGATATGCCCAAGTCAAACATGCTTGTAAAAAATTACACTGGTTGCTTGAAGGTTGAGAGGAGAGACCAGAGCTGAAGCTGAACCTCTCCTTCCCCACCCTCCAAGCACAATTAGGCAAGCATAGGAAAATATGAAATTTAAAAAGATAAAGATAAAAATTTAATATTTAGTAAAAAATAATTAACACTGTCTATAAACAGGTCAAAATATTCATCCAAAGAATTAACTTACGTATTGATGACATAGAGCGCCATGTGCAAGATATATGGGATTAAATTCATGTTCGATTGCCGACCACCTCCGCCCGTGTCATCACTGAAGGATTTTTCATTGGCAAACCTTAACAACAATAGTTTCAAGTCATGAAGAGTGGACGAATAGCTGATATCTCTGAAAGTAAAAAAAGTTAAATTTGGGAGATTGTGGAGAATTAGGCATAATGTACTACTACATAATTTTGTAATGATTTCTGTATCTATGAAATGCTCCTACATGTTTGATCAAAACTAGAAATCATAGTACAGTAAAAAAAAAAAAAAAAAAAATTGAAGGCTAAAACCCATTACGAATATCAGTATTATACATAAAATACAAGGTCCACAGCATATAGTCACTAGATCTCCGAGCACAAGTTGTCTAGTGAACAAGCATCCATGATGGGGACTGGGAAAAAAAAAAAAATATTGGCCATGTGCACAGAAAAACATTGAAATCGAGATTATAAGATAATGAGTTAACTTTTAAGAGAACATTCTATATCACACTACATGATGCCATGACATTTATGTTGATATCTGTGTGGAATGGTATAAACATTGGGTAGGACATTGCCTTGACCCCATGTTTTCCCCTTCTCTCTGAACTCTGTTTTAGCTCACAGTAAATTTTAACTAAAATATCTAAACATTGAATCAATTGCCATACCAATATTTTAAGGCATTCAGAAAATTTCCAGACAAACTTTTACATTTCTCAAATTTCATATTTTGCCAGGTATAGTGAGGCCATAACATTATTCTAATGTATTAAATATTAATGTTATATATGACATTTCATGGTGCTGTGTTCAGTGGTTAATAGTATCGTTTTAAAAACTCGTTGCTGGTACAGTATTATCAAACAAGAATCAGAGCCAATACAATTTTACCCAAGTGGGAGTGTTGGCAAGTTTGTTGTTAAAGGTACACAGTGTTGTGGTTTTAGATTTAGCTACTCGAAACAAAATATCCATGTAGCACGGGCTATGGTGAGCCCGTAACTGTAAGACAACTGTTGTTGTTGTTGTTGTTTAAGATTCAGCTTCTAGGAACAAAGTTCCAAGTAGCACGGGCTATGGCGAACCTGTAGTAGACTTACCTGGCACACAAGCGGGGCTGTAACTTGTGATGTGTGGGGGAGGGCAACAGTGGGTGGCAGGTGTGGATATACAGGTGTGGAAACCTGACATAAGAAATATTGCCGGAACAACAGTGGACATCTTCAAGAGAAGACTAGACTGTTTTCTAAAAATAGTTCCGAACCAACCGGGCTGTGGTGGGTATGTGGGTCTGCGGGCCGCTCCAAGCAACAGCCTGGTGGACCAAACTCTCAAGTCAAGCCTGGCCTAGCGAGGCCGGGCTTGGGGAGAAGAATTCCTAGAGCCCCATCAAGCAGGTATCAAGCAGGTACGCAAGATTTAAACAGTCAACACAGATACACGGGGTTCACCTCGCCTTCATCATGGCTCTTGTAAACAGACGCCATATTTTTTTTTTAGATTGTGGGCAACATTCCCGGGTGTGAGGGCCTCAATACTGAGTGAGCCACCAAGGCTGGCACATGCAGCACGAGCTCACAGCACTGCTGTTCAGCTTGTGACCACAGCCTAAAAATGTCAAAATATATATGTACATGCTATTATTTAGCAATGATATTACAGAAGACCCCTGACTGTGATAAAAATGACCAGGATTCTGATAATAGCAGGATTGTTGTGATAATTAGCACTGTAGTGGGAGGAGTAATCATGGTGGGGAGGGAGGTAGTGTTGTCTGCTGACTATGTGACCACCTTTTACTGTCTGGACTCACTATACCAGCTTAGTTGTTCGCTATGGTGAACAAAACATGCAGATATTTATATATAACGTCTGTATATAGTTAATAAGAGCAAAAACAGTAAGGTGGGAGAAGAATGTTGGCAAGTCAGGTGAGGTGAGGTGGCAGGCTGCCACTCAGCATACAGTTATGATGAACAACACATGCAGATACTTGTATATAACCTGTGTATATAGTGTAATAACAGACAAAGCATTTGTTTATTGTTTTATGAACACAATAATTGAATCAATAATATGCACACCATAATTTTGAGTACAGCAAAGAATCACACATTTTATTATATAAATATATCACACTACACACTATTGAATAATATTACAGAAAAAAAATCAGACATTAAAATAATTAGGTAATAATATCCGTGTCAACGCCCGCCTGACAGCTGAAGCGGAGCAGAACTTTCCCGTTGCTTGTAGAGTCGGCGCCTCTTTTTTTTTTTTTTTTGTCAGATTTCCCCGCCCTATTGCGGCCAAAATATGCCACTTACGATTTTTTTATTTTTTTTCCCCATGATCAGGGAACACAAATTAACGGGTTTATAAGAGATTTTTTTTTTTTTTTATGCGCCTGTGGGTGACAAAGGCCAAATAGCCCAGAGCAGCCTTAAGGGTTAAGGGACAACCATGCAAAGCTTACATCCTGCTTACCTGCACTTGTATTGCAACGACTACTGGGAATACAAGTGCAGGGAAGCAGGATGGATCCTTTGCACGGGTAACAGTGGGTGGCAGGTGTGGACATACTGTAGACCAAACCACACACTAGAAAGTGGAGGGACGACGACGTTTCGATCCGTCATGGACCATTCTCAAGTCTATCTGGATATGCTGTAGGTGGGGTGAGGGGCAACAGTGGGTAGCAGATGTGAATATACTGTAGGTGGGAGCACAATTTCCTAGTTCGTCCAAGGCAGATGCTGCTGCACTTCTTGGGTCATTACAGCTTTAGTCTTAAATAATTATAGGTTAGGTATAAAGGTGTAAAGAAGCTGTTGCAAAGGAAACCCGACATTAAAAAAAATTGGTAGAATGCAAGGACTGCAGTACAAATAAGGCGTGCTTCACTTGAATTTGGAATACAGTACGTGAACAGCTTGACAAGTTTCTAAATAGAGCCAAACAATACAAAGAAATGACATAATGGCCGTAAATACATTTACAAGAAACTAAAGCAAGACATGTTACAGACCTGTGAGTGGTGCACTCCTGCAGATATGTGTTATGCCGTGCTAGACATGACGCAAATGCGGACTCTGGAACTTGTGGGCCCCAGAGAGGAAGGAGGCCATTTGCCCTCGTGTTGGCATTATGCAATGCAGCGCTCTCCCATTCATCTCGTGATCGGGAAGAATGGGAAGATCTGAAAAATTAAAATAATGATAAAATTTGATTGTATTCAGCATACCTGTTATTAAAATAATTTCATCCTAAATATTTATATTTTGGGGTCAATATACATGTTAATTTCTAACCATACAAACCTTACTGCTGCAAGATGGCAATCGACATGCACAACATTGAAATGTGAAACTGTGCAATAGCCGAGTGTTTTGTGTGGCTTGTTCTCAAATTCATCCACCACGCAACGTTTGCTGAAGGTATACACAGCCAAAACTTTCTGGGGTTGACACCGATACCCTTCCAAACATATTGCACACACCTAAAAAGAAAAAGAAACCAATGTAAAGAATTATAGGAACACTTCTATTTTGCCTAAATCTGTGCTTGTGAATTTATTATCTTGTCTAACACATTTTTGTTTTGAGATTCATCCGTGTTCACATAGCTGTTAATTGTCTCTTGTTCCCATCTTTAATTGCCGAGGTGGTAGTCATGAATAGTTTCCTTACAACCTATAATAACTGGCTCATTAACCTAGGAAACCTACTTTACCAATCCTATTTTTTCTTTAGTTTTTCATTAGATTGAGACTGTTTAAATCAGCTTGGCATTGCTGACAGCTAATAAAACTGACACTACACTGCCTGTATTATTACATTTTCTGTAGTGCTTGTCTGAGGGAATACCGAGTAGTTACTTATTAACTTACCCCTTTAGGATAATATTTCAATTAGTGGTGTTAGGTGGTGTCAGTTGCAGTAATAGAAGTATTCATTACAGTACCCCTATTATATTTAAGGTCCATTAGCTGCTACAACATGTCTCCCCCACTACAGCAAGCTGCTGTAAAGTTAATACAATAAATTTGAAAATTTGGATACGAGTTTCCAAGAATCTGAATACTTACCAACCCACTTTCCTCTGCTATCTCCCCCATTTGTGATAATAAAGTGGACTGTGATGTAATCTGCTCTTTTTCATTAGCTCGAAGTCCTAGTCGACTCAATTCTTTTTTGCGCGTCTCCATTGCCAAGCGTTTCTTTTCCTGTCGTGTCTGACGTCGCACTTCTTGCACCTGCAAGAATAACATGAGAAATGAAATACAATGGTACCTCAGTTTTCATTGGCAATCCCTTCCTAGACATTACGAAAACAGAAAAATACAAAAACCGAAACAAATTTTCCCCACAAGAAATAATGTAAATTGAATTAATATTTTTGGGGTGTGTGGAACGGATTAACTAAAAAAAAAACTTTTATATAGGATAATACTCTTGGGTACCTTGCCTTTATTGAGGGATCTTGTTGGCGTATAGAAGAAAGTGAGGAAAGGAGGGGGAGGAGGAGAAGTGTTAGTGTCTAGCAAAGTAGTTGCATTTGTTTTTAAGAGTGGTAAAGGGAGAGAAGAGGGTGGGGTGAGGTGCTGTTCCTCTTCACAATTCATAAGCAACGCATTCCAACATAGCAAGGTCCTCACCCCACTGGAGGAAACAATGGCTCTAGAGTCCCTTTCCATTATAACATCAGTGATGACATTTCCGGGGTACACTCTCTCTCTCACGTTTTGCAGCCATACCACTAGGACCTGGTTGTGGCTCACTGCTTGCTTGTCTAAGAATCTTTCTATAAGACACTTTTTTTCCCCTATATTTAAACACTTGTCTGTAGCGAAACATCACATTGTCTCACTATGAATGATTTCTTGTTTTTTCTCTATTATCCTCCTCACAACTATTTTCTTAGGTTGAACATTACCACTGACCTTCTTGGAACCCATGGCATGATATATAATAAGAACTTTCATGTTCAGTAACCATTAAAGCTCCAAAACATTGAAATTCTTCACAAAAAAATTCAAGCACAATCATCACTAGGCAGGAGACATTGGTAAACTGAAGCGCCACGCTCACGGTGGACCTGTACGTGTACAGTATAAACAAACTCCAAAAACTGAGGCAAACAATGAGTACCGAATCGAATTTTTTCAGAGAAACTGAGTACGAGTATTGTACTGAAAAATATGAGAACAGGGGTATATGAAAACCGAAGTTCCACTATGCAGTGGAACCTCAGTTGACAAATGCCCCCTCTTTACAAATTTTTCTGTTTATGAGCTCAATTTCTTCGTAAAATTCTACTCGGTACACGAGCTTTACCTTGCTTGGCAAGTTTGTTGATGCACGTATGGATTGACCGAGCGTGTGGTTCCTGGTGGCACAGACGAGGCATGCTTCAGTTTACCAGTGTCTCCTGCCTAGTGACAATCACACTTCAAGATTGTATTTGGGAGGACAACAGGATGTATGAATACATTTATGGTGAGGGGACTGTATGGATGGATAATGAGGAAACTGGATGGATGGATAATGAGAGATATTATTGTACAAGCAGATAAAGATAAATCACGACTGTTGCTACTGGGAGGCCTATGAAGCAAGAACGGAGGACTTTTGGACATGCAGATTTGTGAACCTCATTCTGGAGACATTCTTGTATCAACACAAAGCAGGCCACAAGAATGCGGGAAGGAGATGTACCGTCAGTACTGGATCTGGTATTCACCAGGAAAGAAGAAGAGATATTTGACATCCGGTACCTTCCTCCCTTGGGGAGAGTGATCACGTCCTGTTAGACATTAAATATGCTTTAAGATATCATCTAGAAGAAAATGGGGACATTGAAACAGATGATAAACTCGATTTAAGGAAAGGTCACTATGGGGAACTTCTTAAAAAACAATTTGGAGTGTAATTGGACAGACTTGTTGCTAGGCAGGGAAGTAAATGAAATGTATGCCAAATTTTGCAAAATATACGATGAAGGCACACAAACATTTATACCAAAACAGAGATGCAGGGCCAGAAAACAGGATTGGTTCAACAGAAATTGCGAGAGGGCCAGAGACCAAAAAGACAAAAATGGAATCAGTATAGGAAAAGGCCAAACCCCCAAACATACCAGTGATACAAAGATGCGAGAAACAACTATACGACAGTGAGGAGAGAGGCAGAAAGAAATTTTGAAAAAGGGATAGCAGATAAATGTAAAACAGAACTGGGCCTATTCTACAAATTCATGAACAACAAATTGCAGGTAAAGGATAATATCCAAGAGGTTGAAAATGGTTAACAGATTCACGGAAAATGAAAATGAAATGTGTGAAACATTAAATGAAAAGTTCCAAAGTGTGTGTGAACAAAATGACATCTTCAAAGAACCAGACACAATAAGAATTCCAGAGAACAACAGAGCGTATAGAGGTGTCTAGAGATGAAGTGGAAAATATGCTAATGGAGCTAAGTAAGAACAAAGCAGTTGGTCCAGATGGAGTTTCACCATGGGTTCTGAGAGAATGTGCATCTGAGCTCAGCATTCCACTTCACCTGATCTTTCAGGCATCCCTGTTTACAGGAGTCGTAGCAGACGTGTGGAAAAGGCTAACATAGTTCCAATCTACAAAAGTGGCAGCAGGGAAGACCCCGTCAATTATAGACCTGTATCATTGACAAGCGTAATAGTGAAAGTATTGGAAAAATTAATCAAAATTGAATGGGTTGAACACCTGGAGAGAAATTATATAATATCAGACAGACAGTATGGTTTTTGATCTTGAAGATCCTGCGTATCGAATTTACTCAGTTTCTATGATTGAGCCACAGAGATTTTACAGGAAAGAGATGGCTGGGATGACTGCATCTGAACCTAAAAAAGGCTTTCAACAGAGTTCCACACAAGAGGTTGTTCCGGAAACTGGAAAATATTGGAGGGGTGACAGGTAAGCTTCTAACATGGATGAAAAATTTTCTGACCGATAGGAAAATGAGGGCAGTAATCAGAGGCAATGTATCGGACTGGAGCAATGTCACAAGTAGAGTACCACAGGGTTCAGTTCTTGCATCAGTGATGTTTATTGTCTGCATAAATGATCTAGTTGGTATACAGAATTATATGAACATGTTTGCTAATGATGCTAAGATAATAGGAAGAATAAGAAACTTAGATGATTGTCATGCCCTTCAAGATGACGTGGGCAAAAGTATATGGAGCACCACTTGGCAAATGGAATTTAATGGTAATAAATGCCATGTTATGGAATGTGGAATAGGAGAACATAGACCCCCACACAACCTATATATTATGTGAGAAATCTTAAAGAATTCTGATAAAGAGATCTAGGGGTGGTTCTAGATAGAAAACTATCACCCGAGGACCACATAAAGAACGTTGTGTGAGGAGCCTATGCCACGCTTTCTAACTTCAGAATTGCTTTTAAATACATGGATGGCAATATACTAAAGAAATTGTTCACGACTTTTGTTAGGCCAAAGTTAGAATATGCAGCGGTTGTGTGGTGCCCATATCTTAAGAAGCACATCAACAAACTGGAAAAGGTGCAAAGACATGCTACTAAGTGGCTCCCAGAACTGAAGGGCAAGAGCTACGAGGAGAGGTTAGAGGCATTAAATATGCCAAAACTAGAAGACAGAAGAAAAAGAGATATGATCACTATATACAAAATAGTAACAGGAATTGATAAAATCAATAGGGAAGATTTCCTGAGACCTGGAACTTCAAGAACAAGAGGTCATAGATTTAAACTAGCTAAACACAGATGCCGAAGAAATATAAGAAAATTCACTTTCGCAAACAGAGTGTTAGACGGTTGGAACAAGCTAGGTGAGAAGGTGGAGGAGGCCAAGACCGTCAGTAGTTTCAAAGCGTTATATGACAGTGCTGGGAAGTACACCACAAGCGTAGCTCTCATCCTGTAACTACACTTAGGGAATTACACACACACACAGGAGTTTCGTAAAATTGTGCGAAAAAAGCTAGTCGAACATCTGGAGTGAAGGAACTTTGTGACAACACCAATATGATTTCAGGAATGGCAAGTCATGCCTCACAGTATTAATTAAATGTTACGATCAGGCAACAAGAATCAGACAAGAGAGGGATGGGCAGACTGCATATTTTTGGATTGCTAGAAAGTCTGACACAGTGCCACACCAGAGACTAGTGCAAAAGCTGGAGATGCAGGTGGGAGTGAAAGGGAAGGTACTCCATTAGATAAGGGAGTACCCAAGCAACAGAAAACAGCGAGTCACTGTGAGGGGCGAGGTCTCAGATTGGCGAGACGTCACCAGTGGGGTCCCGCAGGGTTTAGTCCTTGGACCCATACTGTTTCTTATATATGTAAAAGATCTTCCAGATGGTATAGAAACATTCCTCTCATTGTTTGCTGATGATGCAAAAATTATGAGGAGGATTAAGACAGAGGAAGACAGTATGAGGCTACAAAATGACAGACTGAATGAATGGTCCAACAAATAGCTACTAAAGTTCAACCCGAGTAAATGTAAGGTAACGAAACTAGGCAGTGGAAACAGGAGGCCAGACACAGGATACAGAATGGGAGATGAAGTCCTTCATGAAACGGACAGAGAGAAAGATCTAGGGAGTTGATATCACACCAAACCTATCTCCTGAAGCCCATATCAAAAAAATAACATCTGCGGCGAATGCAAGGCTGGCTAACATCTGAACTGCCTTCGGGAACGTATGTAAGGAATCATTCAGAACCTTGTATACCACATATGTAAGACCAATCCTGGAATATGCAGCCCCAGCATGGAGCCCGTACCTTGTCAAGCACAAGGCAAAGCTTGAAAAAGTTCATAGATATGCCACTAGGCTAGTCCCAGAACCAAGAGGCACAAGTTATAAAGGCTGCAGGAAATGCACCGCATGACACTGGAAGACAGGAGTAAGGGGAGACATGATTACTACCTACAAAATACTCAGAGGAATTGACAGGGTAGATAAAGATAAACTATAACATGGGTGGTACGCGAACAAGGGGACACAGGTGGAAACTGAGTACCCAAATGAGCCACAGGGATGTTAGAAAGAGCTTTCAGTGTCAGAGTAGTTAACAGATGGAATGCATTAGGCAGTGATGTGGAGGAGGCAGACTCCATACACAGATTCAAATGTACATGTGATAGAGCCCAGTAGGCTCAGGAATCTGTACATCAGTTGATTGACAGTTGAGAGGCGGGACCAAAGAGACAAAGCTCAAACCCTGCAATTACAACTAGGCGAGTACAACTAGGTGAGTACAACTAGGCGAGTACATACACACATACACACTATTTACCTGGACAGCTATACTTGGATCATCTCTCAAGGCTTCAAGTAAATTTTCTGCCACCGAACCAACGTGTTCATCTGAAGAGATCTGTTCGAGACGATGAATGGCTGGAATGCATGTTGCCGCAACTGCTTGCTGTGTTCCTCTGTGCTTTGTTGCCAATCCTGTTCACAAGAACAAAAAGAAAATGCAGACAATGAGTCACAATAAAGTGGCTGAAAATATAATGACCAAAGCACACATCAGAAGATGGAGAAATGATGACATTTTGGTCCATCCTGGACCATTATCAAGTGTGTATCACACCCTACTTGATAATGGCCCAGGACAAACCAAAACAATGTCTTCTCCATCTTCTGATGTGTGGTTTGGTCATCAAAATGATAATGTTATATGTAACTTGGTTTCCTAGTAATATTTGTTATATTTAAATTAATCTTGTCTGCAGTCCCAAAGCCTTACTCACTCCCAGGAGCTCCCCATCAGGGGGTGGCCACACCACAAGTTTCTTCAAGAGGCTGTCACCACACAAGCCTTTCACTTTAAAATTCTCAAACACTTACCCTCTTCCCTGTTACTGTAAGTTTACAGTAATGAAAACTATAAATCTGGAAAAAAGCAGTATTATGCACAACAATTATGAGACTTGTATTAAAGCTCACCAGTAAGTAGTCTGAGAATGTATTTGAGAGAGGGTCGTCCCAGGAACTCCTTCCACTCGTCATTGCACACCACAACAAGCTTCTTGCTCACTGGCATGTGGGTCTCTATATAGGCAAGTGCATCCTGAAGCAGCAAATAGTGAAATTCAACCCATAAAGTGACAGATAAATCTAGTTACCTACAAAATTGACATTTAGTATAATTTCTTAAAATATGGACCAATCAAAAGAAGAAAAATAATTTATAATATTAAATGGGTATTTATATTACATATGTGATCAAGTTAGTATAAGAGGAGTAAAAATTACCATTTCAATTACAAAGTATGTAACAGGCACTAATGAACAATGTTGGCATGTATATGTATACAACCACATACTTGCATATTAATGACCTAATACTATATATACTGTACAAATATTACTAGACAGAAAAAAATTAAGGAATACCTTAACAATATTAGCTCTGACAATCATATCTTTCAGCTGATTTCCATTTTCATTGCGTTCAATGCCGTCACAGAAAACACAGAAGGATTCCATCTTGGCAGCATCTTCTGGCGAGTGTTCAGAATCAAACTTCTCAAAGTCCAATACAGGCCGAAAATGTCCAACCAAAAGCTCCATTTTCTCTTTGTGACAAAAGACTAAAAATGGCAAAACTCTCATCAACCGCTGACGCACCTGAAACATGATGGAGTGCATGTGGGATGAACAAGTGGTCAAATGACAATATAAAATGCATTATCCAAGTACACCAAGATATAAATGAACCCAATACTGTACAGTACTTCATATTTTGTTGCTACATGAATGCTATAACAAATGATAACATGAAGCTTGCAGGCGTTAGCCCAACTGCCAGGTAATAAAGCGCCCTTTAATCTTTCAGCCACGTATCACAACTCTGCCATGTCAGAACATGCTCTCGGAACCTGTGAAATTATGGAGACGCCTATAATTTTATCCTACCCCATACTTTATTGCATGCACTCTTTGTATTGCTGATATTGTAGCTAATAAAAATCACATATGGATGGCTTTTTGGATTTATCTAGAGCTTGTTGCAATGGGAGCCGGTCGGCCGAGCGGACAGCACGCTAGACTTGTGATCCTGTGGTCCCGGGTTCGATCCCAGGCGCCGGCGAGAAACAATGGGCAGAGTTGCCCCTGTTACCTAGCAGTAAAATAGGTACCTAGGTGTTAGCCAGCTGTCACGGGCTGCTTCCTGGGGGTGGAGGCCTGGTCGAGGACCGGGCCGCGGGGACACTAAAAGCCCCGAAATCATCTCAAGATAACCTCAAGATGGGTAGATTAAATAGGTTGTGATGAGTGGCAGAAACATCAAGTTAAATCAGGTAATTGCCCAACATACCTTAGGAACAAGTTTTCCTAAGCAAGAAGCATTTCATTGCTATGCAGAAAATGTTACTAAGTCAGTGGTCAAGTAATGTGAGTCATCCAGATCCTCATTTGGGCTCCAATGACCTGGCAGGGTTTGCCAATTTGACCTTGTAAGGGTTTAGTTTTTTAAGGTGGTACACCAGCAATAGTTGGCATTTAAATTCATCCTTAACATTTCAGCATAGCAGGAGTTATCCTTTCTTTCTTTCTTTCTTTTAGCTTAAGGCACATCTTACTACTTCAGGCATCAAAGCATATATTATCTTAAGAAAACTCTTTCAAACCAGTTTCATCAGCATGAAGCATACTGTGTGGAGTATAGCCCTCTGTTTCAACTGTTTCGGCATCACAGCAGCAGCTAATGCATCAACACTAGCAGCCTGTTGACCAAACCACACTAGAAAGTGAAGGGACGACGACATTTCGGTCCATCCTGGACCATTCTCAAGTCGAGAATGCAGTAGCATTCTCACAATCTACTCGAGAATGGTCCCGGACAGACCGAAACGTCGTCGTCCCTTCACTTTCTAGTGTATGGTTTGGTCAACATATTTAAGCCACGTTATTGTGACTCCTCGTCTGCACTAGCAGCCTCACCACTTAATGTTATAAAGCTGTTGGTATTTCCCAAACTTTTCAAACAAGCCTTTACTTACTAAGCAAAGGTGTGAGCATGGATTTAAAATAGGCATCCCTGTTGGAATGCCTACTTTAAATGTTACCCAAAGTTTTAAATGACAGTATTAATTAATTAATACTTTCACGCGCGGCACGGGTGCACCACAGATTTGACGTCATGCGCCCAGCGGTGCAGGCGAGCATGCGGCGACACCGAAATGTTTATACTCGTTTCGGTTCTCGCCTGAATTCTCATGCTATGTCATTCGTTTTGGTATCAGTGTGTTCGCAATAGAATTCCCTACAGGAGTATATGCATATAAGGTCCAAAAGCCCGGCGTGACTCTCCATCGCAAAGCCTAAAGTCAGCAAAAGTTACCCATGAGCGCCCAAAATCAGTAAAATGTGTATACTCGTGTCAGTTTTCTCACCTTAATTCTCATGCTACATCCTTCGTTTTGGTATTGTGTTCGCAAATGAATTCCCTACAGGGGGTATATGCATACAAGGTCCAAAAGCCTGGTGTGACTTCCCGCAGCAAAGCCTAAAGTTGGCCAACTGTTACTCATGAACGAACACCAATTGGCACACTCGCAACCTAAAGTGTCTACTTGTTCAGTTTGATAACATAAATTTTCGTGTTACGTCTTTCATTTTGGTATCAAATTGTTCGTAATAAAGGCGCGTATTTTAAAACTAGTCCCATAATAATAGAACAATAAATAGAATTTTAACAAATATTTTAAATTTTGGATGCTCATCACCACAAAATTATTTATATTTTTCCAGTGTTCTGACATCAATTTTCGTGTTACGTCTTTCATTTTCGTATCAAATTGTTCGCAATCTAAAGGCCCGCATTTTAAACTAGTCCCATAATAATAGCACAATAAATGGAATTTTAACTTGTATTTTAAAATTTGGACCACAAAAGTATCTATAATCTTTCAAGTGTTCTGACCTCAATTGTCAGGCTACATCGTCAATATTGTATCAAATTGTGCGCAATCTAAAGGCGCTCATTTTGAAACCACTCCCACATTGATCAGATCAAATTAAAAATGTTGACAAATATTTTAAAGTGATTGATGCAAGTATGAGTCACCCGAGTGCGATAGTGTCAAGTTCCTTTCTGGAAATTAGCACAAAAACTGGCTCTGTACATTGACTGATGGTTATGCTCAGAATCCTTGATGCCATGACAAATTTCAAGGGCTTTTATGGATCTGGAAGATACTTTTGATAAAATATGTCACAAATTGTTAACATGCAAAATAAAACTTGGAATTTGACACACTCATCTTATTATAGCCAAACTAAAATTATTAGGTTTCCAACACCCCACCACCATCAGAATTAAATGTTTTACAACGTAGAATGAGAATTTTTAGGATTTTTTTTTTTTTATGTACACCAGGAAATTTACCTAATTTTGGGTACACAGTTCAAGAGTTTGGGATACCTAATAAATATTTTTTATTCAAGTCAAATTTGGTATTAAAACATAAAAGTGGCTCCAACATATCACTTTTTCCCCAGAGCAGCCTGCCCCTTCAACAACTTTTCTTTCAGAACATTCTCCATCATGCTTGTTGGCTATAATTCAACCCAACACACAGCAAGGTTGTTCATCTTGATTCTTACCTGTGCATTAGTACGAGAGGATGTTGCAACATAGTTCAGGAGCAGGTGGATGTCTTCCAGCGTGCCACAAGTCTCTACAAACTCTGTGTACGATGCAGCAGGCATAGACGAAGCTTCCACCAGTACTCCCTCCAGCACCTGTTTTGGCAATTACAATTATTGTGCTGTTCATCATTAAATTAAAAAAAAGAAATATATATAAGCAATTCAATATTAGCTTTATATAACTAACAATATTAAGCCATGGGCTGTCAAAATATCAGACAGGCAAATCTTATGACTATATTTTTACTTCAATCTGCAAAATACAAGAAAATTAGAAAAATATATACAGTAATACTACACTGATCAATCAAGAATAGCTGTCAAAATTATTTTCCAAAACATCATTAAAAGATGACTGTCAAAACAGAACACTAGGGATATGGGGGTCTGTCAAATGATCATCCTAGTCGAGCCTTCCTCTATTGCACGTATCATACCTGCAGCAGCTGCTCAGTAAGGGATGCTCCACCTGGGGGACCTGCAACAACCTCGGGCTCAGCTGCCAGGCACTGTTTCAGGGTGTGTAGAAGGGTGGCAATGGCATTTAATGATGGCACCATGAAACGTTCTCGATTCACACGTACCTGATTTGCACACGTAAAATGTCAGCATCAGAATTTTCCAAGAAGCAAACATGGCATGGAAGTGCATTTTTAACAGTTCTTTTTGTGAATACAATTTATTTTCTGTATAAGCTAATCACAGAATTATATATCATATACTGTATTTGGAGTTTTCAGTGTAAACAGTGTAAATAAAGAGATTGACAAATAATTTTATTCCCTGGAGCTTGCCCAATAACCTTTGTACTTTTGAATTAGCTGTACATGAATTAATAAGAAGAAAGGAAGGAGCAAGAATACACAAATAGAAAATGAATGGGAGAATGAACCTCAATAATTGAACAACAAGTATTGAGAGGCAATGAGGTGTTAAAGAAAATGAAGTCTAGCCCTTAATGGGAGAGCAGGTAATAGCCACTGAACCATACGCAAGGAAGGCTACCCATTTTACTCCCCACCCGTTCCCAGGAGTAAAACACTCACGTGTTGAAGGCCAATACTCTAAAACCTCTCAATGTAGAGTATATACAAACCTGTCAAGACAGTACATATATTTTTAAACCACAAGGAAAATTCTTACCTTCACACAATACTGGAAAAGTTTTAATAGGACTGTGACCAGTGCTCTTGCATAAGAAAGGTCACTAATTCTCTGCAGACACTCCAACATCACCTGGAATAATCATCAGCATGACTACAAATTTGAGGTAAGAGATACAAGCCGAGGGCAGCTTGAAGGAGTGGTATTGTCTTGTTTTATGTAGGAAGATATAATAATAATGAATAGAATCATTATGGAAAGAGAAACTTTATGATAAGATTAAAAGTAAATCAAGATAGTTCAGTTATGTGAAATGAATGAATGGATGGATGGATGGATGAAAAGATTGAAAAGAATGCAAGCTAATCTGATGAGGGTAGAAGGTGGTGAACGAAGAAGTCGACAGATACAATGCTTGTTAATAGTTGTCTGCACAAAGAATGTTACTGGGATAAAAAGATTCAACGAACTTTTTGTGGAGGAATTACAATCTACTATTTCATCAATATTGAAAGTAGTTTCAAAAGATTTTAGTTAAGACCTAGTAATACAAGCAGTGTATTTACATCAAGTACTAACCTCAAGGCCACCACATTGACACATAACTCCAGCCATGCGATAAACCTGTTCATTGTCAACATCTTCCTCTTTCTTCTTATCTAAAGTCTCGACAAACTCCTCTGTAGCATCTCCCAGGAGACCTCTCATGCGATAAACAACACGCATTGCATCACTTTCACTGTTTTCTGCCAGCCAAACTTTTTTATATACCTGTTAGGGGGAAAAAATGGCTAGCCTAGAGTTTTTGCTTATTGAAAGGTTCTTTGTTTCTTTGAGGGGTTATTCTAAGATTGGGCAGGATACTCGGCCATTTTTAGAAATCTGGAGAAAATTTGAATTACAGTATGTTCCTTGGTCAGATATCAAGCTACTTAATACAAAAAAAAAATAAAAAATAAAAAATTTGTGTCTTGGCACAATTTAGTTTCTTCATTACGGGTATGAACAAAGAAGAATGGTGTTTTCCCTACCTCTTTAACTGGTAGATCTAAAGAGATGATCTTATTGCAGACAAGGAGCTCCATGCCACTATCATCCTCCAATAATGCTACCAACTCACAGTCCTGACAGATCTTGTTCTTCACATCCCTCATAAGGGGTCCCAGGCCAGAGTCCATACTGCTATAAGGGTTGCCCACCATGCGACCCTACAAGAGAAACGTTTGCACATTTTAAAGTGGCACTCAATTTAATGATGTCTTATTTATCAAGTATAATATAATATTTCTGAAAACTTTATGATGCAAACTTTATGATAAACTTTTATTAAGCAAATGCTTTAGAAAAATCTTGAAACTAATAATATAGACAAACAATTTTTCATCCTAGAAATCAAGCAGGACCATTTAAAAAAAAAAAAATCTTACCTATTTTATGAAATTATCTTCAGACACCTTATAAAAGTGATAACTGGGAAGTGCAATTAATGATCATTAAATATGATCAAATAGTTTAGAAATGCTGATTCATGCATGTGTGTGTGTTATCTCATGAATTTATGGTCAATATGAAAGACAGGATAAGAGTCTTGCAAAGATAAATGAACAGTCAAAGATCTCAAAGTACCTGCAAGAAGTCTTCTTGCTGTGGGTCTTTCTCCAGAGTAAGGAAAAACTCTCCTACATCATTTTCTTCTGGATATATGATAGAACACAGCCTCTCATAAATGAAGACAGGCGTTCGTACATCATCTTGTGGGTACTGTTTCAACGTTTCTACACACACTGCCATGAACTCCTTGGTTTCAGCTTCAGTTCCTGTACAAGTAAAATCAAATGTATACTGTATTTGGAATGGAATTCCAATTATACGCAAAATATTTTAAATTATAACATGTCTTAAAACTTTGGTTATCTTCATAATTTTTACTTCCCCTGATACATGCTTCTGATTATGACAAAGAATGTTACTCCACACATTTTATCAGATGATGTTGCAGTATATATTAAGTACCAAATACATGATGGGGTGGTGATAATGAACAAATACTTTTGCCAATTAATTATTACAAAAATCAGTGCTGAATAATATAGCATATAAAGGGTGTCCCATAAGTCAGGAAACACAGGAGGAAAACAATAAAACTTATATTACAGTACATTTAATTCACAATGTTTCAGTGTAACTACCATCATGATTAGATATACACATACAGACAATATATCCAGTGAGCAATCACATGTTGTACAGTGTTACATGTTCCAAACGTATGGAAGACCCAGTGGAATATACTGGGTACACCAGAGAGACTTATCAATTTAAAATTAATCTTAGTGCTAAATGAAAATATAAACTCATTCAGCATTATCTTGAGCTTAACGAAACACAAATGTCAAGGTATTAAACATGTAATTTGACACATACCTGATGTCATATCCTCCAGAAGTTCAAGGAATTTGTCCTGGGTATCATCAATTAACTTGGTCCGTTGAACCACCAGCTTACGTAATGAAAGGTAACCACTTAGCACCGTGCCAACCAGACGGCCCTTATACACACTCTTGATGGCATCAACATCAATAAACTGAGACAGTAATTCTGTCAGTACTTTCAGTGCATACCCTAAAAATAGAAATAAAGTATCAAACGTGGTACAATACTTTTAACAAGGTTTGTATTGCTCACAGCCAATCAAATGAGATATCACTGGTTCTAATGTCTTGCATATCTCACATATGCAAACAATACTACAAATATGGAGCTAAACCTCCCCCCCCCCACCCTGCACGTATATAATATAATAGGGATATATATGTACATAGAAAGAGAATATAGTGTGGTTGATTGGAGGACGAGAGTGGAGCGGGCAGGTGGAATGGGTGAATGTAGGTGGGCCGAGCACATGTCTGGCGTAGGTGTAAATATGGCTAAAGATAGTTTTAGTTAGTGTGTGGGGGGGGGGTGCTTACTTATTGATGTTTGTGACAGATGGGAACTAGGCCCTGCTTCCTAGATTTTTGTGTATGCGTGCATCAGTCAACACCTGTTCCAAGGTAATTGAAATCACAAGGACAGACAATTATACCTCAATTAACCACCAGCTTCATAGACTGCCACAAAACAACAATGCCAGCACAAGAGAGTCAAAGCAAGCAACCCTCATTTGTTGCCTGGTGGCCACCCACACCCTTGCCAGCTATAAGAGGTCAATGCAAGTGACTGGTTCTTCTTTGAGACTCTCTGCACAAAAGGGGAGAAGGGAGGAGGTGGTGGTTATTACTTTAGTACTTCACTGCATGATCTCTGGTTCGCCGAGTGCATGTTCCTGGTGATCCAAAGTTTTTCAGAACTCTGGTTCTCTGGAGCCATTCCAGGGTTGTTTCCAGGCTGCTCATTAGTTTGGCCTTTTTTTTTATATACTCTTGGTCCCTGACCTCCAGTTGGGTGTACTGGTATCAAAGTTGTACACCCTAGGCCCCTCTTTTTTTTTTTTTTGCACATTCCCCAGGATTTCCATGATGGTGTCAGCATTAGGGGTTTAATGTTGATGTACCAATCATGCTAACCTGGACAATTTGTCATGCTGCTTCCTCACAAGATTGGGTTGGCTCACTTCAAGTCTTCATTCTTCCTTTCCTTTTCTGGTGTAGTGTCAGGTTTTAATATTTCTTTCAGATGCTTCCTGTTCTTTACCAGGCAAGACTTTTAACTACCCTACAAGTTTGGCCTTAGGGTGTTGTACAACCATTGTACTGTGTTGTAGTGATGCAGTGTCATTAGCCAAGGGTTTGTATACTGGATAGTTCAAGGGATAACTGACTGTTCTTGTGATTCAAATTCTTCCTCGAAAGGTGTGTTGATTGATATGGTTTTGCTCTTAGATATAAAACTGAGCAGTCTACTCAGTGGTGGATTTAAATATTTCTTTAGTCTTCTCCAATTATGTATGCAGCACAACTATTAGAAAAGTTAACGGACTTGGTGGGGCAGAGACTGACGAGTGCCAAGAACGTGTGTGTACTGTCCCAGGTGGACCCTAGCCACTTTAAAAGGAGCTTTTCATATTGCTTACTGTATTATCTTTATTTGTAATACTCAATATGCAATGTCATTATCACAAATTTAATACAGTTAAAACTCAATTTTGCATGCCATGTAAACTAAGGGAAAAACAAGTACTATAAGAATTAGATTAACAATCATTATTTGAATATCATATAGAAGCAATCTGTATTGAATTGCCTGACAAAATTTGCAGCTGACAATTACAATTTAGTAATTTAAGGGACAACAAATGTTTAAATAAAATTCCATAAAGAACTGACCTTGGCTAAGATCTGTGGTAAGAGTTGTTTCCTCTAAAGATGTGAGTAGCTGTATTTCTGAGGAGATCAGACCAGCTATGATGGGTAGAACTCCCTTTAATGCCAAGTAATACTTCCAGTGGGCACCCAGCAGTAGAGTTTGATACAAGGAGACAAATTCTCCAGCACTCTCTCCTGCTCTTCCAATTTCTGGCAGGAAAGTAGTTAACATGTCCAAAACCTGAAATTAAAGGGTATTTACACCACATTTTACAACAATAAATTAAAACAATACTGACGAGCTTCACCTTAAAGTGTTTTCCTTGAATAAAAGACAAATCATTTAAGTGTCAAAAAATAAAAAAACCAGTACAGTATATATTAGCCCTCTATTTTTTGTATTTTACAAAAATATTTTTAAATTTTAAATATTACATCAATTTATCCCCACCTGGAAGAGGAAGCAAGAGACTAACTGTATACAAACTCAAATGTGAATTATTAAAACTTAATGGGGTTTGAGGCGGTGTCACAGACAAATAATCCCAGATCAATTTGGTACGATTGTGTTCCTGGGCCCCTCCGCCTATTACACTATTGTGTTCAAATTTCCGAACTGCAAGTTGTGCCATGAAATGCTCAACGAATCGCTTCTCATTTAAAATCAACGGAAATACAATTGCATTTCTCCCTTGTACCAATATCATACAAGACCATATCAACACTATACTAAGCATTACATTTTCTTCATATTTATGACAAAAAGCAAATAAATTTGAGGCAATGTGATTTAGAGTGTAATGAAAGATTAATTCTGTGCAGTTATATTTTTAATGGTTGACCTCACTCTGTACAACTATTTAGTTAAGCTCCCTTAATTTTGGTTCTTTAAACTAGCTCATTATTTCATCTATAAGGTACACACCTGTGCCGTCACAGCTCGAGTGGTTTTGGGAAAAAATATTTTGTCAATATCTGACTTATTAAAACAAGGAATCTTTAAATTCCTCAACATAATAGCAAGAAACTTGTGTCAGCAATAGATAAACTTGTTAAAACACAGACCTCTATAAATGTTAAACAGATAATAGTATGTACCTCTTTCTTCCGCTGGACTGAAGTACAAAGGGACTCCACCATCTGGGCAGTAACTTGTCTTGCCATTCGTGATGATGGATTGAAAAGGACTCGACGCAACCATGATGAGTCCTGCATCCTTAAGTCATACTGGTGACGGATAGTGCGTGCTAACCATTGGCAGCCAAACTTCTCAAGTAAATAGCGCTCATGAACCTCCTCCTGAAGATACAACAGTCATTAAGAATTTTAATAAATTCTTTATATAAAAAGAACACACTGAATTCTATTCAATACAAAAGAATACAAGCAGATTCTGTAAAATACTTGTTACAGTACAATGTCTTAAAATTGTTTTTTGTAACAGCCTAGTTCTAATACTGTATTTGTTTCTGAGCTGTACTGAAGCTGCTCGGTTGCTTCTTTAGGTAGGTCCTGCTGTTCCACGGACATGCACAGTCAGCGATGATCAGATTTATATATCCAAGAATTTTTTTTACAAGGCATGTGTTGGGTTATACAGATGCAAGGAAGACATGAGAATACTTATTCCAGCACGAGAATACCTAGAGACAGCTCATTAAATTAGAATGAAACTATCGGAAAAAAATCTTTGGAGCAGGTAACCCCAGGCGAGCATCTTAAAAACGGACCATGATGTTCGAAAGGTTACACAACCTGGGATCTGCCCGGGTCCACAGGAATCTGTAGGCACCAAGCTGGTTGCCAATCCAAGTTTTAAATAATGCACATACACCCTAGTGTAGGTAATAAAGTTCTCAACCAAATATTCCCTTTTGTAACCATCACATTATGTTCTTTAAGAACATTGGTATTCCAGAATTCATTATGGAACAGTATCCTTATCATCACCACCCATAGGAAAGATGTGAGCTCAATAATAAACTTACAGTAATTAATTTCAATATGACTATTGAATAATTGGATACTTGAAGAGTTCAAAATTATCTTTGTGTAATAACTGGCAAACTGAGAGACATGGGTGTCTCTGTAAGGGGTTCCATACTTTACGGTATAGAAAATGAGCTTTCCTGGCCTTTTGAGGTGTTAGAAGTTTTCCTATGTATGCTTTATGGAGTTCAGACCCCTGATGACTCCAACTCAGTCACTTAAGCTTCTTAAAATGAGTATGGAATGAACTGGGGTTTTGTCTCCAGTGATCATTACACGGAACAGGTGTATTAGACTAATGTTGGCGACATTTTGCATCAACTTCAGGTAAATGGCAGCAATATGGATCGAGTTGAAATTCATCTCATGCTTGAGGAATTCTGCATTCTGTCTGCACTATAACAGTGCTCTAGTTGTGCACTGACTCATTATGGAAGGGAAAGAGGGAGGAAAACATGCCCAATCTACATGGGGGTACCGATACCAGCCATAGCATTTTCTGGCTTCTCTGTCTTTCGTTCTCGGTGGTCCACACATGTGGTATATCTAATGTGCCTGCAGATGAACTCTCACTTTTAGCCAATTAGGATGGCATGGATGGTGAAGATGGCCACCAGCTTTCAGTACACACAATCTGTGGCATGACCCAAGGGATTCGGTTCTTATCACAAATAGTATTTTGAGCACTATGGTACCATACTTTTGGCAAGAATGTTCAAATCTGAAAGCACTTTACTTTTCACCTGATTTTGTTAATATGTTCCCCACATTGTACAATGTAAAATTTATACAATAATCAGATACATTCTATACTTTTTTTTACTTTGTCTAATTTCTTTATACAGTATTTTTAAAATTGCCAAAAGCTAAATTTTTTCTTTTATCATAAATTCCAATATATATTTACTTCAATTGTCAGATAAATCAAATGACTGTACAGTAACATTTATTGTGCATAAATAAATTAAAACGTGTTTTAATTTATAAAAAATTTTCGAGATTAAAATAAACAAGGATTTATATTTGTCTTCAAGAGTTAATGTAGGAAGGCCCTTTATCACCATATTACCCATCCACCGTATTATACCATGTTGAGAAGAACCATGGAGTACATTAACCAATGGCTCACCTTTTTCATTTTCGAGACAGCAGGTTCCTGAACTCTCCTTGCAGACCTTTTCTTCCATGTCTCGTATGAATGCCCAGGATCACCTGCCAACCACTTGCTTACATCCACACCAACCTTACAAAAAATATAAGATAGGAATAAATAATTAAGACTTTAATTAAGAATAATTAAGACTAACTCAATTGTTGCAACTTTTTTCATGAATTTGTCTAAATCTGAAGTATATTAAAAGGTACAATATTCACACACTTCATCAACTCTGAAAAAAATCTTGAATTTAAAGAATCTAAATTGAGGTTATAATAAATGAGTACTTTATGTAATTTATACCTTAGATCCACCAAGGTAAGCAGCCATAAAATCTGTAGCAGTAATAGGAGCAACAGATGAAGCAGCTGCCCCAGCCGTTGCAGTTACAACAGAGCCAGTAGGCGTCTTGTCTCGACTCTTACGAGGAGGGGGTGGTGTAGGCGGCCTCATCACTCCTTGCAGGATGCGCAGACACGGCAGGGTTATGTGCTCCATTACTGTGGGGGAGGAATTAGATCCGCCGGCCATCAAGAACAGCTGAACAACGCACCTGAGAAAACCAAGTAAACACAAAATAAGTATAAAAATAGCACTAAAAAATTGTAAAATATACTGTAGTTAAGGTTTATCGAGAATTTTTTAATGGACTAGGTCTCCAGCAATTGATACTTGGCCACACACAGTAGTGAAATTGGAAGAGTATTTAGAAGGCAACCCGTTAATAAGGCTATAGCTACTACGGGGCAAAGTCTAATGGAAAGTACTCTCTCTTTATCTTGGCTAGATATTTGTGAAAGTTTGATCTCCATATAAAGTTGGTGAGGATATGGTTATACTGAAACAAAATGGTACAAAAACATCTGCCTAAACCGAGTTAAAATTAGCAGATAAAACAACAAGAAAATAACAATATGAAGAAAATCAAAACAGTAATGTGTAAGATATTATTGTTCCTAAGGCAGGATTATTAACCGACAGATATGAACATATTGGTTGGTAACACGTAGGGAAAATTACAAAAAAGGATGAACGAGTATGGTACGAGTTGTCTTGCACAGAAATAATTGGTGCACACTAAAGGAAAGAATCATTTGTTTACCTAAGGCGATACTCCCAGCATGAATCTTCCTTCTGAGCCGAAGATGCAAGTAGTCCCATCTCGTGTCTAACAGCTGCTGCGAGGTCTGGTGATGTAACATGAGAGTGTAAAGCAACACTTATCTTGTCCATGATGAGATGATTTAACTCCTGTGTGGCTGACAAATCATCCTTGGTCAGCAAACACAAGAGCTGACGAACCTCACTTCGCACCTGTAACAAATCAACAAATCATAAATATTTGAAAAATATGAACACAAGCAAGCTCACAAGTTGCACAATAGAAATGGTCTGGGAAAATGTTGCTTAAGTAAACTCATGCAAACTGAAAGTGTTATATAGAAAAAATAAGAGCACATGCTACATACCTCTAATACTGGTATATACTTTTTTCCAAATTACAAATTACTCTTAACCAAACACACGTTTTGAACATTAGTATTAAATACTTTCCATTTCCCAGCCACAATAACAGTACACAAGTCTCGGAATGCACTGAAGGGCCCACAAAGCAAGTATGTCACTGAAGGGCCCACGGAGCAAGCATGTCACTAAAGGTATATTTATCTTTTAGGCACCAAATATTTTCTTTAAGTTTTAGATTGAATTCACTAAATCAGATAGCACTCGTGAGAACCTTGCAAAAATAGCCTTCTGGTTATTAGGGACAGATAAAGGAGCGATTCACATTTTCATACACATCAGTTAAAGAAACACACTGTATGAACACCTACCTGAACGGTTCCACGCCGAAGATTATATTCCAAAAGGTCATTGATGAGCCCATGCTGACAGAGAGAGGCCCTTAGTGCAGCATTAGTGGCCAGAGCACGCAGGAGGGTGATGCAGTGTTCAGTTGCTGAAGCTGCACACCCATAGCAACGACCTGCAGCCACAGCTCCATCTTCAGGATTGCTGTAGACAATTCCACTTCGACCCAACGGTGATATGACGGCCTTCTTCCCTCCTTCCTTTTGTGAACGATCAAAGTTCACCAATTCTCGACGGGAGGCCTGCACCCGCTATCAGGTAAAACATATTGTAATTTAAATTATAGGCAATGCTTGTGTGCATGTACAGTAAATATCTGGTGGAAAAGGAAAGAGCAGAGCAAAGGAAGAGGGAAACGAGAGAGATGGCGAAGAACGGGAGAGGGGGGGGGGGGCAGATGGCGAGGAACGGGAGAAGGGAGGCGGATGGTGAGGAACGAGAGAGGGGCGGATGGCAAGGAACGAGAGAGGGGCGGATGGCAAGGAACGAGAGAGGGGCGGATGGCAAGGAACGAGAGAGGGGCAGATGGCGAGGAACGGGAGAGAGAGCAAGATGGGGAGGAAAGGGAGACAGAAATGGAAAAGAAAAGGGAAATTTGTATTAATATAAATTGGCAACCAAAGACACACTGGTGTTTAAGGTCCCACAGATTAGTATTTGATCATGACTGACAATGTGCATATTAAGATTATTCCAGTTGTGTGTATCTACTGGCAAACAAGTCCTAGTTTTGCTTGCTTGATTACTATACATACCTGTATAACTTTTGAGAGGTCATCAAAGGAGTTCTTGCAGTCTCCACAGTACTTCTGGGCCAACTGTTGAATGGCTCTGTTGACCTGAGTCCCTCCCGAGCTACCTTCATCGGCACTTCTAACAGCACCCTGCTCACTAATCCGCACCAATAACAGCTGCACAAACAAAAAATAATCGAGTTTGGCGACTAGAGAAGCTCAGTTGCTAATATTTTATGAAATATTTGGTAAATCATGATTTGGGGAAAAGTATTTATTGAATAACATCTAGAAAACATGATGAAATAGCAATAGAATTATACAAAACAAATGATGAACATTTATCAACATATCGAACACAAATGCACTTAAAAATTGTATACCTGAGAGTACATCCAAAATCAAATGTGTGTTTGCATGTAGAATCATTTCCCTCAAGTTTACTGAAAGTAACACAGCATAGTTCTCTATTTAAACTTTAGGGTATGAATGCTTACTCCAAGTCTCTCAGGCACCATGGTCAAGTCCCATACCATAAACATTTGTGTGTTCTGAATACATGCAAGGCACCCTTACATTGGAATAGATTTATTAATGACATTTAAACTGAAAATTAACTTTTAAACTTCAAATTGTAACTGCTAACAACAGAGGGAAACTACGTTACTGCAAGCTAGAGTGTGCAGTCCAATATAATCCTCAGACCCTGGACACATCCAGCCCATTCTCTCGAGTTGTCATGCCACAAAAATGATGAACAGTATTAAATTGTCCAAACCTAATCTAACCAAGGACTTGCAAACAGAAAATAGGACAGCCCATCAATTTTTGCGAGTTGCTTTAATTTATAGTACATCTCTTTTTGACATTGAAGATTTACACATCAATATGCAATGTACTAACTGAAAGGATAGGTTGATGCATATGTTGAATAGAATTTAAATGTTTAACTATAGACTTTGAATAAATACTGATAATCGTATGAACCTTTTGCAGTGCTTATAGAAGAATTGTCCACCAAAAATGTCAAAGGAAGCAACAAAAAAGGAAATGAATGCATGGAGAAGCTCTGTGGAATTACTCGAGAAATCCCATTCCTGGAGAAAGATGTGGCAAAGGATATTTCATGATTAACATTTCATGAATATCAAGTTCATACTACTCCCAGCCCTTAAAATATGGAAGCAAAACTTAGGTATGGAAAGAGGCAGTACTCTAGAGAGTAGGACAAAATGTTTAAGAAAAGGTGTTGGTGTATGTGGAATACAAATGGCAAAAATCAAATATACAAGATGTCATACGAGTGAAATGAGTAAGTAAATAAAATGTAAATGGTGATGTGCAATACCGTACACTAAAGTGGTATGGATGCGTTCAAATGCCAGAGAATCATTAAACGAGAAGCGTTTACAAGGGTGAAATAATGACAGGCAGACAACATATAAATATAAAATCTTAGGGTTGGAGAGTGAGAAAATATATGAAGGCTAAGGTGGGGGAGGGAAGAGCTTGATAAGAGTGAAAGGTTTGTGTGGTGATAAGAGCTTCCTGGAGAAACTACTGCTGTGGCCACCACCTTAAAGGGGACTTTCCAAGAGGAAGCGAGATGTTCTGGCAACATTCATAAATAGATACAGTACTGTACTCATGATTTCATCACTCTCTTGCCCTATGCTATATTTTCCTTACAAGGAAGCAATTATTGACTAGCAACTGGACCAGAGTTCAATTCCCATGTAGTGCAAGATGTCCGAGTACTTCCCCTCATGCTCGATGCCTCCGTTCCTCTAGCCGTAAATAGGTACCCGAGAGTAAGACAACTGTTGTGGGTTGCATCCTGGGAAGGTCAGTTGTTGGCCTAGGGAGACCTCAGTAAGCATAACAGGCTTCTTGCTCCCACTAAATATTGGTAAATTGTGACACAGCCAAGACGTGTTTACAGACATGGATAAATAAAAGGATTTAATAGATCTGCTTAACTAAGTGTCTCATATCAAACTGTAGTATGGACTGATTTTAAATAAACGGTCAACAATTTATATACCTCTAGGGTTGGTTTGTAGGCTTGAAGTTGCTTGTACGATCTATCAGCTTTCTCAAGCAACGTGTTAATATTCAATACGGCTTTCTTACGATCATCTTCATTTTCAATAGGATCCACAGCACAGCAGGGCCGGCATTGCAGAGTGTAGTCAAACTTGGCATACTTACAGTAACCACAAGCATTGCAAAGGAAAGGATCTTTTTCATCATAATTTATAGCCCTGATAAAAGAAAAGCTAGAATTACAAATAATACTACAATATCATTACTCCCATTCCCACTTCCATGGGCTAGGAGGTATCGCCTGAGAAAAAAAAGTTAATTAGTAAAAGTAAGTTATAAATATTAAAAAAAAATACAGTAATCTGATTAAAAATGTTAAATGCAGCCCATCATGCAAGCAACTGTCTAGCAATATGGGGATTCAGAACTTCTGCACTCCCTTGCTTCCTAGTGGATACCAGTTAATCACCACATATGATGAATGTCTGTACCTAGATCATTCCTGGAAGGGGTTCTGGAAGTTCTACTCCTGAAGCCCAACTCGGACTTTATTTGGGAGAGTTTGGTCCAACAGGCTGTTGCTTGGGGTGCCCCGCAGGGTCACACATTCCACAAGAGCCTAGTTAGTCTGGCACTTGCAGAAAACTGTCCAGCTTTTTCTTGAAATCCACTTTTGTTCCGGCAATATTTCTCATAATTGTTGGGAGGATACTGAACTGTGGATCTCTGATGTTTATACAGTGTTCTCTGATTGTGCCTATTATGCTTCTACAATCAAATTCCTAACACCCATATCATTCAAAATAATAAAACATATCAACTAAACATACCTTACTTGAATGAGGGCTGGAGAACACTTTAGCAGTGTGGGGAGAACTTATTCAACAAAGCATCAGTCTGGGTGATGTGGCATATGACCGGACAATTCCTGCCATGCCATTTAACAAGAATGGCCAACAATAAGAATCAGGGCAGGTAAATACACAATCTCCAAACGGGAAGTTTGAAGGTAACAAAAAGCTAAGACAAAGGTGGCGAGAGTGGTTTGACCTACCGCCCTGCCTTGATGAACAGGTGCTGCCGACGAATAAAGCCATAAACTTGCACGATTCTTTTACTTTGTATTTAAAAGTGGTAGTATAGAGAAGATATTAGCAAAACCTACCTGCACTTGTGGCATTGGTATACATTTTCTCCACAGTTGGCGCAGACACCAGGAGATGCTGGCACCGCTGCCGAGCACCGAGGACACTGCAGTGTCTCTGTTGAAGCCTGTAAATTACACCATTTCATTATCATATCAATTGATGAGCCTCCCTATCTTTTTTTATGATTTATCCAATAAACTGCACTGCAAGTCAAAGAATTATTGTGATGCACAAAACAAGTGAAAATAATATCTAATTTCATATGTATAAGTGAAATTATTTACCTGAAGATTCTCATAGAAGTCAGTGTACTCAAACATGAGATTACAGGCAATGATAGGTAGTGGGAAGTCAATCTTCACCTCGATCTGTCCAGCAGATAACGTCACTTTTTTGGCTCGATGCCACATAGCTGGTCAATTAAAATGACACTTATTAAATTTGTCATACAATTAACAATTGAATATTAGTATTCATAATGTTCAAGCTTTTACATTTATACAAATTCATACAGTAATCAATTCATAAAACGGGTGCGCATTTACAACTGAAATATGTTAAAAATTTCAAGCACATTATTTAAACAACAGGAAATATTAATTGCCTAACATTGATCATTATAATTCAAAATTATATACAGCATAATAAAACATAGTAAGGTTCATTATAACATGATACAGTACCAAGTAAGAGGAATATACTGAAAAGTAAACAATTAATATGACTTCCCACATTCATATTAATAGTGTATACAGTAACCAATAAGTTCAGCAACTAAAGATCCAATCATGTAGTCTTTGAAATATTACAAATCCACAGTTAAAGATTTGCATTGCTTTTCAATCTTCATTCACATCCATAATTAAAAACTTTCAAAAAGATAAAGATAAAGATAGATAGATAGATAGATAGATAGAGATTATATATATATATATATATATATATATATATATATATATATATATATATATATATATATATATATATATATATATATATATATATATATATATATATATATATATATATATATATATATATATATATATATATATATATATATATATATATATATATATATATTGTTATCTTTGTTATATATATATATATATATATATATATATATATATATATATATATATATATATATATATATATATATATATATATTATATATATATATATTTGTTTCTTTGTTCAGTATAGTACTCTGCACATATGTTGTAACCCAAATGTGGTACAAATAAATTGGATAGATTCTCTCTCAAATATACGAGGCAATGGAAGCGTTTAGGAGTATATATGAATGGGTCTGTGTTCGAGCAGTTGTTGTCGAGAAATCTGGGATACCAGATATCTCTATCATCCAAATGTGATGCCAAGTTATGCACAGCTGGACGAAACTCCTATCTCCGGTGGTGACCGGAAGCAACAATGGGAACAGTCTTGGGGCACACACAATGGGCGATTTGTGTGGAGGGCCAGAGGATATGTGACCACATGTGGATTTTGGAGTTGAGATATTGGCTCATGCAAGTGGTGCATAGCAGTTCTCTTCTGCAAGCCAGACTGGACAGGTGGACGAGTGGAAGCCATGGGTACACCAGCAGTGGAGATGACCATATCAGCTGGTCGAGATGTCCTTAGTTGGTAACCTTTCACAATGCCTTATAACAGTGCAGTTCGCTTGGTGGATTACAAGAGTTGGTATTGTGAGTAGCAATCTGTGTGTTAGAAGTGACTAACACTTGGGCCAGTAATTTGAGAGAAGTGGTTCTCCGGAGATAGGAATGAATTAGCAGACGCAGGCTGAGAAAAAGGGCCAAGACCCTAGGTGGGTTGGCAAAAAGGGGCTAAGACCCTAGGTAGGTAGCCACTGTGCCCCTGCCAATTCAGAAGCCTTATTTGAAGAGTACCAATGCATGACATGCAATATAACTTTAATATATATACATACTCTATTGACATACTGAGACTTAACCAGTACAATAAACAAACACTGGAAGGAAGAGGTGTCAAGGACAAATATGGGTTAATCAAGAGTACTTTAAAAATGCAAACACTGTACATGAGAGAAAGCACCAAAGTCAAACAAACTACCCACCAGGTTTGTTTTTCAGTTCTACAACAGCTTGCACCGAGCGATTGTTGTAGAAAATATTGAGGGTGCGGACCATTTTAGTACGCTTAAGATCAGCTATTCGAAGTGTCAAACGACTGATCATGTGACTACCAACCAGTTTAACCAGTTGAGTTGTTGTCGTGAAGCGTGAATCAACCTGCAAGAAAACAATTGTCAAGTACTGTATGTGTTTAGAAACAGGTAAAGACAAATACGGTATTAGCTCATTAATTTGGATCACGTAGGATGGACACCATCTGAGTTATGTGGAGATCAGAGTTACACAAAGTTGTAGGGCCCCAAGTCACAATAATGTTGACTGGAAATTTAGACACCCAACCCCCAAATCTGAAAATAAAGGAAGTGACAACACTTCAGTCTGTCCTCGATCATTATCAAGTCAACTTGACAATGGTTCAAGATGGAATGAAGCGCTGTCATTTCCTTTATTTAAAAATTTTAACACACACCTTTACTGTAGAAAGTTTAACACTGGTGAATGGAACTTCAGGGTTGTTGCAGACAAGGCATGGCTCAGACTCCAAGTAGTAGCCATCAAACTCAACCAGTGAAGCCAATGAATTATATAAATTGGCATTAGGATGATTAGCCAAGAGTTGGGACTGCGTGCGTAGGACTGTCACCGCCCGATTAATGTACTCTATAACCTGCCAGTAAAAGTTTTATGCATATATTAGTAACTTATAAATGACTTATTAATTTCTGGTTTGTACAAACTTACACTAATACAGTATTTATTCTACAATATATATTTAAAGTTTTACTGAATGTCTAAATCACAATTAATTGAGGGAGTATTCTACGTCAAAATAGCACACTAGTATTACGAATATTTTTTCAAACATATTCTACCCCTGTACATAAATAGCAGTGAAAATGCCATTAACATAATAAGATTGTTGTTGTTCAGCTTGCCAATAATTTTGGTTCAAGCAGTTCTCTAGTGCTCTCTATTTACATAACTTATTAATTAAGAGGATGTTTTTTTTATATATATATATACCTGTGATAAGCACCTTAATCCTTGTAGCACCTCTATAGGGATAATGTGGCTATACACTACAATAGTATACAACAAAAATACTGCACTAAATTCCTGCCATGTGGTCCTCAATTCACCACTTGGGAGTACATGCACTCACTTATCATATGCCCCCCCCTTGTAATCACCTTAAAAACTGCCCATACACATTGTGTATATTTATCAGTGTTTTGTATGATGTAATCGTTTCCTCATCTCTCTCGTTTAATAATGTTACCATCATATCTCCAACATTTTTATATCTTTGTAGTTTAAATTTACCTTTGGAACCAGACATGGGTACCATTCTGGTACTACATACTCCAGGACTGGTCTATCATAGGCCAGGACTGGTCTATCATAGGCCAGGACTGGTCTATCATAGGCCAGGACTGGTCTATCATAGGCCAGGACTGGTCTATCATAGTGTACTAAAGAATTCTGTAGACCCAATAATTATGTTCTTATCTCTGCTACTCATGTGTAACACTGCCAACATTATTCTGTCTGGTGTTGTCTGTTTCCAGGTACTCTGTTATGCTTTAGTGGGAAGGTTGGCATTGGCCTCTCATAGTCTGATCATAACTTTTCAGTTCGAGGTCTGGTTTGGTAGGTGATGCCCTCTGTTCTTTTTGGGGAGTTTCACCCCTGGTTTTGGGGTCTTGTCCTGCTGAGTAGCACTCCAATTTTGTCCGGGTTAAATTTAGATTCATTTATTTATTATGCACCTCATACCCATCTCATGGGCAGTGGCAGAAAGGGTTACATAGCTGCATAATGGGTTTAGAAACTGAACCCCATACTTTGTTTAGCTAATCAAGTGACAATCTTGTAAAGCTAGTTACACAATTGTTAATATTACATACACATGTACATGTTATTTTTATTTATTATAAATAAATAAATATAAATAACTCCATTTTGCCTATCCGTGGGTTGTCTAAGTGTTAGCTGAAGTAGGGCGCACTATACGTCAAGTTCTTGTAGCTATAATATAGAGTTTTATAAGTTGTCAAACTAGCACAAGACATTCAAGGTATAGCCCAGGATGCAAGTGTAAAAATACAAAATATATATAACTGTTTAAAGATCAAGAATGCTATATAGTACTACATAAAAAAAATTAAAGCAAAAGCCTACAAAATAATTAATTAAAAAAAAATGCATGGAAATTTATAATACCTTCTTTTCACAGTGCTGAGTTTTGAGTGAGAAGTAGCCCAATAGATCAACAAACTGTGCTGCCTTGCGACCATAAGCAGGAAGATGAGGCCACAATGACCACATGAGGGTGAGTAGGGTGTCTTGGTCTTTGGGAGGAGAATGTCGGTACAGGGCGAGGACAAGTGAGTGGGCCTGCCACCGTACACCGGTCGAATTCGATTCTAGTAAGAAGGTACGCACGAACTGGCTAATGCGGTTGCGGTCTAAATACCTGAAAATGAAAAATGCAGTTTAAATAAAACCACTAAAATAATGTTATGAAATTCTTAACTAGTTCGCTACTATATTTTGTATTCTATACAGTTTTGGTGCAAAAAACCAGCGTTGAATGTAAATAAACGCCATTTTCTGGACGAGTCTCGGAGGCTCCCAAGAGCTATCCAGTCTGATATGGATATCCTAACTATTTTGCATCAGTCGATGTGGAGGAGTTCTAGGCCTACCGGAGACCACGAGCCAGAACCTGGCCCCCTCACAGAGGCCCGAGGAGCAATAGCCCATAGAAATGCACATGTGATTTGGAGGATTAAATATCTGCCATTGACCGAGACAGGCACCCAGAAAGGTAAACGCCTCAAAACAAACCCCTATTCTGGTTAAAACAACGAAAATCGCAAACAAGTGGACAGAACTCCCCAAAAGAAAAACGAGCAAACAAGCATGATGTCACACGAGCCACGCCACGCCACATGTTTGCGCAGCTCCCCCCACCCTGGGAGCAGGAAGGGGAAGCCCCGGACCCTCGCGCCATCGATCCACCCTGCAGTTCTGAGGCTGGATATAAAAAATGCAAAAACCACCAACCGGAGGGAGGGTTGCCGGGGAGCCTCCGGGACTCGCCCAGAAAATGGCGTTTATTTACATTCAATGCTGGTTTTCTGGGGGGAACCCCCCCAGGACCCGTGAACGAACAATAGGCCCCATAACTGACAAATAGAACCTGCTGCTTGCAAAAACTGCCAACCGCAAACTCCACAAACAGCAAGGAAAAAAAGGGCAGCAAAAAAACCTAAGAGCCAAGGCCCAGGTAGAGGCCAACAAGGAACCGAGCATCACGAGCCGAGACGCGAAGCGAAAAACAGTGACACTGCAAACCACAGGAGTGGCCCCACAAGACCCAGCAGGGTAGAACGAAGCATGCATCGCTGACGAAGGAAGGAGAACCACGAAAGACATTTACTGCACTAAAAAACGTACTGTCCGGAAAGGAACACAAAGAAAAGCCGTAGCCAGGGCCAGAAGCCAAGCACCCTCTGCCCCAATGAAAAGGAACTGTATGGGCAGGAGTGGGTGATAGGAAGCCACACACACCAGCAGATATTGCAACACACAAGCTGGAAGAGACAGAAGGAGAAGAGGAAGAACTCGGAGCTATACCGAAACACTAGGCCTGTTCTACAACAGGAAACTGAACAACATATCCCAACCTAGCACGAGTATGAGAATAGCCAATAGGCACCTACCAAGATACACAACAATGGGTAGGAGAGAGGTAGGAAGACTGAAAAATGCAACGAAAAGACCCGAAAAACAGTCCAAGCACTGTAAGCCAGGGACAAGAGCATGAGCAATCGGCAACAGAAGGTACATGAACCATATACACAGACAAATAGCGAGGGAAAACAAGACACTCGCCCAAACGCAAGTGCAAATGAGAGAAGCAAACCCCACATGAGCACCCAAAAACAGACCCCAAGAACAGGAAATCAGGCTTCCAATCCATAGGAGGAAATGGAGGGGTACAGAAGGCATATATATATACACACCATACCTATATAAGGCATATGTATGTGCATATGGAACGGATATATGGTTGAACCCCATGTTAAAATCCGACCAGAATGTCAACCGGTTCAACCCACGCTCTGCGCCCCCCACAACGGTCACCCAAGGCAAAATCGGGGAACGCCCCAAGAATATTGCAGAAAACACGTTGAGAACTCGTTAAACCAAAACCCAAAGTTAGTAAATGTCAGGCAGGGTGGGGTGGGGTGGGGCGGGGCGGGGCGAGGCGAGGATAGGCTAGGCTAGGCTAGGCCAGTGTCGTCCCACTGCGCCCGAGGGACGTTAATTCTATGGGGAAATGACGTTAAAAACAGCGCTCGCCGATGTCAACCCGGGCGACCACCGCGGAAACAACACATGTGCCGACCCAACTGCTACGTGGGTCAGACATTATGGTTCAGAACATATATAAGGGTGCAACCAGGCACTGAACAACGGGCAATGAAGTAGTGTCCAGAGTCCCGGCTGACAAAGACACCAGACAGTATAATCTACCCAGTAGAGCAGAGGCACTATCGGGTCACGACACAGCATAGACGTGTAAAAGTCTGGGAACACTGCTAACGGAGCATGTCCAGAGATGCTTGTGCAGGAGAGCAGCGCAGTGGAGAGGTGGAGGTGGTGCCACTCCTAGCCACCCCCCCACCCCATAAGCAGAGAAATTACTAGATGTGTTCTCCACATATAACCCAGAACGACCCCAATAACCAAAGGGCGATGACTGGAGAGATAAGATGAGTGAGAGCAGTGTATAACCCAGGAGAAAGTGCGCTAAAACACCGACCCATATTTATACTGACCAGAACAAAACTATCACCCACGGCGCATGCGCAGGTCACATGAGGTCCGGACTGTACCACACGACCCCCGGGGAGGGTACCAATTAGGAATATGGAACCATTATTAGTAATGTCGAGACAAGGACGGAAAAACGTGACTATTAAAAACGGAAACAGCATCGAAAGACTAGAAAAAGGGCGGAAGAGTACCAAGGAGTCCTAGAAAGGATTGGAAGCAAGCCCCACCGGAAGGCGACAGACGTTCCAATAGTGCAGAAGCACAAAATCATGGAGGCACAAATGCACCCAATAGCATCCGTGACCAACTGTCATACATGACCCATAGGGACATGGAACCGAACCTAGGCAGGGGTCGACGCCCAAAGGCAACTGTTACGCAGAGGGGGGGGGGGGAGGAATACCCGCACTCCTCGTAACATTAAGCCCTGCTCGGAAAGCGAAAAACCACAGTAAGGGAAGAACGAGGGGGTGCGGACTGAACCAAGGCCGTCGCGATCAATACCCCCAAGTCCGGGTCCTCAGAAGCAAAACGGGGCAGCCTCAGGGCATCCGGGGAAGCAATCAAACTAACGCATTGCAACAACCTATCAAGTAAAGCGCGAGCTGCCTGCACCCAAAGAATGTCATCAACAGATTGGGTGATTGGAGCCACAACCAAACAACAAAGCTCGCAGGACTCTGGGTCGAATGTGTCACTGACCCAACAGGCAGCATGACGGAGGCAAAAACAACGAGCGTCACCTTGAGACAAGGAGACAGAGCAACCCTCAAACTCGCACAATGCGAGAGGAGACGCAGGAGTCTCACCGAGTGGACCCGAGTGCCTCTATGGGGATTCCCAGGGCCCCTACACTGGGTCTGCTAAGGGTTATCACAGGCAGGGTACTGCTAACCAGTGCCCCAAACTACCAAACTGCTAAAAGCTGAACTCACGGGTCACGGATTGACTTGGAGAGTAAAAGAATTCCCAGAACCCCATCAAGCAGCTATCAAGCAGGATGTGTCCATTCACGAGGGCGAAGCAGGGGGCGCCACCACACAGAGATAAGGGGGAGGGAGAACAAGGCAGAACCCCCCCCACCTGGCAAAAACAAAAAGAAAAGAAAAACCTCGCAAGAGGACAACATACCAGAAGAGAACAGAGCCGGGCGCTGTTAAATGAGAAAACTAACTACGCAGTACCTCATGCCCCGCCATTGCAATAACTACCACTTACCCCAAGGCAAACAAGGGCGGAAACATCCCCCCCCCCACAATTGGGGGTGGCCAAACGCCAATCAGTGAAAGGCCAATAGACCAGGTAGACCCAAGATGACTTGTGGAAGGGAACCCCAAGCCCCAAAGGCAGTACTTACAGGGCACTCAAGGAAGGTGACCCTAAGCATATGCAGCCTGAGAATCTGAGAAATTACTCCCAACTCGCACGAAACCGTAAGAGCAGTAGTGAAACCCATAACAGCACTGAGAAGAAGACTGGAGTTGGAGCCACATGACTATGCACGATCCCATCAGCCAAGGAACTGAAGGGTGGATCACCGGCGCGAGGGTCTGGGGCTCCCCCTTTCCCTTCCCAGGAAGGTGGGAGCTGCGCAAACATGCGGTGCAGCTCGTGTGATGCCATGCTTGATTGCTCGTGTTTCTTTTGGAGAGTTCTGTCCACTCGTTTGCGATTTTCTTTGTTTTAACCAGAATAGGGGTTTGTTTTGTGGCGCTTACCTTTTTAGGTGCCTGTCCCAGTCGATGGCAGATATAGAATGCTCCAAATCACATGTTTATTTCTATGGGCCATCATGCCTCTGTAAGGGGGCCAGGTTCTGGCTCATGGTCCCCGGTAAGCCTAGAACTCCACCCACATCAAATGATGCAAAATAGTTAGGGTATCCATATCAGCCTGGATAGCTCCGGGGAGCCATTGGGGCTCCCCCCCCCCCCCTGAAACTTTGAACTTTATTACAGTAATGTTAAAAACTTTATTAGAATTTTCCAAATGGAATACTGAAAATTACCACATTTCAACATGGCATATCCAGTCTTCTATTGCAGCACATCTCACAATACAAAGTGGCCATTGACATCTTGCAGACGAGTCACAATATGATGGCTGAATGTTTATTATCCAAACGACACCAGAAAATGAAGAAACTACAAAGTTTCAGTCCATCCTGGACTGTTGTCATGAACATCTTTTACACGACATGATAATGGTCCAGGATGGACCAAAACAGTTGTTTCTTCATTTTCTGATGAGTGTTTTGGACATTAAACTGATCCAGCTGAAGAAGAAAGAATACGAGGCCTTACATGGAAATCGAGAAGACGTTTCCTTGTCATTTTATGAATAATTACTTACCTGTTGATCTGTGCTACTAATGCAGCACAATGGGCTTCTTCTCCTCTACTCTCTCCTTCACTGTCTTCACTGGAGGCACGCTTTGTACTGTTTCCACACCCCTAAAACAAAATGAAAAAAATATTTGTTAGTGTAGAAACAAAAATATATACTGTACTATCCATTTGTCTTATCTTTCACACTAAATCCAAATAGCTACTGCTGCAACATTCGGAACAGTGCATCTTGGTCTATCAATACGTCCACATCAGCACCCTACCTATCCCTTCATACAACCACAAGTAAACTTACTACGACAATTATATTATATTTTATATTATATTTGGTATATTTGGTATCACATTTTATATCAAAATATAAAAACTTCATTCTTCAAATTCAATTATAAGCTATCAATCATTATCTAACAAATCATTCAAGACCTAACTGTCTTGTTAAGCTCTCCTCAATCTTATTATTTAAACACTTTTCATTCCTTACAGTGACACCACAACTTAACATCCATAAGACACCATCTTAACACCACAACTGCATCCCAAATTGCCTATCTTTACAGCTTTGTAAATTTGTCCTTGCCATCATGCCCGCAGTATTACACATCCAATCTTATCACACATCATGGTTCTCACTGCACCACCCACTTCAATTTACACTTGCTCAACCCTCATTATTATTGCAAATGGCTGTTTTGTACGTACATATTTTAATCCAAAAATCCCTTTTATAAAGTAAAACTTTTCCCCAGCACAAAATACCTGTAGAGCGAGTATGTCAACTCGCACCATTATAATATTTGTTCTTTTCTGCGGCACTCAATCACAATTAACTTACAAATAATAAAATGACTGTTGCATCCAATTTACAATGGCACGCAGATTAACGAGCAGCTCTACCTATGAGCATTTCGAGTAATGAGCAAGCCACTCGCAACAAATTTGTCTCTTGACGAGCTTCACCTCTATTAATGAGCAAAACTACATGGTGCTTTCTAGCGTCTCGCGGGTTCTAACAAATTCTCGGACGCCTCCGACGCCAGTGTTGTTGTATCGTTCACGACAAGCATCCCTCTGTATTTATTTGCGCTTTTCTTTGTTTTTTTTTGTGGTTTTGTGACTACAATTTGTAATGCACGATGTTGCCAAAGAAGCTGCTTGCTACAGATAGTGTTGTCAAGAGGAAGAAAGACAATTACTATCGATTTGAAGAAGGAAATTATAGCAAAACATGAGCGTGGTGTCTGTGTGACTGATCTCAAGGGAGTATTGCAGGCCCTCATCAACAATTTGCACCATTAGTAAGGGGATGAGGAGGTAAGGGAGGATGCTGCCTCTTCCAGTGAGATCAGGGAAGTGTTGGGAATGTTTGAAAAGGTGACCACATTCTTGGAAAAGCTGCCCTGATAAAGCAGTGACAACCCGGTGTGTGAACATGTTTAATGACAATTTGCTGTCTCGTTTTAGGAACATCCTAAAACAAAGACAAAAGCAATTGTCAATAGATACGTTCTTTGCAAGAGTATAGAAAAGAAGAGCAAGTGATAGTGAACCACAACCCAATCCCAGTGGGGTGAAATTCCCAAGAAGAGAGAGCCCGCCTGATTCAGAGGTGGATTCTCCTTCCACACCATAACCCCTCTCCTCCTTCCCACCTCCCCATCGTCTCCCTCAAGCCAGCAATGACTCTTCATAAGGTAAAGTAAACATGAAAACAATACAACAAAACATTTATATTTACATGTGCAGTATTATATTTACATTATAAAATGTCATACAAGTATGGATGTTTTTGGCAAAACAAGGCAGAACCACCCTGAGACAAGGGGCCAGAACAGTGGCACGGATTAAATTTATTTTGGGAGTGGAACGGATTAAATTTATTTCCTTTATTTTAAATGGGGAAATTTGTTTCTCAAGACGAGTTTTCCACATAACGAGCTTGGTGCCAGAATGGATTAAACTTGTTAATCGAGGTGCCACTGTACTGACAAAGAAGTCTATCCAAGTGGGACTCGCAGCATCATATTTTGGTATACAAAAATTTACCTTGCATGAGAAAAGGAGAAAAAGATTTTCTTACCTTTGAATTTTCTGAACTCTTAGAGCTAGGAGAGAGTGCTGCTTGGAGAAGCTGAAGGACTGTTGGTGCCACACCTTCTTCAAGCAGGCAAGATACCTCCATCAAAAACCCGAGGACACTCTCATCCTTCAAGCAGTACCTAAAATTATGATATTCATAAATGCCAAAAGAAAGCGAGTGAGGTAGTGAGTGAGGCAATGTTACATTGATGCCAGATGACATGAAGGCGGGTGAGGGAGAAGACGCCTGAACTAAGGTCCTCTAAACGATTGAAAGAGCAATACACAGATGTGGTAACTATAGAGGATACATTTACATAGAAAGTCAGAAAAGGAATGCATGGGTTCAAAATTAAGAGGAAGACAGATAGGAAAATATAGGATAGGGAAGAAAAGGGGAGGCATCACACAGACCTAATCTATATTTAGAATGGATTTTGACAAGTTTCTAAAGGGAGAAAGTTGTTTTATGGATAAAAAAATTTGTAATGAAGCAATGTGGAAGGTTTTAAATATGCATGGAGAGGAAGAGAGTTTGTTAACAGCAGTAAAATAGTGTGAGAGCAGGGGATAAAACAGAAGATTTTAATGTTAGAGTAGTGCATGACAGGGTTGTGTAAAGTGTCATTAGTGTCTTAACATACTCAGTACATGGATAGGTTAGTTAAGGTGGTATAAGCAGGGCCACTTGAGGCAGGAGTACAAGTGGACTAAAAACACTTGTTAGGTAAACTATTATCATTACTCACTTCTGCCAATTGGGTGTGCGGGATGAAGATATGTCAACACAGGACTTGAGGTGTTCTATCAGTTGAATGAGGGAATCATATGGAAGGCTGATGGGAGTCATGGCTGCTCCACCAGAGAAGCTAAAGCCTCCCTGTGCACACAACACCTTCACATCCTGTAACAACTCAAATTTAGTTTATCTGTACCTGCTTGGCATTGCTGCTAAATGTAAATACAGTTAAATCCCTAGCAAGTGTATTTAACTAGCTGTGCTTGCAGGGGTTGAACTTTAGCTTTTTGGTCACAGCTCTCAACCATCAATCAACTGGTTTACAGGTTTCTGAACCTACTGGGATCATATCTGTATGTGAAACTGAATATGAAGTCAGCCTCTACCACATCACTTCCTAGTGCATTCCATTTGTTCACTGCTCTGAGAAAATTCTGATTAATGTGTCTGTGGGTCACTTGGGTACAAAGTTTCCACCTGTGCCTCTTTGTTTGTGGTGTCCTAACCCATGCTAAATAGTTGGTCTTTAGCTATTCCCCCCGTCATTTCCTCTGAGAATTTTGAAGGTGTCGTCTCCCCTAACTCTTCTGTCTTCGTGATGTGAGATTTAATCAGAGTAGCGTTTCCTCATGGTTCATGCTTAACAACTCTGGGACCAGTCTGGTAGCACACCTCTGAACTTCCCCTAACTTGGTCTTGTGCATGACTAGATAGTAACTCCAGAGTGGAGCCCCATACTCCAGGATAGCTCCGACACAAGTAGTAACACAAGTTTGTGGGGTTGCATCTCTCAAGATCCTCTTTTATGTTTCTCTCCAGACTGCATACTACAAGATCTTATGGGAAAAACAGGACATGCCAGGGCCAGGATATACAAGAACTTGTATATATTTTAATAACATAAGCTGGGCAACAAACATTGGATGAAAGCATGTTACAATAGACTGAAATCGAGCATGGGATCTCATCGTTCTAACATGGTGCTTTGATATGATTTAACACACCATATCTTGTCTCTCACAACAAGCAACATGGCCTACATACCCTTCAACACCTCACACCTTTGTGTATGAAGCAGTATTCCTCACTTTACATTTGTGTACAACTTAACATTCATTAAATGCACTAAGAACTGAAATAGCTTAACACTTTCGTTTGGGAGTGACGTACAAGACGTCCACAATTAACTCTGCGGATGTGCGGGAGTGACGTCCAAATTTAATATATTTGTTAAAATTATATTTTTTATCTGATCATGTTGCGACGTGTTTGAAACTTTGTTTGAAAATTGATATTTCAAACTAAAAAGATTACACACATTTGCGTGCAGGTGTAGCTGGTGTGCAAATGTGTGCTCGCTCACGGCCAACACTTGGTTGACTTTCACCTTTGCTATGCAAAGGTGGGGGGGGGGGGATTTTAGACTTTATATGCATATACCCCTGTAGGGAATGCTACTGTGAACAAATTGATACCAAAATGAATGCCGTAACATGGAAATCGAGGTGAGAAAACTTACAAGAGTATTCACATTTGAGTCTGGCCGCACGCTCGTGGGAAACGCTCGGCGCACCTTGAGGTAGGCTAGGGAGCGTGCGCCGGGGATGGGAAAGTGTTAAATGTTTTTTTATATACTCTTATATTTCTCAACAGACTAGGTAAGGAAGTGTACACTACTCTACATGGTCAACAGCTGACACATCCTTCTAAACTGATGTTCTCACATTATATTTTCTACTATGCATAGGTGGGAGAAAAAAAAAAAAAAAAAAAAAAAAAAAAAAAAATAAATATAATAAACACTGAAGATATTACACACAACTTTAACAAATTATACCGCAAAGTACTCATACCATGGAAGATGTACCATACAAAAATACTGAAATAATGATATCAACATCAACAAAAACATACCAGGTAATATTATATGAAAGACCAAATTTGGTGTTGTAAAAATGGCCAACAAATCCTCTCATTGCAAATAAGAACAAATGTCAAATTTAAAACTACCAAGGTTATTATGATAAATATTGACATACTAGACTATACAGCATGGATCACATACTTTATTATACATTTAAACTGATTATCTTAAATCCTCCTTTAGACTATATAATTGGCTCATGTACAAAACAACCTGTAGGTTTGCAACCCCACACTAGATAGAGTAGCCCCAGACATCAGGCCAAGTGTGTACAAAAATTTGTGCTGAAAATTGTGTTTTGTAACTACCACCAAGGAAGCTACATGGCCTAATAACAGGAACCTTCACTGTGCCACTGCAGTATAAAGTATGAAGGGGGTACTTAAAAGATGACAATGAAGGATGTTAAAAACACCAACCTTAATGTGGTAATCCAGTGCATGCATGTCCCTCATTTGACGGTACTTGTCCTTGTGGCCACATATAAATAGCAGCAATTTTCGCACTTGTCGTCGCACAACTGGAGTCTGTTGGGTCATCATATACTCACACAGGTAGTGAGACCAAGCTGGCTCAAACTGACCCCCTTCTCCAAGCTTCTTCATCTGATAAATCAAACGTGTAATCATCATCAGCAATATTACATTTCAAACGGTCACGAGACACGAACCAGAAGGCCACCTGTGAATCCTGGTCTGAGGCCAGGCTACGAGAGACGCTAATTCTTGAAACTACCTCAGGGTTAGTTTAAGGTAACTGTCCTCTCCCTACACTATTGTTAGCTTCTGAAGCTGCACCATGAACACTTTCCTGGGATGCTTAGAAACCAAGTATCACAATGGCCTTAGTTCAATAGTCAGGCTCTTCACCCTTCTCTCACACCATCTGACAAATGTATTATGTCCAAAATAAGCTTCCCCCCATCCTATATATATATCTGTATTGACATATATCAATATCCTTTACTATTTACTATATTTTCCTAACATGACTAATTTTTTTTACAGAAAGGGAAAAGTTTTCTGCCAAATTACTGCTATTACCACCTTCCTCAGTCCTAACCATTTTATGTATAATATTTTTAAGAATTATTAACCTAGTTAACTTAAATTTCCATTTGTTACCTGGTATGGCAGTCGGAGCACCATTTCAGTTAGCAAATGAGGGAAGGCTGCAAACACATCGTGGGCATGACCTTTCACGTACTGCCGCAAGAAAAATGGAGACATGTCCGGTGGTAACGTCAGGGGACGTGGCTTCAGCAGTCCTGCACCAATCACAGTACCACTCTGCTCCTTAGAGGAGGCCCTCCAGTATTCTAACAGAGCTTTCAGAATGGCTAGACAATGGTCCATGGCTCCTGAACGAACGAGGCAACTTGCCGTTGCTTGAGGTATCACGCTGGATATCTCGCTGCTTGATCGGGCACCCGACTTGCTTCGTGACATCATCACACCTATGGTAACCAAGAACAGACTAGGTAAAAATAATTTATAACTATAGTACTCTGTATTATTTTCTCAATGAAGTTTAACAAGAAACAGGAACTTGGAATATGAATGAGATACCACATCAAGTAATCTAATGAGGTACACTTGTGCCTTGCCCTTTATAAACTGTTTCACATCACAAATTTAGGAAACTTGTCTAACTACACAGGAGATGGCTGGCACCAAAGAAGCATTGTGTTAGCTATAACTCTTAGTGGAGTAGCATAAATCTCTAAAGCAACATGCCATGAAGGAATAGCAACCACTAACTATTAGTAACTCACTAAGCAGTCTCATTACAACCAACTGGACCTCCTTGCTCAGGGTGCGCTCGGAAACTGTTGACACGTCAATGCTACTCATGTTCAGTTGGGTCACAAGGGCAGAAAGGACTGCATCTAAGCTTGCTTTGTCCCGTGTATCATTGCCATCAAGGTCAGATGTCAGCATCAGTAGAACCTTCATTCACAGAAAGAAATCAATAACAAAAGTAAGGCAGTTTAATGATTACATTCTAAAATACAAAGCAAGTCTGAATCTTATACTGTACCTAGTCCTACAGAAACGTTCATTTGATGACTAACTGAGGTGTACCAATACCAATATTTTAACCAATACTGATACAACAGTATACACCTAATCTTAAATAAAATACAATTATAACTATCCTATTTCCAACTTTCATGGGTAAAGAGGCAACAGATCAGATGGTACTCAGTAAGACATCACTTCTTTACATTTTCCATAGTAACATCACAGAATTCCAGCCATTACACTAACACAACATTCACATTAGGCCACCGGTAGTGGTTGATTAATCCTCCAAAATATATAACAAACAATCACTCTTCAAACTGATTTCACCTAAACTGTTCTCATCAACCACCTGTGCACTGTTCACTCGATCCCCTCCACTTCCTTACACACACATTGTAGCATTACATCTTCATGGCCAATCCTCTTCCTCCTACTCAAATTCACTTTAATTTTCAATCAACCACAAACATAATTTAATGTGATTCAATAAATATGAACCAAACCATTACAATACATGGTGACCAAGGTAAACACCAGAAGATGAGGAGACGACGAAGTTTCGGTCCGTCCTGGACCATTATCAAGTAAATTTCACAGTCGACTTGATAATGGTCCAGGGAGGACAGAAATGTCGTCATCTCATCTTTTGATGTGTGGTTTGATCATCATATCTTCAGCCACGTTTGTGACTCAGTCTGAATTACAAAAACTCAATGAATTTTGGATTCCACATATTTCTAACTCATTCCTTTTGCTATCCCCGACGGTCCAAGTTGTCAGGCACCATTCATTCCCTCTGTCCTATCCCAGATCTTTATCCTTATATCCTTTCCAAGTGCTATATAGTCATAATGGCCTAGTGCTTTCCTCCAGATAATTACCTTATCTTGCTTTCTTACACTACTTATTATCAAAATGAATAAAAGAAAATATTGAATTGTATATTTCTTCTAAAGTACTCTAATTGATTTTGGGCTATACCAAGCTAAGTTTCTGAAACTTCATAAACTTCCAATATGAATCTTAACAGTTAAACACTTCAAGAATTTCTAATTCTTTAATTTTTAAAACAATATGGACACATTTCTGTTGGACCTTAAAAGCTTGGAGCCCCACTGCTATGTTTAAGTTCTTATAGTACATCACATCAATTATATACTTAATTTAACTAACCTGGAAAAATGGTATTGTTGTGACTCCTCCAACAGATGATAGGGAGGGAATACGCTGAATGAGAGCATCCAGAAGGGCCAAGCGAAGAGTGTGAAGTCCAACACCACCTTCAGGGAGTTCTTCCTCGACTAGTTCACCCTATACAGAGAGAGAGAATGCACTTTATCCACACACTTAAAATATGCTCAAGTGCAAAATATTATGTGGTCCGTTACATTACACATTGTACTAAATATAAGCTGTAGCCATCTTATTTCACTTTTGTATCCATTGCATCCAGGTCACAGCTGATAGGGACTTGCCTTTCATGATCTCACTCAGTTGCTCTTTACACGGTCCTGGATCAATTTGGCCATAATTGTGCATTTTCAGTTTAGTTGTTTCTTTGTTATATTATTTACTTATTTGATAATCTTGTTTTATTCATTTAAGTATGTGCACAGTCCATGTATTCTTTATCTCTTAGAAGGCAAACATGAGATAGAGCAGAACTCTCTTCCAGGAAGGTCAATTTTGGCTGAAAATGCATAGTAAACAACAACTGGGCAGCAAGAAAATGTACCACATCAGCCAGACAAGTATGACCCTTCAAGTGCACAGAAACCAGTGCCCAGAACAAGAGGTGAACCTGGACATGGAGCTGCCAAGTCCCTACATCTTGCAGCAAGTACGAGCAGTAAAGTGCAAATTTATGAGTTATAAACACACACACTGGCTGTAGACCAAAACAGAATTGAACATCACACCACTGCAAGACTACGAATAAGATTTGTAAATATTGAGGCTATATTTCAGGTGGCTATATTAAACAGGTGTCAAGGCAGATTTCATAGTTCAACACTGTGGCTTAGACCAGAGAATGTCTCAAAAGGCAATATAAAGGTACTAGTTCTTCTTGAGAAGAACTAGGGCCATTCTAAAGGTACACAAATGGCCATTGAAGAAAAGTGGGACCCTCTGTCTTTGATGAATTAGTGCTAGTGAAGAGACCCATGAAACCTAGCTGAAGCAACATCCTATAGTCAGACAGCACGCCATAGAATACAGAGGTCTCTCAAGACAAAGTGGAAACATTACTCAAGCGGCTAGGAAGAAATAAAGCAGTTGGACCTGAAGGAGGGACTTTTGTCAGTTTTTATGATAGAGCCACAGAGATACTACAGGGAAGAGGTGGGTGGTCGGGTTGACTGTATCTCGAACTAAGAAAGGCTTTTGGCCGAGTCCCACACAAGAGGCTGTTTAGGAAGCTGGAACATGCTGGAGAGGTGACAGATTTCTGACATGGATAAAAAAGTTTAACTGACAAACAGATGAGGACAGTAATCAGAGACACTGTATCTGACTGGAGGAGTTTTACTAGAGTACCACAGGGTTTAGTTCTTGCATCAGTAATGTTCATCATCTACATTAACTATCTACCAGAAGGAATAAAGAATTATATGACCATGTTTGCGGATGATGCCTAGATACTGTGGAAGATAGGAGACAGGCGATAGTAATGCCCTTCAAATCAATCTAGATAAAGTAAGTGCTTGGAGCATCAAGTGGCAAATGGAATTCAATGTGAATAAATGCCAAGTTATGGCATGTGGAATGGGAGAAAATAGACCACACACAACTTACAAATTATGTGGAAAGGAATTACAGAACTTTAATAAAGAATGAGACCTAGGGATGGTTTAGGATAGTAAGCTGTTGCCAGAGGACCACAGAGACCATTGTGAGGAGCGTATGCGTCACTTTCCAACTTCAGACTGCTTTTAATTATAGGGATGCTAAAATACTAAAACTGGTTATAACTTTAGTGAGACCAAAATTGAAACATGTATCAGTTGTATGGTGTCCAAATCTCAAGAAGCACATAAGGAAACTAGAAAAGGTGCGGTGGCATGCTACAAAATGGCTTCCGGAACCGAGAAACAAGAGTTACTAGAAGAGACTAGAGGCGTTAAACATGCCAAAACTAGATGATAGAAGAGGCGATATGATCACCACTTACAAAATACTAACAGGAATTTACCAAATTGACAAAGAATAATTCCTGAAACCAGCAACATCACAAACAAGAGGACACACATTTAAGCTAAGGAAACAAAGGTGATGGTTTTCTTTCGCAAACAGAGTGGTAAACGGTGGGAACAAGCTAAGTGAGAAAGCGGAGGAGGCCAAAACCATCAGAAGTTTCAAAGCATTATACGACAAAGAGTACTGGGAAGACGGGACACCAATAGTGTAGCTCTAATCCTACACTTAGGTAATTACACGAAAACTTATAACCCTATCATGAAGTTTAATGTTTAGCTAGGGTGTCACCTGGTTTATGGACAGGTGGCACATTGCTTGTTAGCTACTCAGCACTGCAACAATTGGCTGTCCTTGCAACACATTTTACAATCTGAAGGGGGTTTACAGCAGTAGCTATAGTGAATTTAGAGAACTTTTCATTGTCTTCCCTTCCCAACTGCACAACAAAACTATTTGGAAAAACCCATCATCATGGTAAAATATAATGCAAGCCTGGTGTCCTAATATCCCATGTGCTCCCCACACTCCCTAATACATACAGTATCCCTGAATCAAAGCTCACTTGTAAGGCAGTGGGCAAAGCTGCCGCTCCTTCACGAAGACCTGTTGATCCCGATTCATGTCCAGCATCACCGTATGCTGAGCTGCGACCAGATACATTATGTTCACCTCCAAGACTCTCTACCACAGAGCCACCAGACTCGCTTCCAGCACTTCCAGCCTATATACATTTGAAATTAAATATAGTAATTAAAAATTTTGCACAATTAAGTAGCACATTTAAAAGTTTATATAATCATTACTTCATACAATTAAGCATCTTACACAGTTATTCATTACTGCAATTTTCACTTTCATGTGGGCTAACAGGCATTAATCCAGAGAAAAAAAAACAGCGTTGAATGTAATGAAACACCATTTTCTGGGTGAGACCCGGAGGCTCCCCAGAGCTATACCGGGCTGATGTGTATATATATTAGACCATGGCAACAGTCAATCAAGGGAGTTCAGAGACCAGACCAGAGGGGCCCTCTGGTCCCAGCTCTGGTACCTACCTCCTAACCCAGAAATTGGAAGCAAGACTGTTTCCAATTTCATGGGGGTGTCTTTAGGCCATTGCTCCTCGTGCCTCTCTTGAGGGAGCTAGGTTCTGGCTCTGGTGCCCGGTAGGCCAAGAACTCCTTTGATTGACTGTTGCCACAGTCTAATATATACACATCAGCCCAGTAAAGCTCTGGGAAGCCTTTGGGTCTCACCTAGAAAATGGCGTTTCATTAAACAGTTTTTTTTCATGGTCAAGGAACACAAATTAAGTTAGGATTTTTTTTTTGTTATGTGCCTGTGGGTGACAAAGGCTAATTAGCCTTTAGCAACACAAGGGTTAAGGTGTACAGGGTGGTGTAATGAAACAGCCTCAGAGAGCATCACAAACTGGTGCACTGACCAAAGGCTGGTGTAGTAAACACAGACCAGTATAATAAAACACCTACTGGAGTAATGGCACAAGGCCTGTTGCTGCATCTAATATGGGTGTACAGCCTGAGAAAGAAGCTGATATAGGTACATGGTTGCAAGTAACAGAGCTAATGAGGAAAGTAAAACTTAGGTGAACTGTCGAGTTAAGTGTCATACTCCAGGACAAAGCAGACAACTGACTTAAGCTCAACCCCAGTAGGAGTAAGACAATAAAATGGGGAAAAAGATGACTGGAGATAAGAAGGAATTTATGGTACTGAAAGAAAACCATTTTAATGTTTTGCTTACATGTTCTGCAGGTGAGGCCCTTAAATTGGAACCATCAGTGGCAGCTGTTGAACCATCACCATCGTCATCATCAGAGCCATTGGCAGATGCAGTTGTGTCAGAATAGTGACCGTTCTCTTGACCATCGCCACCTTCAGCATCAACACCTTCAGGCTCATCACTCCCATCCTAAGTTTATCATAATGCACCTCATTACAGTACAATGAAAAGTTAATTAAAAATCGAAATTTTTTATTTCCTTTAAATTTCAAATTATTACTTATATATGACAGTTATTCACACAAGTCAAAGAGCACTGAAAAAATTAGACCTGCCAAGCCCCGATTCACCATTCATATAATGCATATTGCTCTTGTATTTAGTGCCTCTCACTCCAAGGGAGGTCAAGTTCCATCTAGCAGAAGTCAAACATTAACATGTGACAATGACTTCCATCAATTCTCAATGTCACTATCTACACAGATGGTCATAACATTTTAATGTATGGTTATATACTTCCCAAGAATGGATGCAAATGGCCTTAACGATTTTCAAGGATTTGGCAAATTTTTCTTCAAGCTCTTGAAGTTGTGGTATCAAGAAGATATGTGAACAACAGGCAGGGTCTAGATATTCAACCGTTTTCAAGTGATAAAATTGTTTGAAACAACTGTAGGGGTATATCTTTTACCTTGTGTTAATGAAGATTATATCTTTAAGCTATATTTTCTGAAGCAAGAAGTTGCTTCATACAGTAATTTCTTGCTTCATAAAATGCCTGTACTGTATTTATTACTCATTCTTTAATGTTGATTTCTGATTTCATTTGAGAGTAGTGATGGTAGTTTGATTTTTATCTAAGGAGCATATAGCTAAATTATCAAAGAATAGAGCTATTGATAATATTTGCATTATTCACTTCACTGATGAGCACTGAGAAGCAGTACAAATATTTAAGTTTATGAAAAAAAATTTGAATACATTCGTCATGCCAGATTTAAAGTGTAATGTATGCATTTCATCAGTTTCAACACAGAATGCCTTGTATAACTTATTATTAACTAAAATAGATTTTTACTTCGGATAGAACTGAGAGTTTTATCTTTAAGCTAAAGTTTACATGTAACTTTTTGTACAGGCACAAAATGTTGAGTATCTAACCTGTTGTACCTCTTGTGCATTGGCCTGAGCATTGCCTCCAGGCATGCCTCCTGCAGCTAACACCTGAAGGCTGTGCAGCACCTGACCACTGAGTCCTTGCAGACGATGTAGGCCGGGCAACCCGCCTACCAAACCTTGTAACCCAGGGGGAAGATTTCCCAAATCGGCAGGTGCTTGACCTTGTTCTTCGTGCAGGGAAAGTGCAATTGCCAGCTCCATCATGGCATCGTCGTCGTCAGCAGGAAGGTCAAGCATGCCTCCCATCAGAGCTCCTCTCAGTGCCAGGCTCCCACTCCCACCACCACCCAACACTCCCAGGGCATCCAGACTATCTCCACCACCACCTACCAAAATATACACATATAATTACTAACAATGTAAAGTGTAAGACTGTTATAATTATTTATATTAAAATGAGGGTAAAAATTCACTTCGTAACCACCAAATCCACTTTTTCTCAAGAAGGGCACTTAACTTCCTATGGCAGTCAAATTGCTCTACATATTTTTGTCAGTCATAACCCTTTTGTTGAACTCTCAGGTCCACTTTGCCTCTCACCTGCAACCTTTGACCCCTCCAGTTCCTTCTAGCCATCATTCATCACCCATATCTAATCTCAAATTTGGTTTTATATTAACCTGAAACTTTGTTAACAACTTTACAAACCTTGTTACCTTCCATCACCTTCTGTAGTCTGATCGCTTTATATTTTACTGTAATTTTCTTCAACGTGACAGTAATAGCCTCAGCTAATTAGTCCTCATGTTTTGTGGGTCTTGCCATTTTCAAGCTGCTTCAAACCCAATACTAAATGATCTTCCTACCTTGGTTCGCAACCACAACGTCAAGGGTTTGATTCCCATGCAGAGCAGGTGTTTGGCCATGCTTTATTCCCTAGGAGGCCTCTGCTATCTTGAGGTTATCTTGAGATGATTTCGGGGCTTAGCATCTCTGCGGCCCAGTCCTCGACCAAGCCTCCTTTTTGTTACAGACCTCCCAGGAAGCAGCCCAAAGCAGCTGTAACTCCCAGGTACCTATTTACTGCTAGGTGAACGGGAGCATCAGAGTGAGAGAAACTCTGCCCATTTTGTTTCCGCCTTCACCAGGGATCGAACCCGGAACCTCAGGACTACGAATCCGAAGCGCTGTCCACTCAGTTGTCGGGCCCGATAGGTACAGCAGTAAATAGATACCCAAGAATTGGGCAACTGTTGAGAGTTGCATTTCTGGGACGTCAGTCATTAGCCTAAGGGAACTTTAATAAGCCTGATAGGCCTTCTAACCCTGGTACTGGGAAATTCCATTTATGTGTGAATTAGTACTTTCTTTCCTCCACCTAAATCATCTCGATAACTTCCTGGTCCTAGTCTCTTGGTGTTACAATTGAGCTATGGGTAAACTCTACTCTTCTAATACACTTTCCTTATGTTCAATATGCATATTCCTATTGCTCTAGACACTGCTGGGATAGTTACCCACCACTATTTAATTCACAGGGATCCTTTCCCTCTGGGCCAGTCTCCTACTGTACAGCCCTTTATTTACTGACCTGCTATAATACCATACCAAGTTATTTACTGACCTGCTTCAACAATAGGATCAGCAGCTTCAGCTCCTTCAAATGGAGGCTCAACCAGAGCCGCTCCTCCAGTTTCCTGAGGGGTCACTGTTGGTTTCTCAGAGTCATCCACACCCACACCTGTAAACAAATATCAGTATGTTTAGTCATTTAACATGCACTTTATAATGTGAATCAATGACTAAAAAGCAGCTCCATGGAAGTATTGATCATTTCCTATAAATTCTCTCTCTTAACTTTAAAGTCCTTTGTAATAAAATTATTATGCAAAACAAAGGCATGGAAGGGGATCGATTGAAGATTAAACCACCCAAAAGGTGGTACGGGCATGTACAGTCTGTAATGTGACGGAAGGGGGGAGAGGAATAAATAAGGAGAGAGAGAGAGAGAGAGAATTTAATTTGAGACGAATAAATCTCACAACATTAGATCATCCACAAAAACCAGTTGGAGCCATGAGGATGATTCGAACCTGGGAACTCTTGAGCACATGCCTTAAATAAGTGGACCACAATATGTTAGTCAGTAATTTAACCTGGGATTCAACCAAATCCACAAGGGGTCCCGAAACATCGTGCCGACACCAAATCAAGGGTTTACACATTACCCACATGCATTCTGGTGTGGTATAGCAATTCATCCCCCAATGCTCCTCATGGCTCAAACTGATTTTCTCATTGATGCATCACATTAACCCTTGCAGCGTACAAATCCAATACATATGATTTTTGACCTAACTGACTGGAGGGCACATATGTTCACATATTTTAGAGTACTGCATAAAATTTTAAAGTCCTGCAGGTGAAAGGTGTTCACACTGCCTTCCTCAGGGCTACAGTAAACAGATGGCCCCCCCCCCCTTTATTTTTTTTTTATTTTTTTTTTAAATTGTGGGTATTATTTTCAGGTGTGAAGGTCTCGGTACTGAATGAGCAACCAAGGCTGGCGCATGCAGCACGAGCTATCAGCACTGCATTTAGCTTGTGACCACAACATTGCTTAAAAATTACAATATATATACAGTATATGCAATTGCTATTATTTAGCGACGACAGTATTACTGTACTTAAAAAAAAAAAAAAAACTCTTGAACACAGCAGTGTTGTCGGCTATGCCTCCCAGGGGTCTTTATTCCCTTGTGCATTAGACTGCCTTTTACCATTAAAATAAAGTACAAGATGCAATCTGCTAGCATGAGATGGCAAAGGTTTATTGTGTATTTTAACCTCTTGCACTGCTATCACAAATTCTTGCAGCTCTCTTACTATCTGGAGACTACTTTGCCCAGCCATATACAGTACACTGGAAATTAAAGCCTGAATCAATAGTGTCCTAACTAATCCTCATTAAATAAATCTTTCCGGCACACTACTAATGCCAAGTAAAATTGCAGACTATGCAGTGACCTTAGTGCCAGTGACTTGGGGGAAGGGGAGTCAAATTAGCAGCAAGTGTGTTAATATGTTGCTTGGTTGTACAAATTGATGTAGGTAGAACCTTCTTATGGTAAAGAGAGTTGTGCTACAATTTATAAATTTGTAGAACAAAGTGCCAACATAATTGTTATTGATGGTGGCAGAGGGAGCAGTGGTGGCAGAGGGAGCTTGTGATGAATACACATGGTGCCATCAAGCCTGATGGCTTAGTGTTTTATTGAGAAAACAATGAAGCATAAAAAAAAATTATAGTAAAGCATTAAAGTGTTATGAATGTGGTGTGCCTCTATGTATTGATCAGTTTTTAAATTGTGAATATAATTCACCAAAATACTTATTTAGAACTCTGGTACAACAAATATTTTCAAGATAAAAATGCATGAAAATTATTTAACTAAAGACCACAATTTTTGGCTTGAAGTTTCTAAAAGTAATAATTGGTGCACTTCATTAACCACTCAAAATGCACATTTTCCCCATGTATAACTGACCTGGCGTAGAGCACCTGGGTGGACTGGGAATGAAAACTTTGCGTCTCTTATGACGAGGTCGTAAAACTCTGATCAAAGCTTGTTTTGCACCAAAACTGACAGAGGTGTCCGCACATAGCAGCAACTCTGTGTAGAGTCGTACAGCAAGAGGTACTGCTGACAACGAGCACACTGTGTAGGCATGGATGATTTCCACTACTGCTTGTACTGTAGCTTCAACGTGAGTCAAACCTGAAATTAAATATTTAATGAAAATTATAAAAATGTTTTTAATAATGGACTTTTTAATATAAATAGAAAAATACTAGTCAAGACTTAATAAAGGCATGAAAAAATAATAATAGCAAAGCTATTTAGCAGAAACTTCAAACACTACACCTACAGACATTGAGGATGATAAAGAGTGGTTCAAAGTAATGACTAATATACCGCTCCCACATGTTGCTAAAATTTGATCAAAATCATAACCCAAGAATTACTTTAACTTCACTAAACTCTAAGACTTAAATTCTTGCATTTTCTCAAATGTGAACTTTGGTGTCACTGACGGTGAAGGTGAGTTTACATCATACCATCTCGTCTGAACTAGGTTCTAGAAGTCCTAAGATGCTCTCCACCCTAGACAACTGGACCATCACACTAAGACAAAATAATCTAGTACATCAATATTCACAACACAGCTCATAGGAAGACACGACCCATCCCCAAAACTCCAACTGTCACATGACAATCACCATTTTTGTCCTCTAGTGTGGTTTATATGTCATACATTCTTCTCTGCTCTACCCCTCTCTTCCTTAGCCCTTTTGTTAAGGGGCTAAGCAAGTCCTTCCTCTTTCCTTACCACTATCTCCTAATCTTCCTCTTGTTACTCGCCCTTCTCCGATTCCCTATCTAGTTACATCACACTAAATGTCCCTTCCCTCTATTTGCATTCGATCTCTTACTATCTACTTCCTAATGCTAATTTGTCTCATGGGTGCCTTTTTACTTTTAATACTCACACATACACAATACTGACACATGCAGCATAAGTATTTAGGTATATACACCAGGCTTAGTTCTCACCAGGTTGGCACATAGGAGTGAGGAAAAGGTTGGTAGGTTTGGCACTATGGAGAGCCCAAAACACATTCATCAGCTGAGCCAAGAAGTGTGTGTCATCACTGCTAATATCATTGCCGTTGCTGTCACCACCTTCGAGCGTTGCCTCCGAGTCAGAAGTCGTGTCGGAAGCCTTGCTAAGAGTAGAGTCTCCATCACTCTTCTTTGAGAGTGAGGCATCTCCCTCTACCTTCTGACTGGGTGATGACGATGGAGCCTCAAGCTTCTTACTGTCGTCTTCTAACTGAATTAAAGTTAGGTCTGCTGATGACACTTTCTCTGTGTACCTGCATTGCAAAATACAGAAAGTGGTAAAAGTAGTAAATAATAAAACTCAATATTCCCAAGACATCAAGTTATATACAACACTACTATTCCAATTTTTGTACAGAAAACAGGAGATACTTTTTCACCCATAGTTTAAGCCCATAGACCCACCTACCCACCAATATTGCATAAATGTACGCAATACTGTACATAACTTCGGCTTAAAATGGGATAGAAAAATTCTCAGGAACAATGAGGAGGGGAGGTTGGAAGGTGACAAGCTGCTGGTTTCCACTGTCAGTCAAGGCCACAATGGAGATAGTACCCCTTAGGTAAATTCAAGTACATGAAGGATGATGCTGAACTGGTAATACAGGAAAGGAACTATAAAATGCCACAAACATTAGGAGCCAAGTGGTTCCTTACACCTGTATCAGGCTCGACTACCCATTTGTATTGCATGGAAATTGGGCAGTCAAGTTCCAGAAGAGGAGAAAAGTCTGCACTGTGGAGAATTGCCAAACAAACCACTGGAACATTATCTAACAGTGTCGAGTTACACACACACACAAATATGATTTCTCACCAAGATTTAACAGTGTAGAGAAGGTTGTTAAAAACATAGGAAAACAATCTTATTGAAGCCAATATGCACATCACCCACCACCTAAGACAAACCAGTAGCACCTTGTCGGCCAATCAAAGGCTTATGGTCATCTCAAAAATATCCCAGAAATAACCAATTACAAACAAAAAATATTAAGCAATGATGTTTGGGATAGGGAAAAGTAGATCAGAAAATACAATCCCATTCTGAACTTTAGGAATATCCAATTTCACAATGAGCCACATTTTTATTGAACTAGATAGAATGTTTTAGTAAGCATAAGTGTGTACACTTTATGAAGTTAAGAAGATGGCAGAGTCTCAAATCATATCCAAAGCAAGGCAAAGGAAGAATTGTCCCAACATGACAATTGCTGACCTTTCCCAGGATATAACCCACAACAGTTTTCTAACTCCCAGGTACATATTTAGGGAAATTTTGCCCAAGCACTATTTTCCCACTGGAATTGAATGTAGTATCTTTAGACTGTGACCCGGCTGCTGTGACCACTGTGCCACAGGACAATACTTTCGATCCTACCATTGCCATATTAGGGTCAATGGCTTATACCCACAGAGGGAGGCATTATACCATTGCCATATAAGTGTGTGTATTACGCAGCTTATACACAGGGAGCAAGGTATTCCAACACCTTCTCTAAGAGGGCTTTATTTACTGGATCCACCAAATCCACCGCTCTTTACCAGTTCATGAAATGTTACACCTGCTTAGCAGTCTTGTCAGATATTCCTTATACTCCTTTCATATATATAATTAACAAACTTTCTCACATACATACACTCCACCTCACAACCACGAGGACAAGAAAAAACATATGAATGCAATACACAAGATACAAAGGAGAAAGTTTTTGGTAGACAATGGCAACCTCTTTAAATTTAAATTGAAAGGAGGCAAGATGCTTCCATCCACCACCAAGAAAAAATTAGAACACTGATACAAGTAATTATCATGGCAGGTATAGGACTCTAGGTGGGGCATAAAAAGCCATCTTGCTCCCCCTGTAGTCACCGATAGGTAAACACACTGTCCATTAAAACGAAAGAGAGACGACAGTGTAATAATAAATACATACTTGACAAGATTATGTGGTCTAGCCACAGCCACATTTCTTGCAGTGACAACAAGGCGATGGTAAGCTTCACAGTCTAGTTGTTGGGGTTCAGTCACACGACGAAGGTTATTCAGCGATTCCACCACACTGGCAAGCTGTGCACCATCTTTGTGATTGTGGTATGCCATACGACTTTGATGAAGCGATGCCAGCAGGGTCCGAGTATGGTGCTGAAAGGAAAGCTATAATTTGACCTTTTTTAATTTCTTGTATCCAGTCAAACAATATTTATCCGCTATCCATTACACAACAAATAATTTAAACAGTAGCACGATATACAACTTTCAGTATATTGTGCCAAACTGTTTACAGGTAGCCATCGATTTCCCTGGGTTACATTACTGCAAATATATAACCCAAGACATTTGTAATTAAGAATATGAAGTGGGTAGAAGCCAAACTTTATTCCCAAAAACATGTTAGAACCTCAAGGAATAATGCAAATTATCCAAAGTTCACTTACACACTTCAAAACACAGTATAAAACAGCTTACACTTAACTCTGAGTAGAAGTAATTCAATACTACATGTAAATCGTGGGCCACCTGTATATAACACAAGCTACTTATGGAAATGTTCTCTTTCTGCATGTTAAAAAGCACAAATGTTGGTTATTTTCAACAAAATACTGTAATCCTGGATAAGTCAAGCATTATGTGAAGCTCCATCAAAACAGCATGAGCAGCGGAGATTAACCTGCTGAATCTGGCATAATAATAATGCAAAGCTTCAGATTTCAAGCACAGCAGATAAAGTATTTGACTTTACATTAAAGATAATTATAAAAGGTGCGCAAGTTAGAACTAGCGTGAGCATGCAAACAAATGTGTAATACATATAAAGTACTGTAATCCAAAGCAACAAACTATATAATGTTGTGACATTCACAAAACTATTTAAAAAAATGTTGAATTAGTCATCATATCTGTACAGAGTATGACTTTACTTAGGATGAATATTGTAAGGAAAATTATACTGTAAATGTGTTCTTAGGGAATGCTATGGTATCCTAGTGCCTATAGGTACTTCTTGACCTCTACTATATTGTTCATTGAAATATTATCTACCCATTCTTCACCACAAACACTCACCAGATATAAACATGTATTAAGTTTCATCAAACTATTTTAAACTGTTCAAAACTTGTATAGAAAAATTATTAAGTCACCAACACTTCTTGTTACTGGAGTGAAAATGAACAAACTGACAAGACCAAACACTTAAAACATCTTTGGCAGAACACAGCATGCAGAGAACAGCAAAGCAAATGCATTTAACATTTTGCGCTGTACTGCATGGCAAGCACTTTATTATAACTTACGTTTTATTTCATGAACATCAGCCTCTACCTTGCTATAAATTCCAATTAAAATAAGTTTTGCCCGCTGTGAAACAGGATATTACAGTTGAACTACGTGTGTGATACTGGTAATGTGTTTACAGTAATGCTTAACCAAGAGTGCACAAAAATATAGTGCCCAAGATGTGAACTTTAACTAAGCATCACAGAACATTTCTCTTGAAAGTATTGCATTCTATGGAATTTAAAGAGATCTTCAGACCAAGTAACAAGTTCTTCATAAATACTAAATCACACATACATTATGTCTTCAATGGTTCAGGAAAACAAATCTAAAAGTGATGCCAAGTCATGCTTAAAAGCACAATTATGGAAGAAATCCATATTATACTCAAACTGTAAACTATAGGACTTCTACCAATAATTCACCCAATTATGAGCCGTTAATTTATTATAGGAGCTATCTCAAAAGTTTGCAGTAATTGATAACTGTAGATATTTTTGTTTAATAAAGTAGACTACCATAGCTGAGGCAATACATCAGTAAACCAGAACAATGAATTTATTAAGTTTATAATGGGGTGAAAAGTTTGGAGATACCCTATACAGTTCAGTACTGTACTGTATATCTATTTTACCCACCTTGAAGTGTTTCAAAGGATTACTGTACCTCTGACCCAGCCTCTAACCATGCCTCATGGTTCATGCATCACAATCTGGCATTGGCACCAAAAATCTAGCTCATCAGTTTGACTGAACATGTCAAGTTTCTCTCGAGTGTTAGGGGGTCAGGTTACACTCCCTCTTATATTTGTTGGAAATGACATTACTCAGAAGTCCCTTAACCTTTAATACATAGCTCACTTTTATTACACATTTACATTACCAGGAATATATTTAACACATTCTTCTATACTTCTCTCCTGGGAAATTTTTGTAAATATGAGAAATTTAGAACAGTCCCTTCAGAAAGAATAGTTTGAAGTCTTTAACCAAGAGCATGCATTGCCATATATTGAAGAATGCAGTCATCGTCATGTGTGTATTTCAACTATTGTCAATTATTTTACAAACATGATGCTAATATGGTTATAATAGCTCTATGGTGGATGAATTAGAGTTTACCTTGATGCATGACACCACTCCTATTGTTTCATGGTCACTTACCATGTGAATGTGTTTATCACAAATGTTACTTTGGGATTGCAGTAATCGTCATTGTGTAAAATTGGGTAACTGGGTAGCTTCTGGATACCTACTTGCTGCAGGGTGAACATAGGCATCAGATGCAAGTAAATGTGCCAAACATCTCAACCTGCCCAAGAATCAAACTCTGGTCCAATTGGATGTGGCCCAATTTAACTTTAATCTACCAGGAGGCCAGGTCATAGATAAAAGCAGTAGCTCCAAGAACAATCTCAAGGTAAGCATGAAAAAATATTCATTCAATTTAAGCATCATGAAATGATAACTGGCACATTATTCAATCTACTGTAACAAAAAAAAAATAGCCATTTACTCACTTGCACTGTAGGAGGCAGTGGAAGATTGAGTAACATAGTGGCCAAGTCTAAAGCTCCAGCTCTGGCCACAATCTTCTCTGCTGGTGTGGCAACAAAGCAGCCATCAAGAGTTTCCAGGGCAGCAGACACAAGGCGATCAACTGCAGTGAGTGGCAAGGGCATCGATGATGTTCCTCCTGTTGTCGCCGACTCTGTGCCACTCCCAGCTGATCCGCTCGTTGCAGCACCAGTTACGGTAGCCGAAAAGTCCTCTGGTTCTTCAGGCCAACCAAAGTCTTCCTTAGTTTTCCCATAACTAGAACAAGTCACATGTGAATGACATTAGCAATGAGGAACAATGTCCAAAATGAGAGGAATAGCAATAGTGTACAGTACTGCATTTTATAACAGTAAAATAATGCAATTGTGCATTACCACTATTACTGTACTTACATTTTTACGAAGTCAACCATAGCAACATTAGATGGGTCGGCTGAAGGTCCAAAACTGATAACAATACGTTTGTCTGCCTGTAAGGATTCTTCACGCGTTAGAGGAATGTCAAACCAGCGACTTCGTGTGGCAGCAATTGAAACACTGCGTCCAAATATCTGGCAAGAAAATACAAAACATAAAATAACATTGTGAACCATTAAGACTTTCACATAGTAAATATATTCATATCTGTACAGTTAATTCAGTACTTTAAAAAAAACCTGACATTCTCCAATGAACAAGGTATGAACAGTATGTTTCATTGAAGAATATCTTGAATACATGCATGGGCAATTCTATTCATAACCCAACTGAGTGAATAAGCATGAGCATGAGAGCTTGGGAAACATTGAGAGCTAGAGTACTTTTTATGGTCTATAATTTGCAAAGCTACTTTTTTTTTCAACATATTCATTCAAAAACTTTTGCAACATCCATACATTTTTACTAATTTATAGTCATAATTTTGTAAAGCTATTAATGTCAGTAGGCAGATTTGCTTCAGTAGTCATAATTTTTTTTTTTTAATTCAAATGGGAACAGTAGATGGCTTGCAGTTTTCCCTTCCCATAGTTCATTTAAAGGCTTACTCTACTAGTTTTCCCCAAAACACAACCAGTAAGTGTAGATAAATATTGCCGAAGAATATTAGGTAGCACTGACCTCCAGGTAGGCAGGGACCCTTTGGGCATCAACAGCACCAACAGAAACTCTCAAGCCACAGATAACAAGAGTAGAGTCATTGTTGGTCACCTCTAGCTGGAATCCTCCTGGTTTTGTTGATGCTATATACATGCCTAATGAAGAAGACACGGCAATGATCATTTTATTATAAATAAATAGACGATACCGATATTTCAAATTTATACTAAACACAATGGCATAACATTAATTCTTTAGAAAGAAATTAATTATAAATGTAACAAGAGTTATTTGATATAAAACTTTTTCCCCTAGCAGCACAACCAACAAAACACTTTGTTCAAGAGGAATAACAACTTTATTAATAAATTATCTTGCATCAACTATATAATATTTTTGCTTTGAAACAAACCTTTGAAAGTACCGACGGTTTAGGCCTCCATCACCATCTCGCCTAACTAGTTACAACCATTCTGTCTACCAATTATCTACCATTCTGCAAAAGTGCATGTTCTTATATTTCTTTGGTAGCTTTGTTTAGTTTAAATCTGCGACCAATTGTTCTTCAAGTTCCAGGTCACACAAATCCTTCCGTATAAATTTTATCAATTCCTGTTACTATTTTGTACATAGTAATCATATGTTTGCTTAACCCATTTGTTTGTGGTAGCCCCTTCGGTTCAGGTTTCTGCTCTTTGGTACTAGTGGTAGGTTTGTACGTTTGCAGCCTTTCTCCGTCCTTCTGGCGATGGTCGAGACGGCTGCTTTCCGGAGGGGTCCTTGGGTTATTGATGCTTGATTGGTTCAGCCGGGAGTGCATCCTGTGTTGTCCGGTTGCACATTTTGCTGTTACCTGTGTACCGTATCTGGGGATGCGCTTTGGTTTGATCTGGTTCCCCTCATTCCCCGTTTCAGGGCTCGGGTCTCCCAGGTCGTCCGCAGAGTTTTTAAGTTTACCAGCCTACGGTCTGTCCTTGCGCCCATGCTATTCGGACGTTTGCAGCTTTCACTGCTTCGTTGGCGACGTCTAGGGCTCATTTCGGGAGCAGGGATTTGAGGGTCGCACAGGTTCTTGGCCGCCTATTCTTTATGCACATTTGCTCCTGTGCGTTCTTGTTGCCTTGGGTCGCAGGTTACAGCCTTTTGTCTCAGCTTCGCATTGTGGAGTTTGTGGCGGCCGCCTCCCGGGTCAGCCCTTTCTTTTCCTTCTCTTTGGGTATGAAGCTCCAAGGAGCCGTAGGGGCTCCCCACAGAAAACTAGCGTTGAATGTAATGAAACGCCATACTCTGGGCGAGCCCCGGAGGCTCCTTGGCAATCCTCCCTTTCACCAGTCGGCAGTTTTTTCGCGTTGGTTGAAGCTTAGCTTCTAAACTGATGCTAGGCAGCCGGCGTGTTGAGGTCCGGGGCTCCCCCCTCCCCCTCTGCCGGACGGATCGGCGCGGCAGTAAAGTATGATGTTTGCTAGTTTCCTTGGGATTGTAGGGAGTTTCTACCTCTCTGTTCGGTTTTATGTTTTAGTTTTTTACCATGTGGGGTTTGTTTCAGGGCCATTGCTCCCTAAAACCTCTCTGCAGGGGCAGGTTCTGGCACTGGTCCTTGGTAGGTCAACTCCTTAACTAATGTCCCAGTCTAATATAACATACATTAGCCCAATAAGCTCCATGGAGCCTCCGGGGCTCACCCAGAAAATGGCGTTTCATTACATTCAATGCTGGTTTTTTATCCGATCATTCTGGGACTGGTTTGAAAATGAGCGCCTTTAGACTGCGCACAATTTGATACCACAATGGATGACGTAGCATGACAATTGTGGTCAAAACACTGGAAAGATTATGAATACATTGGTAGTGACGAGTTTCAAAAATTAAAATATTTATTAAAATTACATTTATTGTTCGATTATTATGGGACTAGTTTTAAAATGCGCTTTTAGATTGTGAACAAATGGATACCAGAATGAACAACATAGCTTGGAAATTTAAGTCAGAACACTGGAAAGAGTATACATATCCCATGATTATCCCATGGCCAGGTACACATCCCCGAACCCACCTTGGGGCGAGTTCGAGCGTGCGCGCCTGGAACGCGAAAGTGTTAAATTCCATTTGTCAAGTGGTGCTCCATACACTTATTTTGTGCAGGTCTTCATGAAGGGTGCGACAATCGACTAAGTTTATCATCTTCCCTAATATCTTAACATCATCAGGTAAAATGTTCATATAATTTTGTATTCTATCTGGTAGGTTGTTATGTAGACAATAGTACCGGTGGAAGAACTGAACCCTGTGGTACTCCACTCGTGATATTTCTCCAGTCTGATACATTGCCTCTGATTAATGCTTGTATTTTTCTGTCAGTTAGGATCCAGTCTTCAGGGGCCCCACTGGGTACACCCCTCCAGACTTGACATCTATCCACCGACTGTGACCATCCTTTTCCTAATCATTGGGAATCCTGTGTGAAACTCGCAAGATATATGGCTGTGTAGGGATGAACTAGTTTTGTTTTTAATGCATGAAGAGCAATGAACACTTAGGCTTATGAAGAAGAATGGAACTTCTGTGGAGTATGGTAGTGCTTGTTTTCTTTTGTATATTTTATTTATATATTTATTTATATTTATACATTACATGTATACATATATATACATATATATATTTTTTTTAAGTGTATGCCTTAAAACCATGAAAATTGGATACATGTACTAATAATAATAAACAGATACACAGATGAACATCAATCTGTATCAGGCTCCATAGTATTGATAGTCGTCATAAAACACCATTTCCATATCACGTTAAATAAGACTCAATCTGGAGTTCTTCGGTCCATGAATATTTAATATCTTATTTACTATGCTTACTGATCCAACACTTATTTTTCAAATTTGTTCTTTTTTGCTCAATGTGGAACTTTCGGCTGGTCTCATGCACCAGTAATGCATCTGAAGGCTAGGACACGAGCCTCATCCAATTTCTTTTACAATCCGACTCTCCCCTTATGCAGTCCTCTTCCACCATCTTCACCTACCTATTATTTGTTATAAATTGTACAGATCCATATACAGTTGCAATTTCGGCAATGTATCTTTCAAAAAGACTACATTTCACATCTCACCGTTCTCGTTCACATTCAAAATTTTATCGAGACCTCACAGAGAAGCACCTTACCTTGGCTGTTGAGTCGATTCTTCAGTTGTTGTACATTGTATACTTGCAAGAGGTCATTCCCACCATACTCTATATCATTCATCATTGAGCAGTGTTCAAAGAAGTCCACTGGGAAGACAACAGAACCTGTAGGATACAATAGTATTGTGTCATCATCGTTAAGAACCTGATCACTGCCTCGATGACCAACTAAACGGTCACACAACTGAAAAACAAATATGTAATTTCTATAATGAGAAATGAAAACTACAGCCACAGCAAAAATACTTTATCAGTATCAAGGTACTATAGAATAATGCAGTTTAACATGATCAATATGCTCCAGACATCCGAGTGTGTACACTCGTTAAATAACCAGGGTAGAAAGATAATAGTTTTTCCCTACTCTTCCTATTTAGTTTCAACAAAATTGTTTTTTGTGCAACTGGGGAATGTTGTCATAGCCTAAAAATTAAGTAAAAAAAACTGAAGATTATGACAAATACAATTACAATCAAGACAGATGGATGATCGAGAGGATAAAGAGGTAGTTAATCCCACGTACACACCTGATGGTCGCCCTAACTTTGGAGTCTTCTTCTTCCTTGAAGGACGAAGTGAAGAGATGGCACTCACAACTTGCATCTGTGGTGACAACCAGAAATCTGTGGGAACGATAATTCTTTAGAACTATTAAAACACGCTTGCTACACGGAGTGTACTGGTATTTACCATAAAACACTATTCAGTGGGAGGCAAATTTATGGTAGAAAAACAATGTTTATTAACGTTTAGAATCGTACGAAAATAAATTCCTCGATTCAACCTCGATTCAACGAATCTCCTGCTAGTTCGCACACTTTTCAGGCCGGATTTACTCACCCAGTTCGACAAACAATGGTTCGCCGAAGTGAGGGATGTTCGGACTTGCTTACGATGTCGAGACAAGAGTTCACAATCTGGTGGAAAACTTTCCCATTCTATCACCGATTACAATTAATAATTCACTCATATGACAAGTTCGAGCACACAAGTGGACCACACAAGTGGGCCGCACAAGTGGTCCACAACCTTACAATGTTGGGACAGTTCACGGAGTGGTGGAAAACTCTCTCATTCTATCACAGATTACAATTAATAATTCCTTCATAAGACAAGTTGGATCACACAAATGGACCACAACAAGTGAACCATATGAACCAAACACCAACTAGAGTGGTCCACACAAGTGAACGACTGAGGTTCAATGATTTTCGTTCACCGATTTGTGGCACACGTATCTTTGTAAATTAATTTAAAGGCTGAAGCGTGAATAGCTAGCTAATGTGTTGAAGTTTTCTTATACTGAATGCAATTTCTGTGATGAAACAAGATGAGTGAGGGTGGACAGATAAGGGAATACTGTACAGTAAACCTCACTTTACAGTGAGGTTTCACTCACTTTCGTCTGTGTCGTCAAAGTTCAGTGACCCATGACTTTGAACGTTTCAGATTAATAAATCATTTCTAAAACTGGTGTTTTAATAACTCTTTTATCATCCTAATTAAACTAAACTAAATAAAACCAAAAATTTACTGTAATATGATAGATATCTGCTATTTGAGAAATTATTCATGTTTATTGGCGGCACAACTCCAGCGCGAGTGGATGGGTCTAATCCATGTGCAAACACCAGCATGCGTGTTTTGTTCGATTCGTCACTACAGTTCTACGGCTACAGTGAAACCTACGGCTTCAAAAGAATAAAATTAATAAATTGTTTCTAAAATAAGTATTTTGTAGCTCATTATTGTAATAATGTTGCTAAACTAAATATATAACCCAAAAATATATAATTTGATGTAAATCGAATATTTGAGAGAAATTTATGTTACTGGACCTGGCTTAAATACCAGCCTACTGTAGGGTGTACTTATAGACTAGTCTGAGTTTGTACAGTATGCACCCAGTGCCCTTAGCTTTGTCTGCGCTTGACGTACAATATTTATCCGCCGGTGGAAAAATAATTGTGGAATTTACCATTTTTTTACTACAGCTGTATTGTTATACAAAAAAATGTCTCAGGGGCTTATTGATAGTGCCTTATTAATGCCCAAAAAGAAGCAATATTTTACAAGAACTAGTAGCAGAAAATCAACTAGCACGAGCACAGCGTACCCAGCACGAGAACAGCCGTACCCAGCACGAGAACAGCCGTACCCAGCACGAGAACAGCCGTACCCACCATGAGCACAGCGTACCCAGCACGAGAACAGGCGTACCCAGCACGAGAACAGGCGTACCCAGCACGAGAACAGGCGTACCCAGCACGAGAACAGGCGTACCCAGCACGAGAACAGGCGTACCCAGCACTGGTACAACAGCAGCCAGCACCAGCTCAGCAGCAGCGAGCACCAGCAAAGCTGATGCAAACATCTAAAAACATCGTGTGTGGTGTGAACAGTTAGAACAAGTGTTAAATTTAAGTGTGTATATAGTGTTAAAATTAAAGTTGCAGTAATTTTAGTGTACAATAGTTTTCATAAGCTGTATTGTAGTACTCAACATACAGCAGAACTACTTAATCAACACAGTGTTAACGGTATAATACACTACAGTACGTAATTACTGTACAGCATTCACATCTCCACAAGACTTCAAGATGGACATAACTCCAACAATAAAGTAAATAACATATGTAACACAGTATTTTTTAGTATGGTAATAATATATAGCTACAGTATATAATATGATAATGCATTTTTATTGTGTACAAGAAAAAGAGAGTGACACAAACGCCTCCTGAAGGTCACCTCTTGTAACACATCCAATACTCCAAGGCACAGGGGTTGGTCCCATATAGTGCGTTGAATTGAGGATGTACTGTATATACATTTTTAATAGGGATAATTATTTGTATAGAGGGGTATATAGTGCTCCACAAATTTAGGACCAATTAAGTAACTAAATACAAATTACAGCAATTTTACTGTACTAGACAATTCCAAAAGCACCAGAAATGAAATACTGACCTGTAGTCTGAGGGTTGGCATTATATATCCTAAGTGAGCCGTCTTCACAGAGGAGGATGAGAGTAGTTTTGGCCTCGTGGTTGGGTGACCAAGAGTGTCGCAATGCCACTAGGTCCGTCATTTTGCTCTTGGCCGGCAAAACACGAATCTCTTGAACGAGGATATGGTCAGGCTTAACCATCAGAATCACTGGATTATTACCTAAAAGAAACAATAACAAGACAAACATTGGTATGCTATACCCATATCCTATATTGGTAAACACTGGGCCTATAATATTTGGTCAGAGGTAGAAACACCTCACTTGCTACACTTGCTAAATAGAGGACCACAATTTTTGTAAGAAATGCAACATCTTAAATCTGGCCCTCTCTTTAGCAAACATTGTTTACAGAATTCTCAATTGAATGGAACCCATTTTCTTGGAATACTAGTTGGAGTCAAAGTTTTGATTCTGAGCAAGCTTACAATGTAGCTTCCTTTCTTTAGGATATAAATGCTGCACAAGTAGACTAACTTAAGGAAGGTGACTTGCCCAAGAAATCAGTAGATAAGAGTTGGAGACCCTGGTTAAACATAACTATGATGTGGGTACCATACACATGCGCAAACTTTTAAAAGTATGAGATCCCCCCCATCACGCATACACAGATAGCCAGTCTTAATAACAAAACTGTACTGGACTTTGCTACATGAAGAGGCTCCTGTAGAGCAAAAAAGCAGTGCCCTCAAGCACCAGTCATAGAAGTGAGTTGGCCTCCAACCCCCAGCATGATTAAACTGGCACTGTCATCTGGTGGCAGCTTGACTTGAGCACCATCTGTGTTTGAAAAAATTCAGGGCTTCTATGAAGGGACAAGCTACTTAAAGGAACACTAGGAAAGTAGGACTTGAACTCGTCTTGTAAAACAGGATTTTCCGAGAAGTTGCACAACTTGGGTTAAGTCTTGCCAATTTTTGAGTCTCTGAGACCTATTTGGAGAGAGTTTTGAGTAATTTGTTATAATGAGCAGTTACTTCATGGTAGATTGAGGCATGGTATACAGTATTCTGTTTGCCAACCTGTTCATAGCTAGGACAAAACCATTCACAAAGATACTAGTCTCCTTGGTCATTACTCAAGGCCTTGCAGTGTTGCTGTGCAGGCACATTGAGTGTATTCACCTAGTTGTGATTGGGTTGAGCTCTATTCTTTTGGCCCACCTCTCAACTGTCAATCAATCAACTGTTATTAACTACTAACTAATTATTAACACTAAAGTGTATACACCTAGGCAAGCTAACAAAATGTTGCAAGAGACTTCTCATTTCCAAGCTTTATTTTCCCCACAGAGTGCAGGTGTTACTGTCCCCTTCATACATGATAATTACAGGTCTCCTTCAAGATGCATAATATATTTTAATACAGTACAAAAATTATATTGACAATAATGTTGTACATCTTTTATGTATTACTTAAAAGTAATTTCATATAATGACTACTTTCCTAAGCCATAGTCTAATATCATAATGGTTTAATTAAAATTTTTAATGTTTTTAGAGGAAGCAAATCTATATGCAAGTGGGGCAGGGAAGACAATGTCACCTTCTGAAGGCAAATTGATTTTTTTAATGCTGCTTCAATTCTATGACATAGCTGCCAAATATATGGACCAGGTGTGGTTTAAGGCCATACTGGCTTGGCCAAAACTGTCTCCTACAGAGAACCAAATGTTTGTGGAATGAACCATACTAGTTCTACTCCATATAAAGATGAAGGAGAGAGTCAGCTCTGCACCAGCTGTGGATAGTAGGACTAACTTTACACCAGACAAGCTTCAACGTTCATCACACAAACCACTTGCACAACTGTGCACTAATAGCATTAGTCGTCATCTTCACAAAGTGATCAGCACTTAATATCTTGCCAAGGTTAGCAAGTACAATTTGCATTCTTAATTGTTGATGATAATTTCGGGACATTAATATAGTTATTTTGGAGAAGAGGTTTCTCAGAATCATGGCCTGAAAAGTGTCACAGTACTGTACATAAAGATAAATAAGAGTGGCAGCCTCACACCTGATGGTTCAGGTGTTGCAACACTGGCACTAGTAGACCTGCTGTCATCCTCATATTCATCACCAGCATGTATGATTATGTCCTTTTTGAGAGGCTAATCCTTATACTTGTGTATAAGGATTACACACGAGTATAATCAAGTATATTATCGAGTATATAATCGAGTAAATTATATACGTAAGTATACTAGTGACCAAATGACTACTTTGTGGAACTGGAGGAATGCGAGTTTCTTTGTATCAGTTGTGCAATACAGTACTTGTATAACACAAAAGGATTATGTATACCATGTACTGTATAGCCACAGAAAATGTGAAGACTTTGGCACACATTTTAAAACAAACTGCATAATAATTGGACAATAAATGGAATTTTTACAACTATTTTAACACGGGAAAATTGAGTAATTATTTTAGGATGTCATTACCATACTCCGATAGCGATAGTGTTAAAAGGGAAGCTTGAATAATCTAGATATGTTAAAAATCTATTAGGCTGTGAAGATTCAACACTATATGAAAAATTCTCTTAGGCATCCCAAAACAAGATTTATCTGCAGAGCAGCACTTACTTGATTGGGTAAGGCATGTGATGAGTCCCGGATGGCCAGTGACCTCCCCCCACTGACACAGTGGCTGAGGGGCCATTTTACTGCCACTGCCGCCACTGCTGCTACTGCTGCTGCTACTACTGCTGCTACTACTGCTGCTGCTACTGCTGCTGCTTCCTCCTGACCCATTACCGCCTTTAACACTCACAGCAAATAACTTTTCCACTTTCTCATTTTCATCTGCAAATGATCCATGATAAAACTATAATCATTGAAGTAAAAAAAAAAATAGCTTTTCATTAATACAGTATTCAATTTGAATAGACTAAAATGAGTGCACCACGTTTCTTCTATATTCATCTGGATGTGGCCACCATCTGTTTTATTTCTGACTACCTCTTCTTGCCTGCCTGCCTGCATTTGACCATGCCTGTCTGATCAGTACCTATGGGAAAGCAAGCTCTGAATAATGCACCCCACTCAATAGCTATTAACCCTTAAACTGCTCCCATTGGCTTGAAGTGATAGACCAACAGAACACCTATTGCCTGTGGAAGATTAAATGTACCCCCATTAGTTTCAAAAGTCCTAAAGATTCTATGTGAATGTCATTTGACACTAGAGACCTCTAGCAATCATTTGCCATACTGGAAAAGTCCTGAAAGCTTTAGCTTCCTTCCTGGGCCTTAGTACAACAGATACGCCCAATGTCGGGTGCATCACCATTCATTTACTGATGCCCGTACTTGTACTAGGAACCACTGATGCTATGCAAAATTTCAAGGGCTTATGGATCTGGAAGATACTAGTGAAAAAGAAATATAGTTAACTATAAAATAATATCTCTCAGAATATGACATTTTTTCATCTCACTGCAGCCCTAACATCAAAAGGCAATTTGCTTGTGTATTACTTCATTATTTACTATTTGATTCGCACAAGCAAGCATGTGCATGTATTTAAAAGCCTCACTTGTTGTATGGACTTTGGAAATTGTTCCCCTTGAGCTGCATGTGACTAGGGCAGCCCTCCCCCTGGGCATTAATTTGTTGTTGTCCCCACTGACAGGGTCGCCTCCCTGGTGGGTTTGGGTGTTTGGCTCAAAGGCTGGCCTCCTGTGGAGGTTGCCTCGCCCAACCAACCTTGTATTGCAAGAGTTTTAAGACTCCTCCGAAAGACTATGAGATTGGAGCCATTCTGGGGTTATTGATTAGGCGTGCATTACGGTTTGCATGCTTTTACATACAGCGTGTGGCTGCTGCCATTTTCCTTTCCGTGTCAGTTCATCCAAAACATCCCTTGTGCCTGGGTGTCCTGTTTGCTCTTTATTTTCAGGCCCTAGCAAGCCCCACAGGTCTTTGGTGTGGATCATCGCTGATAAGCCCACCGAAACTTCACTCACTCTATGCAAGTCTGAGGTATGTCAGTGCTAATAGAAATTTTTTGTTTCCCTATGCCATCTGTTAAGTGGGCATTACCATGTGACATTTTGGCATTCTGGATCTATTTTTAGCTAGAGCCTCCATCTACAGAATTTGTTTTTGTAGTGAGAAAGCTTAATACGAGGCAGCCAATTTAGGTTTACATGTCTGTTTTTGTTGTATGCAGCCTGGTGCTACAGTTGTTGCCCAGGAGTCAGCCATGTTTTAGTTTTAAGGCACTTTTGGAGTTGGAGCAGCTGGCATATTCTTCTGATTTTTTGTTCACCACTCTTTCTGCAATCCATCTGGCATGGTTCAACTGACCACGTTTTACCCTCTTACTCCAGGACATCAGAGGTTTTTAGAGTGTGAGCTGCAATCAGCTGTGGGTGTAGCTCAGCCTTTTCCAGGGATCATCCTTTCCATATAAGCAGCAGGCGCCTTTTCCATATATGCAGCAGAGACAGTTGAACCATTCCTTCCCAAAAGGGGGCTCCATAGCAATATTTCTTTGGGAAAAGGGGGTGTATTTGGCTTGGCTGTGATGCCACCTTTTTATCTGATCAGGTGTCAGGAATGGAACTTATTTGCCATGGGGGTCTTCATTTAGGGCTGCCAGGCTGGGGAGAAGCCAAAGATGTGCCCTTAAGTGCTTTTAAACCCATCCTTGTCTCTGATGCCCGATTTTTTTTTTAAAGCTCGAGTGAGGACTCATACTTATTGTCAATATTCGAGCTTGGTTCCTTGGGTGTTCCTCACTGGGTGTGCATCTGTGGCCCAGCAGGGTCCCCCAATGCATTTTTTATCCATCCTGCATCCCGCTTCCTTCTGAGTTCAGCCTGGTCACTTTTTTTTTCCTCCCAAGGAATCAGGCCCTCACTTCATTTGATTGCCTCTTGAGTGCAGACTGGCTTCAGCCTTTAGGATGTGATTATAAGGTCCCTGTTTAATCCTGGCTCGTGCTCAGCATTTGCTGTTCCTGTACGCTCCAGTGACATTTGACGAGATTCAGCTTTCAGGATTTCTTTGGCTGTGCCTCATTTACATTGCTGGAGTTTGTTTGGATCCGGCCACAAGTTGTGGGCATGTAGCAGCTCCTTGTATAGTTACTTTTGCCTACAATGGCCTTGGCTGAGAAGATTCACAGGTCATGTGTTTACTTTGCTTCCATTTTTTGGGATCTTTTGAATTTGGGCTGTGGTTGGGCTACTCTTTCCTGTTCCAGGGCAGGCTGGATATTGGGCTGTTACATCCATGTTGCTTGCAGTCCAGATTTCAGAGGCTGAAGTGAAGCCATCTCCCCTCCTTTAGGAGATGGCTGCGGACTTGTCCCATTCATTAAGTGTGCTGGGCTTGCATCTGTGTTCTTTTCGACTTGGTCCCTTTCTCTGCCTCCCATATTCCATGTTTTCATCCTTCCATTTTACTGAGGCAACTGTCTCTTCTGTTCTTTCACTGGTGAGGAAAAGGGGGAATAGGTAAGTTTGTACTGGCTGCTCAAGGGGCAAATTTAATCGGGTTGGGGCAGGCTTTCCCTGGCAGCCAGTTCCTGGTCCCCACCATGTAGGTTTTTTTCTGGGTCATCTCCCTGCACATGCAGTGGTGGTGACCCTCGACCCCTCCCGAGTTTCAGGGCCCTTGGGTCTGTTTTTCCTCTGCAGCTCTTTTCAGTCTTTGCTCTTGGTCGGACACTCGAGTTGGTTAACCACCTTTTCGCCGAGTTCCCTATTTATGCTCATCCTCCAAACAAAGACCCAAAAGTGATTCCATGTACCCGCCAAACCCCCTGTTCATGAATGAAAAACGGTTTACATACAACTCGACTGATTTCGTACGAACACTTCCGGAACAAGTGCTTCACCGACTAATTTTGTTCGAACCACAACGCTATAAATGCTTCACACACATACTAAAAATACAAATAATCGCAAACAGAACCTAAACCACCTAACCTAACCTATGCTGTCAGGCCCTTCTCCCATGTAGCAGGCAGTTTTTTCTGGATGGCATCCCAGGACCACCATGACACTTCCTGGGACATCACTTTTTGTCCAAAGTTTGGGAATTGGTTAGGGTTTGTTGTGGAGCTTCAGGCTTACTGCTTTCAGGTCCTCCTTTTCAGCTGGATTCCAGCTCAGTTCATCCAGGTTAGCAAAAGTAGTTTTTTATCCAGCAATTTCTTAAGATATCCCTGTTTTCATTTGTTAGTTTGGGGTCCCAATCAGTATGCATGTCTACAAGCCAGGGTTTCTTTCCCAGCTTGTGGTTCCTGGTGCTCTGGAGGAAGACCCAGTTGGTTCAGTCACAGGTTCAGATATAGTTGAGTCTTCGACAGAAAATCCCAGACTGACTCCCTTTTCTAGCTGGAAGTAGGTCTGCTCCACCTGCAGGCTCTCCTCCATCTAGTGTTGGGGAGGCCCCAGATTACTAGATAGTTGGTCAAGTGTGATCCTAAACTTTGCCAAAGTGGTGTTATTCAAGGGCAAGGTTTGGCTCCAGGCAGTTTGGATTCCTTCAGCTCCATTCTTTTTGCCACTGCAGAGATATTTAAGGTACAAGCTCTTTGGGAAAGGCTCTGTGGTAGGTTTATCTTCCTTCACGCAGTTCACGTGTGGGACATGTCCAACACTCTTGCACAGTCATTCCTGTTCCATTTCCATTAAGAGGACTGTTGATGAGGGGGATCCTTTCATTGGTTCTGCAAGACATTCTTGCTCCCAGAGATGGGTATCTGGATGGAACTGACAGTGTAAAACCTACACGGCTCTGTTCACCGATTCCCACGAACACCACGAAACTGGCCTAATTTAGAGTGCACAGTTAGTGGAGTAATACCAGATACATTTAAATTTCCTGACAAACTTTTTAAGAGTAATAAACAGTTTAACAAGTCTAAGTCAAATTATTTACAAGAAGCATGTACTTACTGATTGATACAAGTGGGGCAATGAAGCTCTTGCCATGGGCATAGCTGAAGCACAGCACCTGGAGTGTGTGGGAATAATACACTGACACACCACCACCACCTATCTGCCCATTGCAATCCTGTCGAAATAAAACATGGCATCACTTTCATGAATATCAAAACAATATACAAGCATCAAAATTTGAATTTTATTGCAAATGCCTACAAAATGTGAGTATGTATGTATATGTGTGTATGTATATGTGAGTATGTGTGTGTGTATGTGTAATTACCTAAGTGTAGTTACAGGATGAGAGCTACACTCGTGGTGTCCCGTCTTCCCAGCACTCTGTCATATAACGCTTTGAAACTACTGACGGTCTTGGCCTCCACTACCTTCTCACCTAACTTGTTCCAACCGTCTACCACTCTGTTTGCGAAAGTGAATTTTCTTATATTTCTTCGGCATCTGTGTTTAGCTAGTTTAAATCTATGACCTCTTGTTCTTAAAGTTCCAGGTCTCAGGAAATCTTCCCTATCGATTTTATCAATTCCTGTTACTATTTTGTATGTAATGATCATATCACCTCTTTCTTCTGTCTTCTAGTTTGGCATATTTAATGCCTCTAACCTCTCCTCGTAGCTCTTGCCCTTCAGTTCTGGGAGCCACTTAGTAGCATGTCTTTGCACCTTTTCCAATTTGTTAATGTGCTTCTTAAGATATGGGCACCACACAACCGCTGCACATTCTAGCTTAGGCCTAACAAAAGTCGTGAACAATTTCTTTAGTATATCACCATCCATGTATTTAAAAGCAATTCTGAAGTTAGAAAGCGTGGCATAGGCTCCTCGCACAATATTCTTTATGTGGTCCTCAGGTGATAGTTTTCTATCTAGAACCACCCCTAGATGTGTATGTGTGTGTGTGCGTGCGTGCGTGCGTGCGTGTGTGTGTGTGTGTGTGTGTGTGTGTGTGTGTGTGTGTGTGTGTGTGTGTGTGTGTGTGTGTAATTACGTGCGTGTGTGTGTGTGTGTGTGTGGGGGGGGGGGGGGTGAATTTTCTTGTCCTGATAGCACGTCGCATTTTGAGTCTACCCAAGGCCAAAAATTATCGTACTAGAAAGCGGTTGCGGCACGAAAAATTGACATACTGTTCCATTTTCTGTTTTGGGTCCTCTGGTAGGTTAGGATAAGGGCACCTTAGTACGACAGTTTCTTGACATTGGGAAATCTTTGGACGACAGAATGGGGTGAATGTGTGTGTGGGCGTGTATACACACTTCACTGCAAGTGCTTGCAATGCAAGCTTCAGCACTTGGGGTCCCACCTTACTATACATACAATTTGAAACCATTAGCTGCTAACAATTTTTTTTTAATGGTTCTAGTCTTGGACCCCTGGCCTGTGCCCCAACTTTCCTGGAGATTGCATGGTCTATGATGCTACTGGTTTTCAAAGCTTGTCGGGCTATAAAGCAATCCCAACCACACTGATCTGTTAACTCCTGCATCAGCTTATAGTTACCTTTTGAAAATTTCTGCCATTGTGCCATCAATAATTTACATACTTGCTAAGAGGAGATTTAAGAATTATGGACCTATGATGTTCACATTAATGTTACCAATTCTCCATGGTTTCCTCTTCTCTCCAGCATGACAATGTCAAGTTATCTCTGCCTTTCTATGTAACTAAGCAGTCCAGCAGTCCTCTTAGGTCACCGACCACCATTGTGCCATCACTTTGGACACCCTTTGAGCTTTTTCAGGTTGGAATTTCATGCAAAGGTGGGTTACATATTCTAATACTGCTTAACACAGGTCCCTGAAGGCTAGAAGAATATTTATCAGCTGTCCATACACTGCTGATGTAATCCTGATAATGAAGTTCCTCTGGTGGTAGACTTGGGGTTATATCTACTCCAAAATCTTTTCCATGTGTGACTCGAGCAATTTCCTTTCCATCACATACTCTTCCTGAGGCCTTTTCATTCTCATCCCAAACTGCAGTACCTTGCATTTACTTTTATTAAAAGTCAAACAGCCATTTTCTTCTTGTTTGTTCAGAATTACTGGAAGCATTCTGCAATTCTTTTTCATTCAGATTCATCTTAATAATTTTGCACCGCGAGTAAACACTGACATGGGTACTTACACTCCTAGTGTCATGTCTTCCCTATAACTTGTTATTTGAAGTTTCAAAACATATGATGGTTTTGGCATACACTACACTACATTCTTTTTTCATATATTCCACACATTTACCACTGTCTACAACATGTAGAGGTCGTTCAAGGTATTAAATGAAAATCTTAAGAATGCAAGACTCTAAGGAAACTGCAAAAGGCATATTGCCCCATACATGGCAGCTATTTATATCCACCCAAATTCATTCATAGCTATCTATATCCTACACTTTAAACAATCAGGGTATCCCATGTCTAAAGTTACCTGGTAGTTTGTTCCACAAATCAATGCTTCTCTTACCAAACCAGTATTTACCCAGGCCATTCCTAACTCAAAACTTTACCAATTTATATACATTGTCTCATGTTCTATTTTATGTTTATACATTTAACACCCTATTAATATTCCCCTTGTTATGCCCATTCATCTCCTTAACACTTCAATCATGTCCCCCCCTAACATTGCCTTTCTAGATAGTGTAAATTAAGCTTTTTTAATCTCTTGTTATGACCCCACCAATCATGACCCCATCCCCCCCCCCCCCAAGACTTTTTTTTTTTGCTATCAACCTTTGCAATTTCATCATCTTGCAGCCAATATCATTATTAAACACAATCTGCAGGAAAAAATAAAGATATCCCCACCAGTAATACCTACCATAGTTATACATAGGAGGCATAGAATTATTAATGAATAGTGTGGTTATTACAAGATTCTTTTACCAAACACTCATGATCATAATTTAATTTAAATACCAAATACTTTAATTACATGCCTTCAGATCTTGGTGCTGGACTTGAAGAACATTTGTAACATAAAATGGGCCATGCTGTGCAGAGCTCTCCTCACTCAACACTTGTGTATAGATGTAACCTGAAGATGCCATAGCCACCAGGTAACACCCATCATCCTGCCAACATCAAGAATATTAAAGACAAAATAAATACACAAAGCTAAAATTTATAATGACAATCTCTGCTCAACATGCTTGCATTTTGTGCAACTTGCTAGAAATGTGTATTTGAAGGTCTAAAATGACCTTTATTCATCTCATGGTCAGGTCTAGTCAGACTGGTCTACGGGGACGGTGATATTCAGAACCAACATCAGGCAGACAACAGGTAAAATTACCAGACATTATTTAACACTCTGCGCTCTGGGCGAGCGAGTGCCACACTATCCCAGGTGGGTCCGGGCATTCCGCGGGAGCGCGGGATAATTATGAAAAGTGTATACTCTTTTTCAACTTTTGTCACCTCAATTCTTGTCCTAGGTTTTTCAATTTGGTATCAATGTGTTTGCAACAGAATTCTCTACAGGACTAAATGCATATAAACTCCAAAAGCCCAGCTTACCGCCCGCAGCAAACAGAGAAAGTGAGAGCAAGTAAGAGCAATAAAATGTGTACACTCTTCACTTTAGTCACCTCAATTCTCGTCCTAGGTCTTTATTTTGGTATCAATGTGGTTGCAATAGAATTCCCTACAGGAGTATATGCATATAATGTCAAAAACCACGGCACGCCCCTCCCGCAGCCGCTAACAAGATGAAAGTGGGCCAAGGTTACCAGAAAGAATGTGCTGCGCCACCCCAAGGTGCCTCTCATTACATTAGAGCGCGGTAATACTGAAAAGTGTATACTCTTTTCAACTTTTGTCATCTCAATTCTCGTCCTAGGTTTTTCAATTTGGTATCAATGTGTCCGCAATAGAATTCTCTACAGGACTAAACGCATATAAAGCCCAAAAGCCAGCGAGAAAGTGAGAGCGTGTTACCCAGGAGCGCGCAAGAGCAATAAAACATGTACACACTACACTTGGGACATCTCAATTCTTGTCCAAGGTCTTTCATTTTGGTATCTTTGTGTTCGCAATAGAATTCCCTAAAAGAGTATATGTAAATATAAAGTCCAAAAGCCCTGTGTACCACCCACAGCAAACAGAGAAACTGATGGAGCGTTACCCCAGCGAGTGCTCATCAAGAGCAGTAAAATGGGTATACTATTTTCAATTTTGTTACCTCAATTCTGGTCCTAGGTCTTTCATTTGGTATCAATGTATTGGCAATGAAATTCCCTACAGGAGTATATGCATATAATGTCCAAAACCGCAGTGCGCCCCTCCCGCAGCCGCCGCCAATTTAGCACGCAATACTGTGTCGTTACCGGACTAAAGCGTTAAGTTTAGTTCAAACATCCTTCACCATGCCTTGCTTATTTACCTTTACTGTACTTATTTCTTTTTTTCCCCATGTATTTCTTCTGTCTGGTTTGAAAAATTCTCAAACTCTTATCCATCACTATTGTACAATGAGCTTCATGGTTGTTCTTAACTGCCCTCCGTCATTTCTGCCCTCATCCTCTACTTCTATTCTTGTCGGCTCTTAACTTGACCGCCTTTGTTTCTTTCTCATCTTTAAATTCTATCTTTTTATCTCTCCATTTTCTGTAATATCCACAGCTGTGCACACTACTATGTCCCTACAATTTTGCACCAGATATTAACTAGGCCCCCTAATACTAACACTATGCATCTTCCATCAGAGTGTGGGGCATGGCAGCTTCACCTCAAACAAAAGGTGAATATAGTTAGCAAAAAAAATCTGTGTATAAAATATTGAAGAAGGGAAAACTGTGCATACTGTGACAGTTCACGTCAACCTGTCTGTAGCCTAATTCTAGCCAGTAAGTACATAAATTTTACTACTAAATTTTCAGATACATTTGTCTACATATTTAAATACAACTGACTTCATAAAACTGGAGTAACTATAGGACCCCCTCTAAAGAAGTGAGAAACAGGTTAATTATAATGAATACTTGCTTTTTTTACCTGAGCGCACACAAAGCAGGCATCCTTTATCTTTCCAGAGGGAAGCAGGAAAAAGTACTGAGGAGAGAGGGAGTCAATACTAAGGTCATAGATTTTGACAAACTCTGCAGTTACAAGTGCCAATTGGGTCTGCTGGCCAGGAAGCCACACGGCTCTTATAATGTAGTTTCCAGACTCCAGCTGAGGATGTAGTACCAGGTGGTCCGAAACACTGCCTGCACTTGCAAATGTTAGAACATGACAATCCTGTATCAAAGCAACAAAAAATTAACATTTTTAAGTACAGTACCAGTAACTACAATCAGTGTATGGTCTGCATTATATAACATTAGATACAAGGTTATAAAATATAAAACCGGCTTACTGACAACAAACAAAACATTAATGGCAACACTAATCCCACAATATAAACTGGTTAAATGACAACATTTTGGCCCAGTCTCAACTTTATAATGATTAGGTTGATAATGGTCCACATTAAATTGAAATCAAAATTTTCCATTTTTGTAGCTCAAATACACTACTCAGTGTATAGGCCACATTTCTGTGACTTATTCTTCACAACAATAAAAACATTATAATGTGTCATTTACCTTAAGCCCACAGACAGCAAGATAATCATCATTGGCTGGATTTGCAGTGATGGAGAGAACAGTAAATGGGACTGGTGCAGAAGATAGTCTAGTCAGCGTAAGTTTTCTCTTGGCAGAATCATGCTGTTTCAACAGGGAAGAAAGCTGCAGGACTGTGATCTTTCCCTTTTCATGAGACACTGCCAGATGCTGCCTTTTGCCACCTGGGGAGGCCAAGCAGCACATGGCCACTCGTCTGATCATGTGAGCAGACACAAGCTGTCTGATTGTTTGCCCCTGTTCCCCAGAATAATTAAGTCGGACATTTTCAAAAGCTCCTTCTTGAGATCCCAATGTAGCCACCATTAGTTGCTCTGATGGCTCCACTATCTGTAATATATACAAATACCAGTTACAACATCCTAAACTAAGAGAAACAACAAAATTAGGTCAACAAAATCACATAGGATAAGAAGAGTAAAATATTTTAACGAGAAATGTAACTTCTCTTTAGTTTGTGCAGTAGATTTGACTGAGCACAATACTGTAGTGTTATGGAAGATAGTATTGAAAGAGGAATGGATAATGTCTTACAAAGTGGAAAAATGGGTGGAAATTTGGCCTGTGTTGGCACTGCTGCCCATTTTGAGTGAATATTCAAGAACAATTATTACAGATTCTAATTCTGTTAACTTGAAAATGCTTCATGGCATACCTTGGAGTTGGTGTGTACTTGGTGAAGGGCTGCCAGTGCGCGTTGATAGGAACCAACCGAGCTGGAATCACTGACACTGGCCTGGATGGTAGGCATCAAGTCTGATAACAAGTCCAGAACAGTAGCAGCCACTTCACTACTGCTCACTTCACCCACCAATAAATCCCGCACATTCTCTGAGGATCACAAAAGTTAAGAGCAACATCTCATTTTAAGACTCTTATGAACACAGAAACTAGATGTGAAGGGGGTGGATACCAAAATGATGACAAAATTGAGGTTTAAAACATTACACCACGTCAACACATAATTAACACTTTCGTGTTCCCGGCGTGCGCATCCCAGCCTACCCCAACGTGGGCCGAGTGTTTCGTGTGAGCGCGTGGCCACACTAAAATGTGTATACTCTTCAGATTTCCCCACCTCAATTTTCGTTGTACGTCACTCATTTTGGTATCAAATTCTTTGCAATAGAATTACCTACAGGGGTATATGTATACAAGGTCAAGAAGCCAGGCATGCCACCCATAGCAAACCCTAAAATTGGTCGTGAGTTACCCACTGAAAAATTGGCCGTGAGTTACAGCACTGAAATGTGTATACAGTACTCTTCAGTTTTCAACCGTAAATTTTCGTGTTACAGTGTACATCTTTCATTTTGGTATCAATTTGTTCGCAATAGATTTCCCTACAAGGGTATATGCATACAAGGTCCTAAAACCCCCCTCCCTGGCAGCAAAGCTGGAAGTCGGCCAAGCGTTACCCGTGAGCGTGCCTGATAGGGGCCTGACAGCCGAGTGGAAGGGGCCTGATAGCGCTCTTGAATTTGAATCCTAGGGTCCGAGGTTCTATTGCCGGTAATGGCAGAAACAAAATGGGCACAGTTTCCTTCACCCTGATGCCCCTGTTACCTAGCAGTAAATAGGTACCTGGGAGTTGGACAGCTGATACGGGCTGCTTCCTGGGGAGGGGGGTTGTGTGGAGGAAAAAAAAAAATAGTAACAGTCGATTGATTGACAGTTAAGAGACAGGCCAAAAGAGCAGAGCTCAACCCCCACAAGCACAACTACGTGAATACACCTGCACACAAATGTGTATACTCTTTTTAATTTGATAACATCAATTTTAATGTTACATCATTCATTTTGGTATCAAATTGTTTGCAATAGAATTACTGTACCTACAGGGGTATATGCATACAAGGTCATAAAGCCCAGTGTGCCACCCGCAGCAAACCCAAAAATCAGCCGAGCATTAATCGTGAGCGAGCACACATCCACACACCAACACCTGCACTAAAATGTGTGTACTTTTTTCAGTTTTCTCACCTCAATTTTCATGCTACATCATTCATTCTGGTATCAAATTGTTCGTAATCAAAAGGCACGCATTTTAAAGTTAGTCCTATAAGGATCGGGGAATTTTTTTTAACATTTTAATTTTAGAAGCAACATGCGTCCCCATCGGACATCTGTAAAGCTATTAATGGACGCAGATTCAGTCCCCCTGCAGACAAAAGTGTTAACTAATGGACTAATTAACTAATTTAACTAATTTCTTAAAGGTTTAAATTTCCTAAGAACCCTGTAGGTTTGAGACATGTGGAAACATTCAACTGTTGAAAACAACTTATCACAAGATTAGGATGACGAGACAATTAGAAGTAAAACTAACAAGTTAATCATACGTTGTAGATATTTGCACAACTTTGGCATTCTATATCAACAGATTCTGAATATATTCCCCACCTCAAAATCCCTCTAGACATGCAGCTCATATAACATTAATCTGACACATCTAGTATTTTAATGCTATACTATTTAATCTTAATACTTACCAAGTTTCTTGGCTAGAGCCTGTCTCTGCTTGTATGTATCATCACGATGCTTATCCTGAAAATAAAACCACTGTATTAAGCCAAAACTGATAGAGATCAAATGTATAAACAGCACATAGAATGTAAGTAACATATTAAAGATCAGTAAGCTTACTCTATACTGCTAACATAACTTTCAGATATGCAGAAACAAGATCAACAGTTTTCAAAGTACTTACCGATTGAGTGCCTTGTGAGGGCGAAGATGGGCGTCGTCGGAGAGATGACGGCAGGAGGGGCTCCACCCCAAAGGCAGCTGGCCCACTTGAAGATCCAACACCATCCTCATATGATGCAGGGCTTCGTTTAACAAGAGCCTGACATATAAAAAGAACACTAATTGCCAAATCATCATCATCTATATATCATGAAATTATGGAAATACAATTTTAAAGAAACTCACCAGCAGTGCCAACATTGACAATGTTGTATACAGTAGTAGCAGCAAGCTAGTAACAACCGAGGCACAGCTCTAGTGGTTTAACAAGACTCCCAACGTCATTAAATGCTTACCTAATATTTCTAGGGATTACAGCTCTCATCACCTGATCAGACTACTAACATCACAAAGTAATGACTCCATGATCTTTGCACTTACAACTTGGTCACACAGATTTGAAGACAATCTACAGTATTATTTTTAATTATTACTATTTCTGTGTTTGTTATACATCATTGTAACCAGGCTGCAAGACCAATGATCTTGGGCCAATCAATATGCCGAGTGAAACATTGAAAAAAATTTCAGTTAGCAGTCGGCACCATTCTGATGCATGTTGCTCATACCAAAACAGGACACTTAAGATATTAGAGAAACAACTCTAGAGTGGATGGTATCAGGATTGTAAACCTACACCCAGGAAGAGTGAAAAGGAAGCAAACCCAAATCTTCATCTCCTTACAAGAGAAACGCACATCTATTGCCCCACTAAAGAGCAGGAACAGCCAAGTACCAGAAAGAAGGGTAAATTATACTGGTATCTCCCAAATCCAAACAACCCTGGAATGGATCCCCTCAATTTAACAAATTCGGACACCATATCTTCCTACCAAATATCAAATTTTTCAGAGAAAGTCCACATTCCTGAGGGGGGGGGGGCTCCCCTGTGAAATCTGTATTAGGGAAAGAAATTCCCTTTATGCCATATTGTCTTGATACAGTGCTATTATTTTATGCTTACACACAAAGAACCTGACTATGATGCTTCTACAAGGAGAACACGACTAAAAAATAGGAAACAGGATGAATAATAATATTAAAGTATTATTATTAAAAAATTCTAGTGCCAAGATAAAGTATTTCTTAAAGATTGAAAATCACTGTCCAAGTTTATCGCAATGTTAAAATTTGCTTCGAGTGCTCACAGGGGGGAATGTAATTCAGTTATTAAAAATGCTGTCGGACAGACAACTTTCTTAACTTACTTGGCATGAACCATCTTCTTTAGCTCCACAGTCACAAAAGAAAGCTCCATATTTTGCGTATGTTACGTCATGACCACGGTGACACACGCGTGCACAGACAGTACACACACCAACACCATCAACCATACGGCAGGTGTGACAATGGTACCAGTGCTGGTGCATAAATTCCTTTTGGGTCAACGTAAACGTGCACAGCTTATTGCACATGCTATCTTCATCCTGATGCAAGTACAAAAATTTTTAATGTATCTGAATTGCTCACTATGTTTATTTAAATTCATAAAAAATTACATGTCATTAGAATTACAAATTACTCTAAATTAAGAAAAAAAAATCCTTTTCCCAGTACCAAGTATGAAAAACTAAATATACACAAAACATGTGGGGACTACACTATCACTTAAATGGTATAACATACCGATTTATCACAACACTTACCGAGTCTTCGCCAGCACTATCATCATCCTCTTGTGTAAGATCATCCACCCAGTCAGAATCTGTATCAGCTGTTAGATCCAGCTCGTATGGAGGCGAAGTCATTCCACTTCGGTATGCAACAGCCCAACGCTCACTGTTAACCTGAGAGGATTCATGGATAAACTGAATTGTTAAATCATATATTTGTCAAGACAAATTTCAATATTATTGATAATGGCATAAGTGTTAACACGCTTGCAGCTTGTGAAAATCAAAATTAAGAAAACTCAGACACACTAAAACAAATATTCAGCCAGTCAAATTGACACAATTCAATGATTATTCTGAGATTCTTTACAAATGATTTACGTTGGATTTGTTATATATAACCAAAAGACAAATAATAGGTCTACCAGTGTATTCCTGTAACATACCACTCAAAACATTCCATAAATTGACAATCATCTAAATTGTTAACATTCTTATGTTCATATAACAGGGTAATAAGAATAGTAATAAGTGATTTCCAGGTAGATAAATGGACACAATTATAAGACAACAATCGGCAGCACAACTCATGCTAAAATGACATCAAAACAAGTTCATATTTACTTTAATAATTTAAAATGTAAACACTCATCACACATGATTAGCAACATACTATTGTGTATGATTAAATTGTTTAAAAGTGAAAATACAATAATCCACATTTAAGGCATTATGAAATTTACACACCATAAACAATAGGCATTCAGATGAACTCTAGTGTTTACCTTAAGGGCTGCCACAACATCACTAACGTAAGACAGTAGATGACACATTGCCTCCAGTAGTCCTTTGTCACTTTCCCCTTCTAAGTGTTGCTTGCTGTGGGATAAGAAATTACTATAATGATTGCACACTTGAAAACTAATAAAATAATTGCAAGAACAACTTTCATTTTCACACAAATATGTAAAGTTAGAAAATATGATCAAAACTATTGGTTTCATTACAACTCTGCAGTTGACAGAGCCATCACATGGTATAGGAGAGAAGGCACCATCATCCTAACAGACAGACATCTTTTAAACTGGTGTAACTCTGCCAGTTACCGACGTATTATTGATTTGCATTGTACATAAAATTGATACATGAAAATGTTTTGTCCATTTGTTTAAAAAAAAATCCAATAATTTAAACTATGATTGGTACATTTGCCAATTATATACTTTTGTGCTTATAATTTTAATACATGAATAAACTTTTACCAAGATAGTCTAGTCCATTCTAGCTACATTTCAATTTGGTTTGCTTAACTATGAAATCCACTAATCAAAAATCAATTTATTTAAGTTTCAGTTGTCAATTGTTGACTACTAGAAGCAGAAAATTTGCAAAGCCTTTTATCAGTAACTGTTAATTTGTGGATGGGGCCAAACAGTGGTTCCCTACAGCCACACTAAGATAACTTCACACACCTGTAAGTCACATTAGCCCTTCAGAGTCCTGAAATGCCTACCAGAGACCCTGAAGCCAAAACCTGCCCCCCCCCCCCCACCTCCCCTCACAGAGCAGCAAGGAGCAGAGGACTCAACATCACCCACACAAGAAACAAAACCCAAAAAGTTAAAGCAAAAGTGCAGCAATCTAGTAGTTAGGCCTCACACTCCTTGATGATGACTGACCACCAGCAGGTGGCAGCATCACATAAGCTGCCGGCTTGCGTTGCCAACAATCTTCAGTCCTTCACCTGACATTAGCTCTTAAGTGTCCCATATTTTCTAGAAAAGTATTAGCCATTATTTGGACTATCCTGTGGTGGTCTATTTGCTCTTGTATCATCATTATTTAGTATCCACGGTCAGATAAGAGATTCAGCCAATCGGGAAGAGATTCTGCTATTCTTGAAAATACACGGAAAACACCACCATGGAAGCCGCTAACACTGTTCATCTATGGTACCTGTATCCGATGCTTCATCACTGAACCAAGAAAACGATTCATCTGTGTATCATCTATAAAAAGTGGATATGGCAAGGGTGGCACTCGGAGCTACAACTGGATACGCTTGCTACATCATCCTCATCGGTGCTGTATCACTTGCATCCGACCTTTGTGTTAGGTCCTTATTGTGTCTAGCTTGATCAGTATCATGACTCGTTGTGTTCTATGAAATTCAAGGTCTGAATTTCACCGAGAGCGATCTTTCAACACCGCGCCGGACAGGTGTTTGGGAGCCAGAGGCGCATCCGCCATCAATGGTTGCTCACTCGGTACTAATCAGCCAGCAACCCAAGGGCATTCTGGGAATTTTTTCCAAGATGGTTGCCTCTCAATAGAGGTCCCAAGAGTTCATTTCGTACACAACCTACTGCACACACATTTTGAATGGGTACGAAATATTCAAAAGGGGTTTTCTCGGTTGGCACAGCACAGTGGTTAAACCTGTTAAACCTTGTAATTTTCTACTTCTCAATCAAAAACTTCAATGATATCAGCTTGTAGGTTTTCAATTTGTTTTACACAAATATTTTTCATGCTGATTTTTGCAGTGTCAGAAAATGACATGAATCTAACTTTTATTTTTTTCTACATCTGATATGAGAATAAGATAAAAGCAATGGTGCAAAGACTGTGCCCCGAAGTACAGAGCTTTTCAATGTACTTGTACTTCTGGTCCCCAATAGAGTTTTAAGAATTTGCTAGGGTCGATGCGACTTACAGGTGTTTGATCCGAACATGCCATGGTTACCTAGGAACAAGCTAGCGAGCATGAGGGATGGTCGATACTCGTTTTTGGCCAGAGAGAAAAGTCCCTCCAAAGATTACCAATGCCAAGCATTACATAAAAATAGGATAGATACAAAAACTAAGCATTGATGCAAGTCATCACACAAAACTAAGAATAACACAAATCATTTGCAAATTAAGTTTAGGTAAGAAACCAACTAGGAGAGCGAGCACTTACCACTGAGTAACCCACTGAGTAGCAGCCCTGAAGAGTGTGACATGGCCCGTCCCTGACCCAGCACTTGCTAGTGACGACATCACTGACAGCAGATGGGTCATGCTAGCCAAGCCCTCGCTCCCACCACTAACTAGAGATGATCCTAGTGGAACTAGGGACCTCAACAGACCATGTGCAACCTCCTGTTAATTTAAAAATGTCAAGTAAAATACACAAGGCATTGCAGACATTATATTACCAACTAAACCATTTTAATCAAGCCTTTTCTATACTTAAAACAGAAGCACTGGTATACTACTGTACAGTACTACACTTTCAATATTTAATATTTTTAATATAAATTAGGCTCTTAGCAGTTGCAAGTTTGATTAGTCAATCCTATCATACATCTACTCACAGATCAGGACCTCCCAGATAGTGAGGAAGGTACAGCTCCCTCAACTGGCTAGATATTATATGGTATATATTCACATTTTTAATCAAATGTTAGTGTCTTAGCAATTTACACCAATATTTATCTACAATGCTGTACCTCTGCATTCTGTGTATCTTGAGTAATGATATAAGCTGTAAGCGTTCTCAACAACTGCCAGCTGTTTGGTGATGCTTCAGCATCATTGCTTGGTGTAGAAGTCAACAGATGTGTTGAGAGCCATCCTTGAAGTATCCCAGACTCCAGCCATGACCCCACGGAAATTCGACTACACACCGAAGCCAAGGTGTGATCAGTTGGGGTTTTCTCAGCTGTATGAAAGAAAAACAAAACATCCTTATTTAGCATTTGCAGACTTCTCATGCATGACAATACAACTTATCTACACACTTTCTCCCAGAACTGTATTATGTACATACATGAAAATTAATGTACTCCACATATGCCATGCACTAATACTAAAGTTCACTGCCATTATGAGCCATGAATACTTTCAGTGTAGTATTAAGGAATGCGAAACGGAGAAAACCCTAGGCAGCTCCGTTGCACTGGCCTGTTATCGCCTCCACTCCCTATACTATGTGCAATTACTCACAAAATTCAAACAAATAATTGGTTCTTACAGAGTTATACAAAATCAAGAATAGTACTGTATATGTTTGTAAAATTCTGTAAATTCTTCTACCTACCATACTCAGGACATAGGAAGATGAGAGAATTTATAGCAGCTGCCAAATACTCACCAAGCTGGAATAGTCTAATGAAGAACTTGATAATGTGAGTTGGGAGACTTGAAGATTTTACATCTCCACCAATAGGTGGACTGAGAAGAACCGATGCAAAGTGGGACTCGGCAAGAAACTTGTCGAGCGCCAATTTCCCTGTAGGTACCTCTAACAGTTCTTCAAGGAAGTTTGTGCATCCCTCTAAAATCTGCTCATCCACAACTCTACAAAAGCATATAAAATGTGAAGATTAGTCAAAACTAAAATAAAACAAATTGCATTAAATTTGTGAACATTAGTCATCAATAAGAAAGGTCACCATACTAACAGTACTGCCATCTATTTCAGAGTTCTTGTTCTTCCATTATACTGTACTCTGGGGTGGGCAGAAAACAAGATTGGGGGCAGTTCCAGGTTCTCTAAATAGAAATCAGCACGGATTTTCCTTTCCTCGTCTTATAATCGAGACTAAATACTGCCATTTAACTTTTTTATATACTATTGGAGGTTTATTAAACTTTTCATTGTCTTTCTGCAGAAAGCTGGACAGTTATATAGTCATAATATGAAGTTATGAAAAAGAACACACTGGCCTTCAACTCACCCGTCACAAGTTGCGGCAGACTGCAGGAGCGACTCGACGTGTGTTAGCAAATGGGAATATAGAGCGAGATGGAAAGGATCTGGCGAAGTCGAGGAGTCGCCACCTTCCTGAGCAGGTAGGAGGCGATCAAGTGCACCAGACACACACTCGGAGACATGGTCACATGTGGCATCAACAGCCAGGCTCACGAGGGTACTTGTCAGGAGGCCTCCTGTCTTATCATCATCACTACACCACCTGCACAAATTCAGTATTGCATTTAATATGCAGAGATGAAGCAAGGGAAAGCATGAAAGTGGAAGACAAGTATTTAAGCAAGGGAAAATAGTTGAGTGGAGAGAGAGAAAGATAGTAAGAAAGAAAAAAAAAAAGTGTAGAAAAGGGGTGGAAAGAGAAGACTTCAGTATACATATACACTTCAGTAGTATATGGAAAAAACAATTAACAGACTTCAGAAAAACTTAGTCTATTGAATACCGTTTTTTTTAACAGTAATCTATTGGGAATGGGAATACTAAACCTTTATCTCTACACTGCTGGAAATTAAATCTAGAAGGCAAAAGACTCTCCCCCCCATTCAATTCACTTCAGTTTTCTCTTGATGGCATGAATGTTGAATCAAAGACCTTTTCCAGGTAAAAAGCATGATGCCACATACAGTATACAAGTTTATGCGAGTGAATGGAAATGTTCAACGTTTGATTTAATGCAGGAAGGAGTTGGCTTTGATTTACATGTGTAGTCAAGAGAAGTTACCCCATTACACTATTCAACAGACATAACACTAAAAGGGTTAATCACATATCACAGTAATAAAGTAATTTAAAGTTGTCACCTATGATGTGTAACATACCCTGCCAGATCTGTTGCAAATGTGACAAGGGTATGCATGACGTGCTTTAGTGCCAAGTTGATGGTGAAGGTTGGCTGAGCAGACAGAGTCGACACGTGTCCCATTATAACGCCAGATACGTAAGTCTCTCCTGGCAGCACATCTCCACTCATGCTGTTACGCTGAAAATAAATTATACAGTAGAGTATAACAAACACAGCTGATGCCAGTTAATTATGCATCTATAGTTCACCAAACTACTTTAAATATGACTAATAGGGTTATACCAAAATATTTTTGATTAACCAAATTATTCAATTATTCAAAAGCCCAAGATATTTTGTATCTACCTACAAATTAAACAAAATTATTTATAGCATTTACACACATTATTTATATACCGTATATCATGTGTTTTTTGTGATAATTCTTGCATATACAGTACCTATATACAGTATTATGCCTACCTACATGTATATTTCTACTTGAGTACATAACCATCTTGCTCTTCCATGGCCTCTCTTAAGATCTTTGTGAATCACACATGCATGCCCTGTAGCTCGCCTTTCATTGACAAGGAAAGGCGAGCATCCTGTACCATTATCAATCTACTTGATAATGGTTCAGGACAGACCGAAACATCAATGTCTATTCGTCTTCTGGCGTATAGTTTGGTCATTACCTCGCCTATTAATTTCCCTTTTGTCTACAAGTGTGTGTATCTTTATAATGTGGAGCTATCAATGTCAGTCTCTGGTATCAGCGGCTTAAAGAGAAAATCTATATACCAGCATCCGTTAATTTTAAGACAAGGAAGCAGTTGCTAAAACTTCAGGGAAGAGCAATTTACAATAAGATAAAATCCCACACATATATTTGTGAAAATTATGTAAGGAATTTACAGTCTTTCACATTCTCCCAAGTGCTTCATCAAGGTTCAAGTGTGTGATTAGGACGAGACTTTCATCTGTCTAATGAGGCTGCTATCCTGGCTGCTATCATTCAATGGACAAATGAAAGCAGGCCCATTAGCTTCCTTCCTTCGGGAATGGAGAGGGTTACGAGGGATAGCATCTAGATGAACACCTATTAATAACTCCAGTTCCCAAAAATAGCAGGATAACAGAAAGGACACATGACCATATACTGTATTTCTATAGATAACATTACCGAAGATACATCGGCAGTCGGGAATAAAGGCGACAGGGTCAGGCAGTCGGGAAGGACAAGAGGACTGGACCCAGGATCACGGCCTCATTTTTTGTCGAGATGTAAGTCTCGTCCTAATCACACACTCAGACCATGACATAGCACTCGGGAGAATGTGAAAGACTGTAAATTCCCTACATAAATTTCACAAATACACGTGTGGGTTTTTATCCTACGTTATGATTGTGAAAGACATTGCAAACACAATGTAAATAACGCCAACTTCACAGATCAATCTCTTCTTAATTCAAAGACTTGAGGTTGCACACTACACAATCACATCTATATAACCTTAAACAAGGCGAGTTTCAAGGAGGTTGCTGCTGCCTCTTAACTATTGGACACTTAAAAAAACCAGTGTTGAATGTAATGAAACGCCATTTACTGGGCGAGCCCCGGAGACTCCCTGGCAACCCTCCCTCCCACCGGTTGGCGGTTTTTTCGCATTGGTTGAAGTTTAACTTCCAAAGCGATGCTAGGCAGCCGTGGTTCAGGGTCCCCCCCCCAACCTTTCCCTCTTGGGGTGGGGAGGGCTGTGCGGACAATTGGCACGGCAGTAAAGTGTGATGTTTGCTCGTTTCCTTGGGATTGTAGGGAGTTTATACCTCTCTGTCTGGTTTTCTGTTTTAGTTTTTTACCATGTGGGGTTTGTTTTGTTATGCCTATCTTTCTGGGTGCCTAACCCCAGCCGATGGCAGATAAGGAAAACCCCAACCACAAGGAGGTTTTCCAGGGCCATTGCTTCCTGAAACCTCTCTGAAGGGACCAGGTTCTGGCGCTGGTCTCTGGTAGATCTGAACTCCTTAGCTAATGTTCAAGTCTAATATAACATACATTAGCCCGATAAGCTCCAGGGAGCCATAGGGGCTCCCCACAGAAATGGCCCTCGATGCAACTTCAATCCCAGTACTTCTCCCTCTCCTTTCCTGTTCTATTCTATTTTCTCCCCTTGGCAGCCCCTCAGAACCACTATATCACCTACAACAATTATAGTGATTTAGCCTTTCCAAGGAGCTAACAAATGACCAGAGTACAGAGAAATGACAGGAGGGAGAGAGAGAGAGTAGCACTGCTATTTAAAATGCCCGTGAAATTTGAGGAAAGATTTGTGGCCAATATGGATAATCCACAGAACTCAAAACATGGCATGGCAAGCACATACGATAAAAGATGAAAAGCAATGCTTGTATACAATATCTTAAGAGGAACAAGTTAATGACCATGTATAGAATACAGTCTTAGAATAGAAAAGTACATGATGATTATACCTTCCCATGTGTACTCAAAATACACAACATTTTATGAACTTAAAAAAAAACAGGCTTCATATTATTCCTTACCCATGCATGAACTGCAGGAAAATCAGTCATGTTATTTGCATTCCAGTTGTCAAGAGCAGTTTTGAGTGGGGCTGGCAGAGCTGCACGGGTAAGGCACGGGGGATGTGGCCCAGCACGAGGAACGTGGCCTCCCGACACAGCTAACACAGAACAATAGGCATCTAAAGCCTCTGGAGAAAGTTTGCTTCCTTCTTCTAGAACACTGTTCATCTGTTGTAGAAGGCTCCATCTGGACACAATGAAAAGGTAACCGAGTGACCGTGCTATTCAACATCAATATAATCGTTAAACCTCTTACAGGTTAAAACAATTTAAGGAAACTAAACTGTCCATTTGTATTGTCTAAAATTAGACTTATTGAGCTTGGACCAAAATTGAATGGCAAAGCTACCTATCATGGAACACTGAACAAGAAAAAAAATGGGAATTTTTATAGAAAAGCAAGAAATTGAGGGGAGGGGGAGGGGAGAGGAGGGAGAGAAGTTGACAAAAAGATTGTCTTCATATTTGACTATATAAAAAGTTTGATTTATTAAGAATATTAAAATGCCTATATTATCCACGTCCCATGGACAATCAAAACTAAAGCCAGAAAAGGGCTAATGAACTTACAAATATTTACCAAGGAGACTAATCCCTGAATTTACATGTAATTCATACACGTCAGAATAAAATAGACAAGGCTTAGATTTTTTAATCAATCTAGCTATAAAAAAAAATTTTTTTACTTTTATAGCAATGAAAGGATTTGCAGTAACCAAAGCCTAGACATGGGGGATTTTTGGCAAACCAAGCCAAAAATTACACTTTAGCATAACTAAGCTTTAAACTGCAAATGGATTTTGCCATAACTACAACCTCCCCTAATTACTCATTACTTCAGTATAAAACAGGTACTGTCACGTGTCTCCTTGGCTTGCTTGTGACCTTAGTTTCCAAATGTGCGCTCTTACTGTAATTCCATCTACACTGTATACTGTAGTCTGATGTCTTTGTTCACCTCTAAGTTCATGTCAGATTATTTGTTATGTCAAGATGTAAGGCACAGTTCCCTTGCCTATACTTGTCACTAATTGCATTCTTACCTATCTGTGCCCTTACAATGGAAGATTTAATTCTTTTGATCTGCTTCGTGGCTATCAGTACTTGGTGAATCCAGCCCTTCTGACATACTAGTATTTTATTGTCTCTTAAAACTGAATAGAGGCAATTTCTATCACCCAAGACACAAATTGTGGTTGATAGAAATCAATTTGAGTTAACATACTGTAGCTCTGGTCTTGTCATACCTTGTTGCACAAGCTAAAGCTTGTATTAAAGTCAAGAGACCAGAAATAGGGAGTTGATCTGCAGATATATCCAAAGCTCGGAGAAGATCAGCACCATCACACGAGCGGAGATCAATATCTCCCTTCTGACAAGCCTCATCTAGAGTAACTTGGAGGCGTACTAACACAGTATCCAACATGTAGAGATCCGAGAATGCTGGAAGTTGCTCCAAGTTCATTAGTGGCACACCCACCATTGCAGTGTAGCCCTGAAGATATTTTAACAAATTAAGTACAGGTATTTGTATTTTTAAATCTTTCTGTCATTATTACACATGCAGAACAAAAAAAATTGACAAGTAGGTTGCATCTTAAATACTTGCTTTACGACAACGATCACCACAAAATTTCAACAAGAATCGACAAAGTTGACAAGGAGGAATTTTTAAAACCTGCAACGTCTAGAACAAGGGGCCATGGACCCAAGCTTAGAAAACAAAGGTGCTGAACAGATTTTCACAAGTTGTTTTTTTTTTTTTTTTGTGAACAAAGTTGTGGACAGTTGGAAAAATTTAAGCAAGATGGTGGATACCAAAAACATAAGCAGATTCAAAATGCCACAACAAAGATCATAGGGAAGACTGGACACTAGTTGATAATGGTCCACGATGGTCCAAAAAGTCATCGTTTCTTCATTTTCAGATGAGCGAGTCGAGTGTTTAAACTGGATACTTTGAGCTTACCCCAAATAATTGCATGCACAGAACTCACTGCAGCTTACCTTGCTTAACAAAGATGTAATTAGATGATTGGCAACTTTTAGGTCATGCTTCAAATTGCACATTGTTTTTGCAACAGATTTCAATAAGGCATCTGCCTTCTGAGTGGTCAAGCTCTGGCGAACGAGTCCATCCTGGAAAAAACACATATACAGTACATATATATATATATATTATATCTGAACAAAACATTACAATGGACAAATAAATTTACATTAACTAAGATCAAGATACCAACTAAGCCTAAATCAGCAGCTGCTTGTTTGTCAAAACCATTATGCTTATTCTTTTACTCTCTAGAATTGTGATGCAACACAGGACCCGAGTATAGCAATGACATTACCCTGCAATAAGGTCAACTACCTTCACCACCACCTAGAAAAGACTTCAGTAGATTTTAGTGAGAAGGGATTTGAACCTAAAGAAAAATAATAACATGGTATTTTCTAATTATCTTTATTTACCCTAATGGCATGTTTTTGTGTGTTTTGATTTTTAATTTTTCCCTTCCTTTACCTCTTTCACAACCTCATTTTCTGTCTGGTTACCAGTGACAAAGGAATGAGGATGTAAGATTAATTGAAAATTAAATAATGCCCACTTTCCTTCATATACAGTACCTGTCATTATAATACTTGCAAAAAAATTAAAAAAATTTTATAAACATTTCATAATATAAAACAGCCTAAGTAACTTTTTACCAGGCCCTAAACATACACTAGAAAGAATATCATGTTCAATACAACCAATACACATAATCACCAATGGAATTTAGTTTTTAATACTTTTTGCTTCACTTTTAATAAATGAACTTTCCTTGTAAACCATAAAAATTAATTAATTAAACAGTTTTTCAAACAGAGAAGGAAAAATATCGAGAATTATAGAAAAAAGAGTAACATATATAATTATATATAATGGGTAGAGTAACATAATACGAAATAGAAATGCTCACAATATACAAGATATTAAACATAACTATTAGGTATACTTGCCAAGAAAACATGTTAGGATGTATTTGCAAAATACATCCAAAAATGATCCCCCTATTTTTTCCCCAATATTGATTTGTATCTTTTTTTAACATTTATAATAATGAAAAAAGAACGGTCTTTTAATATTTATCATTAATCATTACAGTACTGTACTGGCAATGTTACCCTAATGTAAACAAGCAAACTTTAAACAAATGTACTGGTATTGATAAGCAAAAACCACCAAGCTTGTAAATTGTTGACACTGCAGGAGTAATGGAACAATGAAGTAGTCACTATATTTACTCCATACTGGAAGTTGTATGGAGCAACTGACATTACCATCTCTACTATGTATTCTTACTTTTAATGACTAGCATTAGAATAAGTAAGTCAATATAAGGTACCAATATTTTATCATACCTTTATCCAGCCATTAAATATCTTGTGTGAAGCACGAGGGCCCCACAGGAGAGCATGCAGCAAATGAGACCCTTCAAGTTTGGTCTCTGTGGCAGCCATAGCCTCCAATGCCGACACAGAAGGTGGCATGGTGAGAAGTAGCCGGTAAGCCAAAGAGAATGCATACTGCACACCACAAAGGCCCAGATAAGTCAACTGTGAATCATTAGTACATCGTAAGCTTGGATCGTTCTGGCAGCCAATTCCCAAGAGGCTGACGAGTGTATCATACAGAGTACTGTACTTGAGTGTGTCTGGAGTGGCCAGGATGAAACTGCATGCCTAGAAAAATCAGATCAATTAATTTCCATGTTTGCATCATAGTATTACATGCAAAACTGCTGCTTTGGCTAACTGAATAAAGTACATTTAATATGCTTAACAGTTTTGTAATATTCAGGATTTTTTTGTTTAAAATTAAATGGAAAAAACTGTAATTTGTCATCACAACTTGGTTCAATTGTAACTGGGGTACTAACGAGACCACCATGAAGTCTGCAAGATTTTGCAATGAAAACTCATCTACATATGTACTGAATTGCCAAGAATCACCAACAGCAATCTCAGAACCTCATTAGGTATTATACAACTACTGAGCTAGTACAGTCTGATCATTAATTTCTGCAAAATATTTGTAATGTAGTGCATTTTCACAACATTGGTAACAATAGTCTGTAGAACTATTCTACACAAAGCCTTGAGAAATATATCTTCATAAACTTAAAAAATACTGTACTGTATAAGCATCTTACCAGACCATCCAGCTTAGGGGTGTCTTGGGTATTGGTCTCGGCAGGTGTGAGAGTGTAAAACCTTGGTCTTACAGCATAGTCTTCATGAGAATAGTTTTTACGATAGTTATCCTCCAAATCCCGCCACACATGATACATCTTCCCTCCTGCCCCAGCACCGGAATCTTTTCCTGAAGTTTGGGAGTCACACTGGTGAGAAATCGGCTTGAAGAGGTTCCACTGGACCTGTGGGGATTAATTAATCAATCACTGCTGGATGATTCAGTATAACCACCATTTTCAACAATAATACAGTATACTGAAACCACTGGAAAAAAATAAGTATTGTATAAAAATAAAAGCATTGCATCCCTACAACATCCCTACAGTCTCGTGCCTCAATATGAAGGAAAACTAATCAAGTCATAACAAACCTGTTCTATCAAAACTTGCGGGGCTTCATACAAGTTTTTCATGAGGTAATCAAATATGAGTAGGAGGCGAGCCAGGTGAAGAACTTGAGTCTCTCTCATGGGCGTGCTGATCACTGACGATACATTCACTACCGCTGAGGCCACATTCAGTAGCACACTCTTCTTCTGCATTAGTTGTAGTGAATGGAAGAGGAACAATAGTAGCTGAGCATGCTCCACATTCAAGTCTGAAAGATATTTAAAACCTCATCATTTTATACTCATTATACTGCACAGATGTTAAAATGGCAATTTTAAGAAATGCCATAAGCTAGATGAAATATTTGTATATGCTTACTAATATATGTATAGGGGTAGATGTAGAAACCACTGTATCATTGCCTGTCTTATCACACTAGAAGAGCTATTTTCATGATATTCCAACTAAGTTGCAATAAATATTTTTTTACAGTTTCTAGTGGTTTGGGGGTTCACATTGCCTACCCAAATCTCTCTGATCTACTAAATTATCCTCATGCGCATAATGGCCTGGCATTAGCTCGTGTGGCTTGGTTGGAACAGATCACCCCAGACGAGTATCATGCCAGACTTTCTCGCCCTATCATGGCCAAAATGTTTTATACAATTTGTTTTTATTTTTCCAATGATCAGGGGATGCATTTTAACGATATTAGAATTAAAAAAAATATTGTGCACAGCACCGTTGTCTGCTATGAACCCCTAACCACTGTGATGCGCCGTGTTTATTGGGACATTCCCCTTGTGCACCAAAAATCAGGTTTGAATGAGACTTTAATGGCATGGGTCATTCAAGCTCTGTAAGTTGCCACAAATACAGTATATTTTCAATAATTTACTCTATGTATTTCCAATGCAGTTTTATTTTTTTATCATATATGATGCATATTTGTGTCCCTTACACTATGTATACATCAGAACGTTCAAAATGTTCCATGGAACTGTGATACATGTGTCAGTAATGTGTCCACAATAAATGTTTATTGTCGCAATATTACTTGTTAAAAAATTCACTAAAATTACAATATGTACGGTTTCACACATGATTTACACAATGACACACTGTATTACACACACAGTACTTCGGAAGCGAGTGATAATCAACGAAGAAGTCCATGGTACACAGCGCTACTTTGCTCTCTATGTACCAGGTACAAACTGATTTTCTCTTGTATTTTACAAACAGATTTTACAAACACCTTTGGCTTTAGTACCTGTAGTATGATGGTATGTTGCCAAGCTTGTGAAGTGTAAGCTAGTCTTAAAAAAATCGCTTTGTAAGGTATTGTGGAAGAGATTCAGCCATTCTGGAAGAAATTCAGTTATTCTTGAAAAGATCTATGGAAAAGACCACCATGGAAGCCGCTAACACTGTTCATCTATGCTACATGCATCATCACCGAATCCAGAAAACTCTTCATTTATGTATCATCTATAAAAAAAAAATGGAGATAACACGGGTGAGCATGGGTGGCGCTCAGCACCACCCATGCTCACCCTACAACTGGATACACTCGCTGTATTATCCTCATCAGTGCTGTAGCACTTGTATCCGACCCTTGTGTTAGGTCCTTATTATGTATGGACTCATTAATATCGTGACCCTTTTCATAAAAAAGCAAGGTCTGAATTTCACTGACTAAGAGCGATCTTTCAACACCACATCTGACAGGGGATAGGGACCCAGAAGTACATGTGCCACCCTTGGTTGCCCATTCAGAACTGATCTTGCCAGCAATCCTCGAGAAATCTGGTATTTTTGTCAAGATGGCTACCTCTTACTGGAGGTCCTAGGAGTCCATTTTGTACCCAACCTACCGTGAGCGCGTTTCAATAAAGTACGAACCGGTGGGAAGAGGTACAGGTACTGTATCCCCAACTTGACCAGTCCAGCCGAAAGGCATCGACCCCGACGGCCTCGCAGTCTGCGAAGGACGCCACATACACTGGAAGATGCCTTGACCAAGTCGATGTGAAGAGGTCCCACCTCTAGGTACCAGTATATCCAGCAGAGCCAACTGAACGAGTCTGTGTCGACCTGTTTTCCATGGATAGTGGAATGAACCGAGACAGGCCATCCGCCAGGACGTTTGTCACCCCCCACAGAAAAAGTGGTATGTTTGCCACGGAAATAAAAAGTTTTCTTGGTTGGCACTGTAGTGGACAAACAAGTTTTCTTGGTTGGTGCAGCACAGTTGTTAAAGGGGTGTACATATACAATTGAGGGTGCCGCGTATGATTTAAATGTCCCACGGTTACACGGGGTTCATATCAGCTTACTCAGGGTTCTAGTAAACAGATGCCATTTTTTTCAAAAATCGTTGGTAACATTCCTGGGTGTGAGAGCCTCCGTACTTAGTGAGCCACCAAGGCTGGTGCATGCAGCATGAGCTAACAGCACTGCTGGTTCAGCTTGTGACCACCACAGCATTGCCTAAAAATGTCAAAATATATATATATGTACCTAATTGTTATTATTTAGCGATAATAGTATTACAAAAGACCCCTGACTGATAAAAATGACCAGGATTCTGGCAATAGCAGGATTGTGGTGATAATTAGCACTGCGCATAGTATGGCGGGCGGAGTAATCGGTACGAGGGAGGAAGGTAATGTATGCTGTGTGGCAACCTGCCTGGACTCATTATACCAGCTTAGTGGTTCACTATGGTGAACACAAATGTAGATACTTGTTTATAACATGTGTGTATATAGTGTAATAACAGCAAAAGGATTATGTTGGGAGGAGCCATTTTGGCGAGGGAGGTGGCATTGTCTGCTGGCTGGTTTGTGTGACGTGCTGTGTAGGGTGGCCACTATGCTGTTTGTACACCATACCAGCTTAGTTGTACAGTTATGGTGAACAAAACGTGTAGATAATTATTACACTATATATAATCATTATATATAACAACAGAGTGTATAGTGGGAGGAGGAATTTTGGCGAGGGAGGGATCGTCACCCGACACTGTGTGGCGACCTCTTACTGTCTGGATTCACCATACCAAATTAGTATTTCGTTGTGGTTAACAAAACATGCAGATGCTTATGTATAATGTTTGTATATAGTGTAATAACAGCAAAACTATTTGTTATTGTTTTATGAACATAACTGAATCACTAATACTGTATGCATACCATACTTTTGAGTATAGCGATGGCTCACACATTATATAAATATATCACACTGCACACTATTGAATAATATTACTGAAAAACAAAAAATCGGATACATTTAAATAATTAGGTAATAATATCTTTGTGGCAACTTCCGCTTGACAGTGTGGATGGAGCAGACCATTTCCGACGCTTACTCTCAACGCCTCAAATTTGCCAGACTTCCTTGCCCAACTGTAGCCAAAATGTGTCGCCTACGATTTTGTTTTGTCTCAATAGTCAGAACGCAAGTGAACACTTTTATAAGACTACAAGATAATTTGATTTTTTTTATTTCTTGTGTCTGGCAGTGTTGAAGGCTATTAAGGCAAGCTCCCTTTAACCCTTAAACTGCGCATGGCATATATATACGACAGGACCTGATGGTACCACAAGTTAAATTAATTATACTTGTTTTAATGCTTTCAAATTTTTTGTGCATAATCTACTAAGCAAACACTCCAACTTTACCTAAATGATCATCAACATAACTAAAAACAATTAATAATTATAAAATTTAATATTGAAAATTTCAGATTTTCAGATTGGCTACAAAAATGTTAAATATCACCAATTGTTCATAAAGTGTTATTATGCTCTCAGAATAGTATATGATCTTCGTTTTAATAGATTTAGAATATAGATTTTCAGTATAGTTTACTGTAAAAAAAAAATCGTCAATATGGCATTTGAAATATGTACCAAATTCAACCAACCAAATTTATAACTCAAACATTTAGAGTTTATGAAAAATACATTCTTATAGGATCGTAGAACAGACAGCGGCGCACACTATACATAAAACTGTTGAGAATCGGTCAGAAACTGGATTTTTTGAAGCTGACTCAATGTTGAAACTCTAGTTTTAGAGATAATTGAAGTTGAAGTTATCGACAATGTATAAGGTAGTTGTAATTCATTAGTTTACTTGTATGTTTTAATAAACATTGTTTGGCATTCATACTCTAATATATGAAAGTTTTAGGTCAGTATGTGTTGAAATGAAGTCTAGGAAAAACAACTCCCCCCCCCCCCACCAAAACAAATAGGGACAATTATAATAATTATAATGATTTAGGGGATATATTTAGGGTATACTTCATATAAGTCAAAAAGTATTAATCTGGTCCCTAATCATCAAAACAATCTAAAGAAACAAGTAAAAAGAGTTTAAAATCTGTGAAAAATAAGCCAAAAATTATTCAAAGTCCCAAGTACTGCCAGTTAACAGATTTATTTGTTGACCAAATTTAATTTTATCTTCACATAATTATGGAAAAGTATGCATTCTCCCAGATGTAGAGGTTACAACAAAATCAAATAAAGAAAAAAAATGTGGACATTGGTGAAAGTAACAGGTATTTCCATTGAACAATGTATTTGTATGATATATAACAAAATAGAGCATAATAACACTCATTATTTGTGTTATTATGTATTACTCAACAATACTATAAAGGCACCAGCTGCATATCCACTTTGTGGACACTTCTAGCTACTATTCTTTGTGCATCGGACAGGTGCTTGCATTTACTTATTATTGCATTATCTCTCAGTTCCAGTTAATAGCCGTTTTCCAAAATGTTCTTTTAAAAAAAATTGTCTAAAATCCATTTCTGAAAATATTGGGATGAAAGTTTCACGATGCTGAAGCCAATAAGTTGGAGATTTGTTTAACATTTAATATTAATTTTCACAAAATTCAAATATATTTTCACCCAGCCCCAGCTTATACCCCCGCATTTACAGCCCAGGCTGTAGCAGTGTAAGGGTTAAAAGGTTAATAGCTTTGCCTCCCAGGGACTAAGGGTTAAATTTAAGACCAGTGTATATTATATGATGAAATGTTATTAAAAATTGGTAGTTATCTGTACCTTCTGTTTCTGCCTCAGGAGCAGGTGGATTGCTGACAGATTTTGTTAAAGTCGTAATCACACGCTGCCAAATGAGAACACAGGCAGTGTCCGAGTCACACTTCAGCTCATCCTTGTCTCGACGCTGACGAAGCAGTAGAATCTGAAGCAATATTAACAAAATATTAAGCTTCCTTATATCCTTAGTAATCTCTCAAAGAACCAACACTTACCAAAAACTTGGAAAAAAAATTCAATATTCTTGAAATGGAAATTCTAGATTATCTACATAATTAATACCAGAATAAATACTTTGCCTACATATGAAAAACAGAGTCATCTTATGATTTAATAAAGCCCCTTTTAATGCATTGTTCACCAATGGGTTAAAAATTAAAAAAATCCTACCCAAAAGAATAATTTTAGGTGTAGTAATGGCAGTCTAGGAAGAACAAAATATCATTTGGGTATTTTAATTCTGAGTTTCAGTCTGGTCAAAATCCCACTAGGATTAATCTTGGAATGGATATCTGTAGATGATTTCAGTAGTTCTTATACTGCAGCCTAGTCAGAAGACTGCCTTTCTTGGTTTATAATGCTGTCTTCGTAAAGCACAGAATCACAGTTACCCCGTCACGCTGATCCAGTAACTCAGGCAGAAACTTGTCAAATTCAGTCTTGAATGTTCCTACTGTTGTTCCAGATATATTTCTTATATTTGTTGGCAGTAGACTGAAGAGGCATGACCGCTGATGTTTACTGTGGGTTTCCTAATCATGCCTATGATCCCCAACCTTAAATTAGAGTTAAAGGAACCACCTAAAGATAACCTCAAAGAAACAAGTTTGTTGTAATTTCACTGTGCAGGTTTGGGACCTAACCTTCCAATACATTCCATATGAATATCACATCTCTCTTGTCTCCAATCCAAAGTACAATTAGAATAATTCAAGACAGCACCAGTGCTTTGAAACATACCATACCATGTGACATCCCACCCTATAATCTTTCAAGCTGTTCCTTATGACTGCAATATTTCTTTAAATATTTCATTCATTATTAACATATGTAATTAAAATATGCAAATTTCCAAGTTATTTGCTCTTCGGCAGCATCACTGAAGCAAAATATAAATTCCTTGAGTCTAGCATGATGCTAACCTGAGCTAGAACGGTGAGGGTTCGTGGTAGAACCTGCAAGGGCCAGTCTCCATCTGGAGTCCACGGTGATACACCAAGCTGACCAAGGAGCGTGTTCTGCAAGGTCTCGCTCAATAGCCCCGACGCTATCACATTGTGAGTGTAGCGATAAAGGGCATATGAGAATTCATCATACAGAGAACCAAGTACAGGCCCTAAGTACCCAGTAAGACTCCCTGTGTGAATAAAGAAACATTAATTATTAAAATGCATATATGTGGTAATAACTACCGAGAAAATTTCATAACATACAAAAATCTGAACTGCATAAAAAGAATAATGCAAAGCATTTAATTCAGGATTTGCAATTCAATCAACCACACAAGCATCTAATGAAAGCTAAAACTAGTACAGTATAGGTGCCAGAGCTCAGATAACAAAGTTTAGAAAATTAGTTTAATTCTATTGATCTTACATTTGTGAGCATAAAAGCATCTCAGATGGAACAAAGAGGAGGTGAGCACTACCAATCCTTTATGCAGCCCTCCAGCTGCTCTTATTCCAGTAATATTCTTTATAACCATGGGTTTCATTGCACTAGTTTTATTCCTTCCATCTCTCTGCCAATAACTTTTTTTCACACTGATTTCTCTTGTCAAATACAGACCCCTAGATACTACTGAAACTGAATAACCATTAATAGTGCAAGCTTGTTCTCTTCCAAACAGCTTTATTCTCACTCCACCACCATACCATTGTCAACATATCCTTGTTATATATATTATGTATTCTATGTTTTATATTATAATATTACTGTATATTTATTTATTATATAATATCAGACCTCAATAATTCCATTTATTTCTATCCAGCACTAACTAAAACCCTCAAGTGATCTTACCTCAACTCTTTTTATCCTTGTATACCCTGAACCATCATGAGAATATTAAACAATTTTAGCATACTCTTGCATTAATAGTCAGTCACTATCTCTATTACCCGCTGTAAATGTTGTACTTCATCAACAAAAACTGTATGGCACTAGTAACACTTCTACTATAAACAAATTCATATCTGTAAAAGATTCTCTCCATTAACTTTGCCATATACTTTCTTTCCACTTTATTTAAATATTCAGTACTGAATATTTTTCAGTAATTAATATATAATCTTCAGTTCCTCTTGTTCACTACTTCCATGTGTCAAAGTGTCTCTGCCTATAAACATTTCCATGGAAAATACCATTCAATTAATGTTTTTATACAACACAACAACACTTTATAATGGTCCATGATGGACTGAAATAAAATTATTTATTCCTTAAATGATGTCCAAAGCACACGTTAGAGTTTCGCCAAATTATTGTTATTCATCATCTGCAAGTCCATGTAATGTGCAGATTCCATCTTTGAATGTTAAAATGTTAGAAAACTGGGGTGTAATATAGTTATATAAAGATTGCACCTCTGACCACCACCCAATGACTCCAGCATTTCAAACGGGATATTTGTCTATTACAAAGACCAATTTTTTCCAACGTGTTTGATGACACAGGGTTTCCTTTAATAAACTAGTTGAAAAAGAAAAATTAATTTGAGTGGCAGCAAAGAGGTCTGATGTGTTCCAAATGTACTGTCGAAGTATGGCCCTGCTGGGCAGAGGCGGTGATGCACATTTGAGTCCGATGGGCAGTCTGACTCGCAGAAACAAAACTCTCAGGAATCATAACAAATGCGGTGTTTCCCCAGGACTACACTATAATAGGGAAGAGAGGGAAGGAAGGGGAGGAGGTGGAGTGGCCCTACTAATGAGAAAGGAATGGAGTTTCAAGGAGATGGTCATCCCGGGCTGCGAGGGATTTAGATTACATAACAGGCACCATGACAATGGGAGGACCAATAGTAGTAGTAGCAGTGATATATAACCCTCCACCAAATGACAGAAGACCAAGGCAAGAGTATGAAGACAACAACAACATGGCAGTTTAACACTAATTTGTTAAAATTTGAATCGGGTTACAAACTTTACTGCGGGAAACGAGTTTGTCGATACGTGTATGGCTGACTTAGTGTACGGTGGCAAGACGATCGCGCCTCGGTTTACCAGTGCCTCCTATCTAGTGACTGTAGTGCCTGAATTCTTTGCAAGGATTTACAGTATTTTTTTTATTTTTGGCCATTTGAACATAAAATTTGTTATATATCTCGCCATGGGTCCCAAGAAAGCCAGTGGTAAGGTTCAAGGCAAGAAAACATGTGAAAATGACCATACAGGAAAAACAAGAGGTCATTCGCAAACATGAAAATGGTACACTTTTTGTTGAACTAGCTAGGCAGTACAACAAATCTTCAGGGGAAGGATGGGGGGGGGGGGGGGGGGAGAAGGAGAAGAGGCAGTAGAGGATACCCCTTCCTCATTAATTAAGAAAATGTGTGCAGTATGAGAAGAACTGGAAAGTTTTGCTGAAAAGAGTCACCCAGATAAAGCTGTAGCAGACCGTTGCATGGATCTGATTAACAACAATGTGATGTCTCATTACAGACAAGTGTTACAAAGAAGGGAAAAACAATCTTCAATGGAACAATTTCTAGTGAGAAAATCAAGCAGTGAGCCAGAAGCAGGTCCTAGTGGTATGCAGGCAAAACGTGCCAGTGTGTGTACCCCAGAGAAGACATCACTGCCCGAGTTTATAATGAAAGGGGACTCCTCTTCCAAACAGTAACACCTCTCCTCCCCCCGCCCCCCCCCCGTCCTCCTCATCGTCTTCCATACGCCAACAGCCATCATCGGTAAAGGTAAGTAATAACTTGTACATACTTTTGTAGTGAAGATTTGGGTGAATTAGGTATAAAATTTACTTTGAAATTAATTTTTGGGGGAGTTGGGAACAGATTAATTCATTTCCCATTATTTCTTATGGGGAAATTCCCTTCAGTTTACGAATTTTCGGGTTACGAACCGTCTCTAGGAACGGATTAAATTCATAAAGTGTGGTACCCCTGTATAGCAACTAACATCTGGAGAACCATTGTCCCCAAATCTACACACTTTACTATAACTTGGGCAAACTAGAAATTTAATCCTTATAATAACCTACAAATCTTTGTTAGTTTTATTAGATAAAACTGCTTTGAGTTATTACTAATTCAGCAATTTCTGGAAGACAAAACCCCTTTTTATTTCTCCCCCCCCCCAAATACCTATTTTAATCAACTATTCTTTTTACATTATTTTACCATAACATCTTTTAACATAACTAAGAAATTTGTTGGTGTGCTTTTGGCTAGGTGTTCTGGGTGTAAATCTTCCTAAACCAAACTCTGCTAAATTATAACCAAGAATATTTTTTGCTTAATTCTCCTGAACTACTATTCAAATTTTCTGTAGATTTACAAGATTCTTTTTGTATTTCACACTGGGGAAGGGTTAATGTGAAATGAAACAACAATAATGAAGGAAATTTGAGCTAAAGAATTAATCACTTTGAAAATGTTTTATCTTAAAGCTCATGCTACAACATGACACTTACATATTCTGTAGAAAATGAGGCTATGAAAATGTACAAACAACAATATATCAAATCTTTTATAAAAATACAATGTAAAACTTACCAGAGTCAGATCTAGCCGTTTCTCTGTCAAGATCGCGTATTATTGCAGCCAATACAACCATGTGTGTCTCTGCTAACCCAGCACGCACATACTGCTGCACATATGCACACTCGCTCTCAACAAGGTAGCTGTTCATCAGCAGGAATATATGTGATGCCAATGATATGAACTGTCAGGAGAGAAACACTCAATTATCAAAACTCTTGAACACAGTAATATTCTTAAGTAAATCACAAGCAGGAGAAAATAAAAATTCCTTCAATTAAAACAAGACTGAGCATTCAAAAGCTGACAAGAAAAAAGGGTGACTAAACCGTACTTAAGGAACAAACACCATACAAACAATCATGTGTAGGAGTACAAGGAATGCATTTAGAAGCACTTGCAATCGATGCATAGTGAAGTACGCACTTCACTTGCAACCTCCGCCAAGTTTTTCATAATGTACACAAATATTTTAGAAACTATCAAGTAATTAAAATTTTGATCTACAAAATACTGTACATAATTCTGCTAAAATTTATGTCATGCTTGTTTACAGTCACTATTAAAATTGGAAAATAAAATTACAGTATAGTTCATGTAACAAACAATAGTGCAGGAATGATTTAAGGACAAAATATTCGCTAGAAAACACTAAAGTGTAATACAGGTATTAGTATCAACATTATTCGAGACAAATCATAATGAAAGATTTGCTTAAAAACAAAGGAGGGTGCCTTAGGCTTAAGTAAAATGTACACAAATTACAGTACTGTACTGTACAAACAAAATGTGAAAATGCGAGGTTAGACAAATAGCTAGAATTGTGCAATAGGTCAATACGTACAGGCTCTAGAACTATAGGAAGCATTGGGTCAGTTAAAGAAAAGGTAACAGTGCACTTACAACTCACTTTCTGACTTGCCAAGCATACAAGCTGAACATACACACACCACACACACAAACACAGAATGGTTGACAAATGGAATGCATTAGGAAGTGATGTGGTGGAGGCTGACTCCATACGCAGTTTCAAGTGTAGATATGATTGAGCCCAATAGGCTCAGGAACCTGTACATCTTAAGAAGCACATCAACAAACTGGATAAGGTGCAATGACATGCCACTAAGTGGCTCCCAGAACTGAAGGACAAAAGCTATGAGGAGAGGTTAGAGGCATTAAATATGCAAAAACTAGAAGATAGAAGAAAAAGAGGCGATATGATCACTACGTTCAGAACAGTAACAGGAATCGATAAAATTGATAGGGAAGAATTCGCGAGACCCGGAACTTCAAGAACAAGAGGTCATGGATTTAAACTAACGAAACAAAGCTGCCGGAGAAATATAAGAAAATTCACTTTTGTAAACAGAGTGATAGACGGTTGGAACAAGTTAGGCGAGAAGGTGGTGGAGGCCAAAACCGTCAGTAATTTCAAAGCATTATATAACAGAGTGCTGGGGAGACAGGACACCACGAGCATAGATCTCATCCTGTAACTATACTTGGGTAATTACACTTAGGTAATTACCAATTCATTGACAGTTGAGAAGCGGGACCAGAGCCAGAGCTCAACCCCCACAAGCACAAATAGGGGAGTACAATAGGCAAGTACACACACACACACACACACACACTGGCTCTCACACTGTACATAACTGTACTGTACACTTGAGGCTACAAGATGATCTACACAAACTGAATGAATGGTCCAACAAACAGCTACTACAGTTCAACCTGAGTAAATGTAAGGTAAAGAAACTAGGCAGTGGAAACAGGCGGCCAGAAACAAAATACCGAATGGGAGATGAAGTCCTCCATGAAACGGACAGAGAAAGATCTAGAAGTTGATATCACACCAAACCTGTCTCCTGAACCCCACATAAAAATAACATCGGCGGTGTATGCAAGGCTGGCCAACATCAAAACTGCCTTCAGGAACCTGTGTAAGGAATCATTCAGAACCTTGTATACCACATATGTAAGACAAATCCTGGAGTATGCAGCCCCAGCATGGAGCCCGTACCTTGTCAAGCACAAGATGAAGCTGGAAAAAGTCCAGAGGTATGCCACTAAGACTAGTCCCAGAACCAAGAGGCAGGAGTTACGAGGAAAGGCTGCATGAAATACACCTAACGTCGCTGGAAGATAGAGCTCGAGGAGACATGATCACTACCTACAAAATTCTAAGAGAAATCAACAGGGTAGATAAAGAAATTGCTCAATACTGGGGAACTCGAACAAGAGAACACAGGTGGAAACCGAGTACCCAAATGAGCTACAGGGATGTTAGAAAGAACTTTTTCAGTGTCAGTAGTTAACAGATGGAATGCATGAGGAAGTGATGTGGTGGAGGCAGGCTCTAAACATAGTTTGAAATGTAGATATGATAGAGCCCAGTAGGCTCAGAAATCTGTACACCAGTTGATTGATAGTCGAGAGGCGGGACCAAAGAGTCAAGAGCTCAACCCCCGCAAGCACATCTAGGTGAATACAAACACACACTGCACTTGTGTAGGAGAGTCCTGGAGGCCTTTTTTCCAGGACTGTTGTGAATACTATTTTCAATGTTAAACTAGGCATGCATGGTATGTAAAGCCCCTTACTGCTGTAAAATACTGTATATTTATTACGTTTGTGTATAGTTGTGCACAGTGTGTACGTGTACAGTTGTGCATAGTGTGTGAACGTGTTTGGTTGTACATACAGTGTGTACATGTATGGTAATACACAGTGTACATGCATAGTTGTACATACATACAAGTGTACAACATGTGCATACAGATGTGCATGCAAGTGTACAGTGTGCATGTACATGTGTGATTACCAACTTGTAAATAACAACTGACATTCAGAGTACAGTACTGAAGAACAACTGTGCTCAGAGGCCCATTTTTTATACTGATCTTTAAATATTGCAAATAGTTTCCTATGGTTTTGGTAAAACCTATCGCCTCTTAGAGCCACATGAAGACCATCTATATTCATTTCAATAACTATTTACAGTATGTCTGTTACATGCATGTGTGTATGCCACTGTGAACATACATACACTATCATTTCTGAGCACATGGATGTATATTTGTATGTATGGCCACATGCATGTGCATACATGCACAAGCTCCTTACTAAATCCACACAATTATTTCAATCTCACCCCATGAGGCTCCCCTTTCTCAGGCACGATGGTGGTGACTTCGGAGTTGTGACGGTGAGGGGTTTTTGCCTGAGAATCATCCGGGGAGGACGAGGAATCACTATTGCCTTGAGCTCCTCCCGAAACTGGATCGTCACCGCCTTCTCCTGGAGTAGTGGGCTCCTCAAACCAGGCGCCAATGATAACCGAGTCGTCGTCTGTTGCGGGGCCAAGCACTGGGTTATCGCCACCGTCTGAACCCCACCCAACACCAACACCATAACGACAGCATCCACACAGACAAAACACAGGTCAATATAACAAAATAAAATGGTGCACATCAAGGATAAAAGCAACATTCCCAAAATGCAACTTAAAATTATAAAATCATTTTTTTTTTTTTAGACAAGACCTACTTGAATAGTACTTACGTTTCAATAATGGAAATGAAAATATATCACTGCACCCGACAATGAAGGCTAAAAAATATATGAAGTGAATAAGCATTCTTTATGGCATACGAGTGAATTTTTATTTAACATTACCAAGTACATGCATAGCTCACACCTAGTTCCGAGAAGCAACTTTTTTTCCAGTATAAAAAGCTACTAAATTCCACTGTATAAGAAATATTTTCTAAATCAAATATGATAGAGAAAATGACCTTAATTGCATTTTCCTAGAATGTCAAAAAGCAGTTGATAATGTTCCTTACAAAAGCTAGTGAATAAGAGACTGACAACCTAGGATAACTAGAAAAACACTAAACTAGTTTAAGAATACCCAACAGGAAACACTGGAATAGCTACTGAAATTAAACTTCAGGTTAAAGTTAACATATATGGCAAAAAAAAAGTAAGTGACTTGAGGGAATCTACACCATAAGGAAATTGCAATACTAGGAATCAGAATGAGAAAAGGTACCTAATTAGAGATCAATTTGCCAAGGTAAGAATAGGTACTGAAGAATGGGAATTTACATGCTGGTGCTGCATGTAGTAGAACCGAGTTTTGTCTAATCCGACTCCAACTGCCCATTTGATCTACTTTCCCTCCTCCAAATATTATTTTTCATTTGATGGACTTGACCTTTGAACGCCATGAGTCTGCTAAATTCTGCAGTAGCATGCAATTCTCTTTAGTTCTTAACCTTATCAATCTTGCATCATCTGCAAACACCGCTATGAGAGGTCTTACCTTCTCAGTAAAGTTGTTCAAATAGATTAGAATATATGGGGTACAATGACCAAGCCCTTTGAGATCACGCCCAATTTTAAAGGGGAAAATTAATTCTTCTGTACTTGGTCTTACCTTCGCATTACATGTACATGGATTTGCTATGAGATCAGTACCAGAGATAAAAAGAGCCAAGATATGAGCAAAGGATAAGGAAACTATCAAACATCACTTTTCCCTAATCTCCAATACATGACAATGGAACGATTCCTGTCGTGATGGAGACAAGGGAAGAGCTTGGTGGACGATAACAGGTCTAGGTGGACAATGTAGAAGACAGCTATGGAATCATTGAAGGGTAGAGATCTATATGCTACTAGGCTCAATCCTAAGTTTTATTGCAATAAAAACACACTCGGACACGAAACACACACACACACACACACACACACACACACACACACACAACACACACACACACACACAGATAGTGTTGGATCTTGAGTATCATACCAAGAAATTATCAAAAGGCAACACTGTCTAGCCGCTTAATGGTCCGAAGGTGGTTGAAAGGTGGGATGGTGCCCGCGTATCTTATCTGTTTTACATCAATTATAAGAACTGGACTTAGCAATTGGATTTATTTGGACTGAAATCATTTGCAGAATTCAAATGTTTGCTGTTACAATTACCCAAATGTAATTGTAACAGCAGACATTTGGTCTTTCACGTTTCACAAATTCATTAACAAACCTTAATCTTGTTCACTGCCGTTACCTGGTGGTTTATAAACATTGTTAGCCACGTATATGTGACCACCAAGAGTGCCTGCAAGTGTAAGCTGCCCCAAGAGTTAATGACTACATACACACACATCAGATTCTTTCAACCATTTTAGAGCGACAGTTTCCATTTAGTTTTCTTCAGCTAACCGTAATATGGCAAGCATATTAAAAAAAAAAAAAATAACCCCGCTGAAATCTAACAGGTTTATAGGTTGCAATACTTAATTTATTTATAAAATAACTTTCCATAGCCTTTATTAGTTTATTGTCATGTAATATATATATCCTTTATCATAATTGCAACTGCTCATGTTTTTTCCCAGCAATTTCCTCTCCATGTTAGTTCCAAGATGGACAATATTTAGTAAACGGTCTCAATCATATTTGGTTTATGTTACACTTATGACATTAAATTAATTATTAATCATTGTCGCAATTATAACTTATTTATCAATTCAACTACATTTATGCACGTGTGCATGCTTACATTAATTTACAAAATGCAATTGTGTTAATAAAGTTCATCTAGATGGCTTTAAAATTCCTGAACCTTTAACCCTTTTGTGTACTCTGCTTCAACTTGTTGCTACAAAGCTACGAGTAAAAGATATTTAAATGACGAGCTTTCTCGGCAAGCATAACTTTTCGGCAAATATTTTTAAGGGTCTTTAGTCCTTACAACTATGCTAACAAAAAAATTCATCAACAAATATTTTGATGTTCGCATCATGCCCCCTTACAATGATAAAGAAACTCAAGAAATATTATGGAAATTACTCTAGGCCTACTTACCTTGTGAACTCAACACTTGCTGAAAACTAAAGATATAAAGTGGATCACTTAAAGTAAACTGATAAAGAAAGAACTCTCCATGCAACAATTCAAGGCTAGGTCTTTTATGCAGGATCAAATTTTAAAACAGTGTTGGTGCTGAACTGATAGAACAACTTTGAAGAGCACATTTTATGGGAAGGAAAAAAAAAAAGGCATAAGTTGAGACACCTTCAAAAGCAGGGAGAAATGCTTGTCATCATACACAAGAAAAATCCAAGATACTAGTCATGAGTGCAACAATAACCCAAGAAATAAAATATTAATAAAGCAATAATAAATAATGACACTAACACAATGAACAAATTATAAACTGTTAATACAGAATATTAATTATCAAATTGTAATTAAGTAATTACAAATGTTTCAAGATGTGAGCAAGTAATCTACATGTACTGCATCTGTGTGGCTATATAGCATGTGAGACAACATATCGCTTCATTTCATCTGTAATTGTAATTCCACAAACATGCAGAAGAAGGACTTCTCACCTTCTTCACCAAGACTCCCTTCGGAGAAGTCGTCCTCGTAATATGTAGTGGAGTCCGAGATGCTGAAGGTATCGCCTTCACCCATGGCACGATGGGTTCGCTTCAGACTACAAGCCTTTCAATAAAATAAATTTGATCATTCCTATACCAAATATTGTACAATATAACTAAACACTAATGCATGAATAGAAGTAAAGATATTCAGAAAGGCAAGTGATGCTTCATAATGCCAGCTCCAATTGCACCAGAGACAAGTAACACTGCCAACAATTTGCTCAACCCTTAGACCGTGCAATACATACATATATGATAAAAATAAATTGTGCTAGGTTTTTAAAACTTGCACAAACACTTTACAATTATTTTTTTGCATAATCAACTAGGCAAATGCTCCAACTTTGTCAAAATGATCAGTGTAACTTTAAAAACCAGAGAACCAAAATTAATTTTAAAATTGAATATTGAAAACTTCAGATTTTCAATTCGGAATAAAAAATATAACCATCATTAATTGTTCGTTTAATGTTGTTATTATCTCAGAATAGCATATGATCTTCATTTTCATTAAATTAGAATATAGGTTTAGTATAGTTTACTGCAAAAAAAAAGAAAAAAATTGTCAATAGGACATTTGAAATATGCGGCAAATTTAGACCCCAAAAAATTATAACTCCAAATGTATAAAGTTTATGAAAAATCCATTCTGAACAATTGTAGAACAAACGGCAGAGCACACAATATGTAAAAATAGTGAGAATCGGTTAATAACTGGAATTTTAGAAGCCACTCAAAGTTGAAACTCTGGTTTCAGAGATAATTGAAGTTGAAGTTATCAAGAATGAATAAAGGTAGTTTTAATTCGTTAATTTAATTGTATGTTTTAATAAACATTGTTTGGCATTCGTACTCGAATATGTGAAAGTTGTAGGTCAATATGTGTTAAATGAAATCAAGAAAAATAATCTTCAAAAAACACAAAATATAGGGATAATTATAATAAATATAATGATTTAGAGGATATATTTAGGGTATATTTATATAAGTGAAAAAGCCCTAATATGGTCCCTAATCATCAAAACAACGTAAAGAGACAAAGAAAATAGTTTGAAATCAGAAAAAATCAGCCAAAAAAAATAAAGTCCCAAGTTTTGCGAGTTATGACCAATTTATTTGTTGACCAATTTAATTCTATCTTCATAGTTAGGGAAACGTATGCATTCTCCAGGATGTAAAGGTTACAACAACATCAAATCAAGCAGTCTCCGTGGTGTAGTGGCAAGACACTCGCCTGGCGTTCCGCGAGCGCTATGTCATGGGTTCGTATCCTGGCCGGAGAGGATTTACTGGGCGCAATTCCTTAACTGTAGCCTCTGTTTAACGCAACAGTAAAATGTGTACTTGGATGAAAAAACGATTCTTCGCGGCAGGGGATCGTATTCCAGGGACCTGCCCGAAACGCTACGCGTACTAGTGGCTGTACAAGAATGTAACAACTCTTGTATATATCTCAAGAAAGAAAAAAAAAAAAAAAAAAAAATTATATATATATAATTTATTTATTTATTTATTTATTTATTTTTGGGACTGATGAAAGTAACATATAATAACATTGGACAATGTATTTATATGATATATAACAAAATAGATCATATTAACAGTTATTCATTATATTTTGTGTTATTATGTATTACTCGGCAATGATATAAAGGCACCAACTGCATGTTCACTTTGTGGACACTTCTTACTACTATTCTTCTTTGAACATAGGACAGGTGCTTGCATTTCTTTATTGCACCATAATCCATTCAGTTACAGTTATTAGGAACCGTTCTTCTTATCAATAAAACGTTCTTATTTTTCAAAAATTCGTCTAAAGTCAACTTCTGAAAATATTTTTATGAAAGTTTCATGACACTGAAGCTAATAAGTTAGAGATTTGTTTAACATTAAGTTATTTTTACATAATTCAAATATTTTTCGCTGTCATGCCCCTAAATGCGCAGTCTAAGGGTTAATGTTAGATTGACACTAAAGTTACATGAAAAAGTGAGCTTACAAATTCCTCTATGAACAGAGTAATTGTATATCATTCATTTTATTCTATACTATAAATTTGAGTAGCTTCAGACACAGTTTGCAAGACTTTCATGATTCACTTACCTTCTACTTATCTCTCTATTTCAAAGAACAACCATGTACTATCAGTTCCCCTTTTCAGGTATTGCTACTAAATTAAAATATACAAAACAAAATATCATACCTTCCGATATGAAATGGTGGCAAGGTAAAACAGCAGCTGATTCAGCGGAACAGCTGAAAACAGCCGACAGAGACGTTCAGTAGCAGTGTATGCTTCCAAGGGATCCAGACGAGCTGGCTCTGGGGGACGAGGGGGTGTCCATCCCTCCACTTTAACATCTTCTAACAGCCCCGTCATTAGAGTCACACCTTGTGATGCTAGTGCCACACAAACTACACCAAAACCTTGTTGTCTGTAACATGAACATTAAAGAAAGCAATGTATTTATAGAATAAGAAGAATGTTTGAGACATTTTATTACTGTACTGTAAATTAATTTAGAAGTGAATAAGTGTGTACTTACACCTTAGTTAGGTTTATCCTTGCAGAGGCAGAATCTTTCTTGCTAGGGCTTCGGCCTTTATCATCCTTTTTATCTTGCATTGCAGCAGCTGAGGAGACGACAAGCATCAACTGGTGGAGCCCAGTCATTATCAACCAGGAACCCATCAACTGCAGGTTTTGCACATGCTGTCAAGAAATGTCCAAAATTTATTTATATTTTTCATTCACATTTAGTGTGAAAAAATATTTTTAAAGTTCCATAACTTTTCCATATATTCTCAAAGATAATTGGTTGTTAATTAATTTAGAGGAATTATTAACCAACTGACGTGCACTGTGCACCTAAACTTTCAACAACATTAAAATATAGTCACATACATGTCCACCAGCTCTTGTTGATGAACGCACAGCATTCAGAATAACATTAAAGAGATCCAGAGCTTTTTCAGCAATGGCAGGTGCTGCACTGTCTAGATCATCTTCTCGAGGAGGTGGCGGCGTCTAGGAAATTAAGAAAAACACATTTATTATGATTGTTTCATTATAATTTAGCAAAATTTTATGTTTTGTATTCATGTTATTTCAATTTAATTTGCAACCAATATTCAAATTGTACCCAAAATATTTAACTTTAATCATTCATAACATTATTGCTGTCCATTCTTTTATGTTCATGGAGTGGGGAGAAATCATCTCTCAGAAAATAAAGAAATGACGTTTCGGTCCTTCCTGGACCATTATCATGTTATGCACGATTTGATAATGGTCCACGACTAACAAACTGTCATTTCTTCATTTTCTGATGTGTGGTTTGGATATCATAACTTCAGCCATGTTACTGTGACCCATCACCTGTTTATACTGGTTTATAGTCTTGGGAACACTTATGGCTTGGCACTGAGCTACTTGCATCATTTCTTATTCAAAAATTAACTAACTGAAAAGTTTCTTTTGCTATGAATTTTTAAACAATACCACTGGGAAAAGCAGCTTAATTTCGCATTACTGTATAGATGAGAAAATATATACAATTCAGCCCTACAGCATTTAGACCAAGAAAAGTATGGGGTCAAAACAAAAGAGCTGCCATCAAAAGGATAAAATTGAATATTTACACCTTTATCTTTACAATACCGAAAAGGCTATAGAATTCTTTGAAGGCATGGTAGGGGGGTCAGAGCATTGTATTCTGTACTGTACAAGTCTCCAAGCTGCTTGGAGGAGTAGAGTGCAGTGTTGGGTGTAATTTCTATGCTCTTTTTCCCACCCCCCTCTCCCCAATAGGTGGCTACGGGAACAAAACTTCCAACTCCTGTTAGCAGGTCAATAGCTTTTTCCTTCCTATAGTTCATAGTAAGCATTGCCCAACAGTTTTCCATGGAACCTGACCTGCCAATCAGTTAACCAGGTACCCAGTTATTGCTGGGTGAACAGAGGCGAACAGTTAAATATTGACCTAGACCAAATTGCTTGTGAAGTGGTGGATAAGTGTTACAAGTATAGTCATGGTTGTGCAGTGGCATGACCTAAATTTAGTTTTCAAGTGTGTCACTCTCGCAACCCAGCTGGCAACCACCGTTTTTCTGGCAATAACTTCAATGATAAGAATTTTGGATGCACTGACCCATTGGCCCACATATCCGTTACAACCCAGCTAATTCAATACTTCCTGCAGGAACATCTAATTCACCACAGAAAACCGACTTTTGTTCTGGCAATATGTCCTATATTTGTTGGGAGGAGAGTTTGCTATTCACTACTATTCACAGAGTATTTTTGCATATTGTCATATCATTTACTCCAGTAAGTTATTTTATTGTGTATATTTGAGAGCAGACATTTGAGTATCTTCTATGTATACACTAAGGTTTGTTGTTGTCTTTGTTCCAGAGAATAGCATTCCAAGTGCCTTGAGAAGGTCCCAGAAACTTTGGAGTTTTACTGTACAGTAGTTAGTCTACTACTTCTATTGCAGATCAATTCTGCTTAGAATTTCAGGCAGGATAGCTAAAGTAATTTGAAGAAAACGGCAGCAGTGACATCGTTCTTCCACAAGTAACTATTTGTAATCCTTAAAAAATCACAGCAAGAGTGTGATAATGATAATTAAGGGTACATTTTCATTAAATGTTCAACAGATTAACTCAAGAGTTACAATCATCTTGTGCAGCATTTAAGAGCAAGTAATTATCAAAATAAGGCATCAAGCCAGGAAGACTTGTGTAGCACAGTCAGCAAGAGCAGCTGGGCCCAGGTCAAACTCAGGAAGTTGAATTCCTGAAACCCCAGTTACAGCCCCACTCCTGTGCCAGGTAAGTCCACTATGGGCTCACCATAGCCCATGTTACTTTGAACTTTTGTTCCAAGAAGCTGAATCTAAAACAATCCTGAAACCCTCTCCAGGTATGCTTTTAGTATCACAAACCTTGGATGAAGATGTTCCCTGTGATGCAACTGCAATAATGGCTGTGGCACAGGAGACAGTAAGAGCAGCAAGTAAGGCAGCCATTGCAATTGTAGAGAGCTTCTGCAGACGAATGGAATTTAACGGTTCCAGCAGAGGTAGGGACATGACACGCCAAACAGTACTCAGCTCCATAACGACAATATTCAGTCTGAAAAAAAAATATTAGCTTTACTGCCTAGTAAAAGTGTTCACAATTTTATATGAAATTACTTTTTTGTAAATACAGTACATTAGTAAAGCTACTGCGTGTGGTATTTAGTCTTCTTTCAATAGACTTATTAGAAATATATATTTACAACTGCAAATTGTAATGTAAATTACTTCCACATATAATATATTCAACTACTGTATTTCTATCTGTGAAGAAATACTGTGCATGTTGTGTTTTGTAGAAATTTAAAACTGTAGCCTCTGTTTTACTCTGTTACTTACCCTGCCTTCACAACCAGTGCCTCGGAAATATTGGTTGGGAAGCCATGTCCTTTACCTTCCAAGAGATCTTTGTAACGCTGGGTATATTTCACGACAGTGGGAAGTTTGAGGCATACATCTATCAGTTGTTCTCCACCACCTAGACTCTGTAGAGCAGACACGCATCGGCCAGCAAACAAATTCTGCAAAGGGAGGATATGATTGCAACAGAGTATAAAAGTAATACTGGAGGGAAAAATGCACACACATTGCAATGATCAATTGGACCTTACCATACTGGAGGAAAGAATAGATAGGGGGATATGATAACATACAAGATTCTAAGGGGAATTGAAAAAGTAGATAAAGCAGCATTGTTCAGAATAGCAGAACGAGGGGTCATAGATAGAAACTGGTGATATAAATGATTCAGACATTTGGAAGTACTTTTTCAGTATCAAGAGCTGTCAACAAATGGAACAGGTTAAATGCAGAGTCGATGAAGCTAATTCGATTCAAAATTGTATATGTAAATATGATAAAAGCGTGAGAAATGAGGGATTGCATTAAACTAAGAATGTTTAGAAAGTGGGGCTAGGAGCCTAGTCCGACCCCTGCAAGCACATCTAGGAGAGGTCATCTAAGAGTGCATCTTTGCAAGTACAGTAGAATCTCAATTTGACCAGTAGAATCGAGTACAGTAGAATCTCAATTTGACCAGTAGAATCGAGTACAGTAGAATCTCAATTTGACTAGAGCGCACACTTTCCAGGCTAGATTTACTCACCCGATTCCACAAAAGAGTTTCCTAAAGCGGGAGACGTGTGGATTTGCTTAGGATGTTGTGACAAAAGTTCACAGACTGGGGGAAAAGTTGGCCATTACATCATAGGTTAGAGTTAAAGATTCCAAAAGTGAAATGTGCCCATAGAGCATGAGAAATATGAAGGTTGTGAATGGATCTAGTGTTAGAGATCCAATCACCTTTCTAATGATTTTCATAGATGAACACAAGAGTAGCCTTGGGAAAACCAATGAGCATTTTTAAAACAAAATTCTAGTTTTTTTTTCCAGTTACAGTGGAAAAAAATATATTTTCAGTTTTCTTTCAGAAAAATATGGGCCCTTCTTTCTTTGAAAGATTTAAAGGTTAGAGTATGGGAAATAGGCTAGATGTGGTCAAATCTCATTACAGACTGGGGTCTCTTGGTGGTTGCCCTTCATATAAAAGGTTGAAATTAAAATTTTGCTCTGTGAAATCAGCCCATGGGGAAATATTAGGGTACAAATAGTAACTCTTAATATGGAGCCAATCAGGTTTTTAATGATTTTCACAGATGGACAACATTAGAAGAAAGATGGCTTTGGTTAAGCCATTGAGCATATTTAAAACCAAATTCTATGGTTTGTTTTTATTTTGAGATTTCAGTTTGTTCACAAATATGGGCCTCCTGGAGGAATTAGTTGCAACAAATCCCTCACTGCAATGAACTGGGGTTAGTCAGATAGTTCACTGAATCAGGTTATATTGTATATCTATACCTGGCTACAATACATAATTTCAATAGCAGTCACATTTTTGTTCACAATTTAAGCATCTTAAATTCAAAAGTAGATTAATGCTGCTATGAAGGATTCCTTCAGTGTTAACAAACATTGATCGATACCAAAATGCAGACACATACCCTCATATCCAGGGCAGAGTCCGACACACTTGTAAGTGGTCCCTCTCCCTCCTTGTCAGAAGTTGCTGGTGGTGTTGAGGAATGAGGAGGGTGGGGCCTGGAACCTCCCAAGTCGTGTAGTGGTGATACCAACTGTTCCAGTATTGCTGCACTGGGATCGCTCCGCCCTCGCCGAACTTCTTTAGATGCAGATGTCTCTTTTTCACCTAGAAAAAATTATAAACCTTTTCTCTACAATCTATAAAGTTATATAAAAAAAAACATGATAGTTTGGCAAGAAAAAGAAGCAAGTCAGCTTTATTACTGTACAGTATGCAAGAAGACATGTTGTACATTTACAACCCTAAATCCAAGCCACTCTTATTTTAAATCCTTCTGCATATCTCTCTTGTGGATACACAGGAGTGTTTCAGTACTGTATTAGAGAAATGTTTACCGTACTTGCCGGCGTAAAAGATGCATCCTCGCATAAGACGCACCCTTATGTTGCAAGGATATGCGATTATTTTTTTTTTTTTTTTTTTAGTAATTCTACCTCATTTCAGATCAGCTGTATAATTTTTTATACTTTGGGCAAGAGAATTGCTATAAAGGATGTGAATCTTTTATTTCTGGATGAGATGTTTTGTGTTATTGCGACAGGCCACCATCGCAGTGCTATGGTTTTGTTGTCGTCCCCTCATTGCAAATGGCTGACAGGCAGATGAAAGTTAAAACATTCCTTTCAAATTTCTAGGAGCATTTTTCCATTTAGATAATTAACAAATGTTTCCTAAAGGTAACACATTTGTTAATTAATGTACGACATGTCAGGTGTGGGTTATGTTTGCCGGGTAAGGAGATACTGGCAGGCGAGATAATGCGAGCTTCCCTCGTAACTGATAAAGTGTACAGTATTAATGTATTTGTATTTAGTTATCTGTTCCCTTTTGATTAATGCTGGGTCATACCTTTGTGGTTTTTATGTACAGTAATGTAAAGTACTAGAAATTCCCCCCGTGTTCTCCATGTTATGGATATTAGAGTTGCCCTTGAATCCTCAATCAGTAAAGATTACATTTTAATTTTCAAGCATTCTTTACCAAGATCCTTATACCCCTTGAGTTCATGATTATTGACTTCTGTCCTCCCTGGGAGGTCAATAAAAGACACATTCAGATTATCACACGAGGGACGTGGTGGCAGTGTTTAATGAGTTTTTATTTATTAGTTTTAAAATAATAATCCCTTCTCTTGTTGTTCCCACCTCATTTAATATTTCAGGGTTGATAATCACATTCCAAACAGTAACACCTCTCCTCCTCCCCCCCTCATTACCATCTTCCATACGTCATCAAGAGTCCTCCATAAAGGCAAGATAAACATATGTACTGTAGAGAAAAAGATTGTATTCAGTATAAAATGTATTTTTAAGTTAATATTTTTGAGGGTGTGGAACGGATTAAATTCAATTCCCTTTATTTCTTATGGGAAAAATCGTTTCAACTTACGATATTTCGACTTGCGATTCGTCTCTGGGAATAGATTACCATCATAAATCGAGGCCCCCCACTGTATATACAGTATTAGGCAAGACAACAATGGGGACCACAAAAATTGTTGATTCATTTATAACCTTACACTAAATATGGGAAGGTCAAGGGAGGAACAAATACAGTGAAGCATGCCTGAAGATAATCAAAAAGGTATCCACAGTAGCACTTTCATACATACTCAGGCATTTTAATTAGGGAAAACAGACTGTACAACAAGGGATCTTTACAGATGTGACAAAACATGGAGATCAAAATTAGTGGACATTGTTTACAAAACATTTCCTGTGGTAATATATCAATAAGCCATCAGGAGAAAGATCCACGAGCTATATCAGAACCAAATTGAGGTAGATGTAGTAAACATACAATGTACCCTTAGAAAGAGACTATTGCATCATTGCATTGAATTACTGTACATTGTAGTACTGGAAGAGCAAGTCGAACTTAAAAACAGGTCAAGACTGTGAAAGACTACACGAGAGCACTATACAAGGGCTAGGACCTACCTACAGATATTCAATGGGAGATTGAATTAGAACGAACAACAGCAAAATTGACGATGGAATTCCAATCACGGAAATGTGCAGAGGGAAGGTGGACAAGAATAGAGGCAAACCCATGGTTTAGCAATGCATGGGGGATAAGAAAAAGTGTACAGAATGGGATACAGTTATTCCTGAAAAGAACATTGCAACTGAAGCAAATGACAAACCATTGCTTCGTTTTAAACTCAATTGGGGATTGGGTTAAATTACCAAATGGGACAGAAATGATTGGGAAAGTTTTTCACAATGTCTCTGTTTACCTAGCAGTAAATAGGTATTTTAGGAATTAGAACTTGTTGGGTTGCATCCTAGGAAAGGGTCAACAGTTCGACCTGTTGACCACCTGGGGGGAAGTGGGGGGGGTGGAAGGACTGCGAAACAAACCTCGAGTATAATATACAGACTTCCTGTCCCTGACAAAATGAACGAATGAAAAAGAGCACGAGGAACTAAACAAGAAGTGCCAAGACTGGCACCCTCACTGGAAATCGACTGATGTCCATGGAAAGGAGACTAACAGGCAGCTTGAAATGAGAAGTCACTGAAGGGGGTTATATATAATAAGACACCTGGAGGAACTAATGTAACAAAAGCAGTTGGACCACATGAGGTACAGTATAACTAACTTTACTGAAGGAGGATGCTGGAGACATTTTATGTACTAACTCCAGTTTTAATGTAACATTAAAAATTTGCATGCTCCCTAAAGTCAGGAAAGCACAAATGTATGGGTCAGATAAGATGCACTAAACTACAGATCAATGTCACCGACATGCATCCCTAGCAAAATTATGATGTTTAATGAGGACATGTTCCCAATGATAAGTTCCAATTACTGCATTATGGAAAAAATAAAAATATATGTAAAATCACACACCAAAATGCCCAAAAACCACATAAAACAGTCACACCACATTATTTAAAGAAAAATCAATGTAAAAGATTTAGGAGTAATCATGTTGGAAGGCCTTACTCTTAAAAAAAAAAAAATTGCTGTCAAAACTCCAAGAAAAATGACAGGTTAGATATAAAAAAAAAAAAAAAAAAAAAAAAAAATTGTTCTCCAGAGTGGAATATTGTTGCACACTAACAACCTCATTCAAAGTTGGAGAAATTGCTGACCTGGAGAGCATGCAAAGATCTTTTACTGCTGGAATCCACTCAATAATACATTAAATTATTGGGACTGCCTGAAAATTCCAAACTAGAGCGAAAGTAACCTAAAGCAGAGGCGGGAGAGATACATAATAAACACTTTGAATATTAGAAGGACTGGTTCCAAATCTGCACATGGAAATAACACCACATGAACCAGAAGGCATGGTAACATGTGCACAATAGCCCAACTGAAAAAATAGAGGTACAATAGGCAGGCCGAGAGAGAACTATCAACGTCAAAGGCCCAAGACTTTTCAACACTTCCCCTACACAGACGGGGCACAACTGGCATGGTATTTCAATATGACTTGGTAGCAGTTTCAACTTACAGTATTTTGAAATGCCCAACTTACATGGTCAAATATCAGAACTTAGGTCTACATGACAGATGTCCAGCAACATCATTTATTACCCATAATGCATCCATCTGGGCATCAACCCATGTCATCTTATAGTTTAACTTCTTATATTTTTGTGTTAAATATTCATAAGAGATGCCCAACACACTGTAGTCAAAGAACACCAAATGTACCAATTGGTATCGTCATATTGTGTATCTTTAGCATTTCACCATATTACTGTAATATCTAACTTGTGGTTTTACTTTTATAAACAGAGAGGTGCAAGACTTGCAGGGTTTTTGTTAAATTATACATCACTTGACTGTTCTTTCATGTTCACTCATGATTATAAAACTAGATAAACATCACCAACCTGCAGGCATACTGGAGGTAAATCAAAATGCAGTCAATTCCAGTAACAAAACAAGGGAGAACCAAATCCAACGCACCCCTTAGCATTCGTTTGATGCTTCAACTTTCAATAATAACAGACCTGCTGGAGGAGGTGTACCTGGAGCAACAGTCTTTATGTGTGGTGGCAGCTTTGCGGCCTTCATAGCTGCTGTCAGTGATGCCTGATCAGCACGATGTAGAGCTCCAGACCCGCGGCACAAAGCTTTGATGCCAGCAAGCAGATGTTTGTCATGAACACAAACCATCCGTTCCTTCTCTCCGCTCGTCCTGTAATAAAAATAAATTAAGAAATTAAAATATCAACAGACTTCATGAAACAGGAACCCAAGATGAAATAAGTTACATCTTTTACCAATATAAAAAAAAAAAAAAATCTTCATATGTAACAAGACTTAGAATTGCAAGACATCTGTCAATGAATTACACATGCATATGTGGTAGGCACTTTGCTTTATTAGTCACAACTAGTTTGATCTTTGAACCAAAAATGGGTGGAACAATGAAGTTGACTTTAAAATGACTTGAAAGATAAGAGAAAAGGAATGGAAGGAAATCCAAAAAAAGGAAAAAAACAAAAACCATAAAGAGACATGGAAGATGGAAAACAGCATTCCCCCAAGTGGGCAACGTGTTACATAGGACCTTTTAAAGAAATGATCCAAAGTAATATCATCCAATTTGTTCACCATTTTATAGATTTTGACAAGATCAGCCCAATCATATCTGGTTTGTAGTTGTGTTACTCCAGAGTCCTTCAACCTTCTTGGTATGAAAGTTGACACACATATTCCAATAATTACCCTATCTGGCCAAACTGGATGGACACATTTCATTACATTACAGATTGTGTAGAAATCAAACTTTTCCCAAATAGTTATCAGTCCCACAAATTATCTGCACCACTTCATGTATGGCCATATAATATCCAAAACAGTTCACTCTTCTTATAGATACTGTCTGTGCCAAGCCTAAAACATTGGTTTGCTATCGCAATTCACTAATACACATTATGTAAAACGAATTAGTGCATTATCGTGCACCAATTGTATTTCTAGACAGCTTTGTCCTTGAACCTTTCAAGAAACATCTAAAATATATTTTTTTTTTTAGTAATGTCCAATATCTTTATTACTGTATGCCACTAATACTATTATCAAGTATCATTGATAATAGAACAATGCCTTTGTCTACCAGCCGAGGCAACACGTGTAATGTGAAAAGGGCAACATTATTAGATCCAATTTTACATAAGAAAGTACTAGGCATTACACAAATCTCAGACAAATTATATTTCTGCATAAAATGTAAAACTATAAAACAATTAAAAAAGGTCAAATAAAGTGTGAATGTGCTTAACTTTAACAAAAATTATGCACCATCATAACAATATTGTACTGTACTTACTCGGCTAGTGATGCAACAGTGGAAACAGATGTGGTGGTTGTAGAAACAGATATTGCACTTGTCACTGTACTAGATGAAGTGGTAGTAGTGGGTACAGTTTCACTTGGGGAAGCTGTAGTTGTAGCTACAGGTGAAGTAACTGCTGTGGGGACAGCTGCAGCTGGGGTCCCACCATTGCCATTTGTGCTGATCACAGCTGATGTAGACACTGAAGTTAAAGATGAGTGCGAGGCTGGTGTGGTTATGGCAGTTGGAGGAGCACCAACGTGGCCAGCCAAGAACTGAAGCAACACTTTGGCTGCATTTACAGCCTGGCTCACACTCCCAACACTCACTGTTGAATGTAATATAGAATAAAAGATATTAGATATCACAAAAAGACAATTATAGGAAATGTTACCACTTACCAAAGTATACTAAACTATTTTATGAAAAAAACATTTAATCAGTTTTTTAAATGTCACTGCAGAGTTAGGAGGATTTCCAATCAACACAGTAGCTACATTTTAGGGATTTGTAGTGTCAAATGCCACTGCTGACCCTACAACACAGCACAATTGGCAATTCTTGCATAATCGTACATAAATGCAATAAATTTAAGTCAATATAAAAATTTTCATATAGTATCACAAACCCCCAAAAAAATAAGCCACAAGATATCTATATTGTAATTAGTAAATGTCTGAATTTAAAGTGTTGCAATACATTTGTAGCAAATTCTATTGACTTACCCTGGTGGGCATTACTGGCCAGGTAGTCCGCTGCCAGGACACAAAACGATGCATAAAATGCTTCATATTGCTCATCATGGTGAAGAATGTCTTCTTTACTGCAATGTATAATAAACTCATGTTGAAAACATTCTGAATATCATATGAATATCATACTTTATCAATAAGAACTTACACAAGAACATAACAATTAAGGCAACTGCTGGAGTCCTATTGGCCCATATGTGGCAGCTCCTATTTATATCCACCAAATCTCATTCACAAATGTCTAACCAAGACTTTAAACAATCAAGGGATTCCACATCTAAGCATTATGTTACCTGGTAATTTTCCAACAAATCCACAACCCTGTTTCCAAACCGGTATTTACCCAGGGCTTTCCCAGATCTAAACTCATTCAGTTTATATCCATTATTTCAAGTTCAATTTTGTGTCAACATTTTTAATATATTAATATCCCTTTTGTTAAGCCCATTTATCTAATGTTATACTTCAATCATGTCACCCCTAACTCTCTGCCTTTCTAGAGAATGTAAATTTGTTCAAATCTTTTCATATGAAAGATTTCTAATTTGGAGAATTAACCATCATCTTATGCTAGATTGCATTCCAGTAAATTTATGTCCATTCTATAGTATGGCGACCAAAATTGAACTGCATATAACTTGCAAGTATGCTAATGATGCACTATGTTGGTATGCCATGATGGTATTGTCCGATGGCAAGTCCAATGAGCAAGACCAACCCGTGGTCATAAAAATTAATATAAAATTTATGAGTTGAAAAAAAAATGAATTTTCACATGCTGAAGGAAAGTAGAGTACAAAGGGCCGAAGCACTTACTCAGAAGAACTGCCTTTAATTACTGTATAGTACTGCACCCTTAATTACGGTATAGTGCTGCATTGTACACGAGCCTCAATGTACTACTGCACTGTACATGTGCCTCATTATTAAGAGAAATTTTTATACCTGTACAAGAAATTCAGAAATATATATATGCACATGGAATGAAAATTTATACCCTAAGTTAAACCACAACAGAAAAGGACTTTAAAGGAGAGGACTTAAAATATATGCGATAAATGTAATGAAACTCCAACTTGTGTGCGAGCCCCGGTGGTTCCCTGAAGCTGTATGCCGAGATGGTTACAATCTACTGTGTCTCATCAGTTCTACCGGGGCCCACAGCCAGAACCCGAACCCCTTTACAGAGGCGCTGGGAAGGGTGCCAATTATTTTTGTCACCTCACTGGGGAATGGAAACCTTTCTTCACATTAAGCTGTTTAAAGCAGCGGCCATCCTCCCTCCAGACACATTCATCAATTTTAACATAGTGTATTAAAAAATTGGTTTGTTCATGAGACCAAACCAATTTTTATATAAAATGTATATAAACCAATATAAAAACTATTATATATAAAAATTCTTGTATAGTTAGGCATAGGTTAGGTTAGGTGTTTGTGTTGTTGACAAATATTTTTATTTGAAGTACTGTATGTGGGTGAAGCATTTATAGAATTATGGTTCAGAGGTCATGAGCGAAGGACTTGTCCGAACACTTCTGGAACGTCATCAGTCGAGTCGTGTGTAAACCACTTTTCATTTATATAAACGGGAGGGTTGGTGACTGAATTAGTTTGGTATGAGGGAGTTTGGCGAGAGCTTGGATCTTCGTATACGAGGACGGGCTGCGGAAAGGTGATCAGAAAGTCGGCGAGGCAAAACAAACCACCGCTGGATTGTAAGACAGGAACCTCAAAACGGGCCAAATCGTAATCAAGGTAAAGGTATTGATTACATCAAGGTAAAGGTATTGATTTACATCAAGGTATTACCTCGACGTAAACGTCAAGGTAATATTGTAAAGAAAGTAGCCGGTGAAAGAAACGTCATGATTTGACTTCTCAAAAATAGAGTAAAAAGAAGCAAATGACTAGACTAGAGGAACAATAGCAGCACAGAGGTCAACACAACCAGCCAAGGTTCCCTAATGAATGGTCATGGATTCTACTCCTATGACAGGACAAGACATTTGGACAAGTATCCTTTAACCTGATGCCTCTGTTCACGTAGCAGTAAATATGTACCCTGGCATTAAGCAACTATCATGAGTTGCATCCCGGGGAAAGGCCAGTACTGGTCATGGGGGCCATCAATACACCACCACTATTGACCCTAACAACGGGGAAACACACCCACATTAACAAAGTTTAACAGTGCGGGTAATACCGTCAGTCAGGTGGCCGGTGAACTAAGCATTAAGACACTTCACCGCTTTCACAGTACTGGAATATCCACACTAATTGGACCAATACGTCATTAAGGAAATACGTAGTGAAGGAAGATGACAATTATATTTGGCCATGTCGAGCAGCTTAATATTCCAAACCCTGATTTAATAAATGCTCAAGTGATCATATATTGCACCATATTATGGCTGGTAGAATATGAGGTGTGTATGTGTGCTAGTCACTGCACACACAGGCCAAGCAGCGGGAGGCAGAGGGCCATTACAGGCCATAATTGGCGCCCCCGGCCCCCATGGAGGAGCCTCACCTCTTGACTATGGCCTTGACCAGCTCGGGCAAGTCCTGCTTGTTGAGGGAGCCGTAGGACGCCGCCAGGATGGGCTTCACCAGCTGGCTCCACTCTACTCCAGCGCTGCTCGCAGCCATGTTGTTCACTGGTGACTGTCCGTCTCCGCTGCCAGCGCCCTCTCTCCTCGCCTCCCTCCCTCACCCTGGGGGACACCACCCTGGGGGCCTCCGCTGCCAGCGCCCTCTCTCCTCGCCTCCCTCCCTCACCCTGGGGGACACCACCCTGGGGGCCTCCGCTGCCAGCGCCCTCTCTCCTCGCCTCCCTCCCTCACCCTGGGGGACACCACCCTGGGGGCCTCCGCTGCCAGCGCCCTCTCTCCTCGCCTCCCTCCCTCACCCTGGGGGACACCACCCTGGGGGCCTCCGCTGCCAGCGCCCTCTCTCCTCGCCTCCCTCCCTCACCCTGGGGGACACCACCCTGGGGGCCTCCGCTGCCAGCGCCCTCTCTCCTCGCCTCCCTCCCTCACCCTGGGGGACACCACCCTGGGGGCCTCCGCTGCCAGCGCCCTCTCTCCTCGCCTCCCTCCCTCACCCTGGGGGACACCACCCTGGGGGCCTCCGCTGCCAGCGCCCTCTCTCCTCGCCTCCCTCCCTCACCCTGGGGGACACCACCCTGGGGGCCTCCGCTGTCAGCGCCCTCTCTCCTCGCCTCCCTCTCTCACCCCGGGGGACACCACCCTGGGGGCCTCCGCTGCCAGCGCCCTCTCTCCTCGCCTCCCTCCCTCACCCTGGGGGACACCACCCTGGGGGCCTCCGCTGCCAGTGCCCTCTCTCCTCGCCTCCCTCCCTCACCCTGGGGGACACCACCCTGGGGGCCTCCGCTGCCAGCGCCATCTCTCCTCGCCTCCCTCCCTCACCCTGGGGGACACCACCCTGGGGGCCTCCGCTGCCAGCGCCATCTCTCCTCGCCTCCCTCCCTCACCCTGGGAGACACTACCCTGGGGGCCTCCGCTGCCAGCGCCCTCTCTCCCTCGCACTCCTCTCCCTCCCTCCCTCACCCTGGGGGACACCACCCTGGGGGCCTCCGCTGCCAGCGTCCTCTCTCCTCGCCTCCCTCCCTCCCTCACCCTGGGGGACACCACCCTGGGGGCCTCCGCTGCCAGTGCCCTCTCTCCTCGCCTCCCTTCCTCACCCTGGGGGACACCACCCTGGGGTCCTCCGCTGCCAGCGCCAATCATCATGGGGACAGCACCAGTCCCGTCTCTTGGGGCTTCAAGTTCAAGTATGTTTATTGAGACAAGAAAAAAATACATCGCAAAGGAATAGAGTAGCTTAGGCTATTTCTTCCCCCCCCCCCTCCCCTCTACTTCAAGTCCCTCAAGGGGCGCACAAATTCAGTGAGTACAAATACACAAATCACAATACAAGAATCCCATTTAACATTGCAGGTTAATATAGTAAGCACAGCATATAAATGTTACACTCTTGGGTCAAAATTGTTGTAGCTCCTAAGTATCCTGTCTATCATACCATTATCACACATCCAAACAATTTGATGTGGTACACTACTTATTTCCTTATTTCTATACTTATCAATAAGTTGACACTCTAATACATAATGTTCTAAGGTGAGGGCGTGCGGCATACTACATAATTTACACTCCTTGGGGCCTCCGTTCTCTCCACACCTCGGGGGACACAACCACCTCAGTGTCCTTCCGTGTGGCCTTCATCCCCCTTCACAACCCAGGGGACCCAACATCCTGGGGTTTGATCCCCTGTGTTGTGGAGGGGAGGATGAAGCAGTCTCTCTCGTAGCTTATAACCCCTCCACCTCCCAAGGACACAACCACCCTGGGGGCACGACAACCTCGGTGGACACAATGGGTGCTCTCTCATGGTCTCCGTCCCTTCCAAATCCCAGGAGACACAACCAACCAGAGGACACCCACACCACCACTATTATTATCCTGTGACACCCAGGACTATCACCACCTTCCTAGAACACTCAGGATCATCACCACCTTCCTAGAACAATCAGGATCATCACCACCAACTTGGGACACCCTACCACCAGCCCCAAGACAACTAGGACCATAACCATCACCCTAGGACTGCCTACCACTTGCTCTAAGACACCAGAACCATCACCACCACCCTGGGAAACCTCCCCGCAGCCCCAAGACACCAGGACCATCATCACCACCAACTTAAGACACCCAGTACCATCATCACCACCCGGGGGCAGTCTAACACCAGCCCCAAGACACCCAAGACCATCACCACCACCAGTCCCAAAGACACCCAGGACCATCACCACCACCAGCCCCAAGACACCCAGGACCATCACCACCACCAGCCCCAAGACACCCAGGACCATCACCACCACCAGCCCCAAGACACCCAGGACCATCACCACCACCAGCCCCAAGACACCCAGGACCATCACCACCACCAGCCCCAAGACACCCAGGACCATCACCCTGGGACAGTCCACCACCAGCCCCAAGACACCAGGACCATCACCCTGGGACAGTCCACCACCAGCCCCAAGACACCAGGACCATCACCATCACCACCGTACACCTCACCACCAGTCTGAAGTCACCCAAGACCATTACACTACGGTGGGACCCCTCACCACCAGCCCCAAGACACGTAGGAAAAAAGACCTCGATTCCTGAATTTACCAGAGGGAACACCATCTCTCAACACATGATTGAAATTACCATGCACAACACAGTCAGGGTCACCATACATGGCACATACATAGTTGGGGACTTCATGCATACAGAAGAGGAATGGCGGTTACTGTACACCACAAAACCTGGGTGGGGTTTCCACTGGCTGAGGTTTAGGTTTCACTCCTAACTTTAGGTTGAGGTTTTCACAAATCTCAACTGCCTTTTGCATGATTGAAGTACTTGAGCCCCCTTGATGAGGCTCAAGTACTGAACTCTCCTCACCCATGAGGAAAGTACAAAGTTTATATGCATTACTGTATTGCATTTACTACTTTTTACAAAGCCACTAAAAGCACACAGCATGTAGGGCAAATTTTTAAACTTATGTACAGTTCAGTGCTTGGCCCACCATTTGACTTCTTGACATTTGGATATGCAGATTGCATATAGTACACTCAGTCAAGGTTCCCAAGTTCGATTCTCAAGTGGGGGCAGAAGCAGTTGGGCAATTTCCTTCCACCTGATGCTTCCATTCATGTAGTAGTAATTATGTATCTATTAGTTATGCAACTGTTGTGGGTTGCATCCTGGGAAAGGTCAGCAGATGACCTAGAGGGGGACCACAATAACCTATGTACAAGCTTCCTGTCCCCAACAAAGGGAATTATTCAAGACACCAAAACAAGAGCAAAAAGACATAAGCTTTGACACATTCAAGATATCCAATTCAATGTATTGTATCTAATGATGGCTGATTTAATGGATTCAATAGTAAACAAAATTTATAGTTGTCAACTTTTATTTAAATTAACTAGTATCTGCTAGACCTGAACATTTACATCAACTGTTCTTTTTTTTACACAATGTACATACAGTATACCATATATACTTGAAATTTTACACATATGTATATTATATATATACCAGTATACCAAAATGTTTTCAAACAGGGGCACAAGACACAACTGTACTTAGGATGTTAGTGAACTGGTGAATTAATATATTAGAGCATCTAAATAAGTAATCTGTATATATTAAACTATATTAGTCTAATATATATTAGAATTATTATACTGTATATTAATATATATATATAGAATTAATATAATAGAGCATCTAAATCAGTATTTAACGTGCTGCCTAAATAATACTTTCCTGCATTTAAACAAGGCTAAAATATCCATTCCTATGCTGTAAAATACAAGTAAAAATACAAGTAAAACCTACTTGTAAAATACAAGTTAAATAATATAGTGAAATAATATAAAATGAACATCAGTAGTACTGTCTTTATGTACAAGATACAGGATAGAAATGTGTAATTTCCTGGCATACATTAATTAAACAAAATGTTATTCTTAGCAACCTGAAGTAGTTCAAACCAAATACTGTTCACAATAGCATTAATCACTTACAATATACAGTATACTGAACCATGTAGAATTTCAGAGTAAATTCTGTATAATAAATAATACTTTAGGACAAAAATAATAGCCTGTGTTCAGTTATAACTCTTAGGGTCAGCATGCATTTGTTTTGTAATTTGCTGCATGGTACTGACTTCATACTCATCAAGCAGTTAGAATATACCCTAAAATTTAGATAAGAACCAGATGTTTAGTACAAAGGTCCCAAAATATATCTTTTATTATCAATCTAATTTACACAAAACTAACATTTACATAGCAATTAATTTAACACTAAATAAAAATTCCTTTCAGACTGTTTTACATATACAATAGTACAAGGATTTGCCTCATGTCGCAAGAAAATAGTTCCACCTTATTGTCATGTAAGCAAGTCTAATTACGGTAGATACAATGTTTACTAGCTTTTTACAACTGAGAAGTCAAATGTTTGCTGTGTAATTATTTCTCCCTTATAAACATTTTGCTTATGTTGGAAAATTTTTATAAAATGATATATATAAAACATTATATATTCTGTTCTCCCACTGGTACTGGAAACAACACAGCAGGATGCAAAAGTTCAGCAGAACACAAATCGGGAGTGTAGTGTCATGCATTGCCAAGAGGATAAACTTCTCCCAGTGCAATGCTTCTATGGGTAATCTAGGCCACCACACACCTACAAACAGGATTTTTGTAATGCAGGAATTGCTGTATTACTTAGACTTGCTGGAACTCAAAGTTTATACTGGGAGACACCTGAGGTATGTGTGAGGTAATGACATCATCTGTCTAGCAACAATACACTTACAGAAATGCACACTCAGGAAAACGAACTGCACTCATGATATTAAAGCTGTCCATATATAATACAGTATTGTACTATGTAAGTTCAAGCTATTTAGTCGTTTCCAACAGCTGGAGAGCCAATGCATCAATCCCTAAAAGATGAAAAATATATTAGTTACTCTACTTATTATATGAAAATATACATTGTTACTTATACTTGAGTTGAATGGCAAATTGCATTCAAATGAAAAAAATAAATAAATGTTGACAAGTTGTGAGCAAAAGAACAGATAAGTAATCTTAAAGCAAGGCCCTGTGAAACGATCACAATAGACATGGGGGCTATACATCGTATACAGTATTTAGATTTTGAAATCCAGGCAAGTGTATAAACTGCATAAGTGTATTTTCTGCATAAACTGACAGAAAATTTAGTGAGTTTTTGCAAGGGATGGAAAGGTGGCAAGAGCAGTTACTTGAACAGGCAAGATATCCTATGTACTACCACTACAGGAAACTTTTCAAACAAACCTGCAGGATAGGGGGGGTAGGGAATCATTGGAGCTAAGCTAAACCCTGCCTTGAAAAAATGTCAGCTGTATATACGACACAAAAAATACTAAAAATTCTCAATTGGTATCGAAATTAATCCCAAAGTGAGGGATCAAACTACTTGTCCATCTATCTAGTCAAATCTAAAGCAAAGTACCATGCATATGAAAAATCAAGTGTTGAATGCAATAGAATACACTTTTCTGGTAGAGTTCTCAGTACTGTAGCTCTCAAGCTAAGCGTGATCGTGCTAAGTACAGTAATTATCAAAGAAGGCACCAAGCCGGGAAGACTATGTACCACCATCAAATGTGTGGGATATTCAGAGGGCGCTAAATATCACTAAGGATGCCAATATGAGAACAGGAATGCATAAGGCGAACGATATCACAGCCAAGAGTGAGGGTGTTGTAAGGACCGTGCAAGGTAGCGAAGACAGTAGCGATCTCAGCGCTCCTGGAGAGACAGGAAGCCAGTGTCAACGTACAAACTGAGGGTAGGAGTTGAGCGAAAGGCACCAGAGCTGAGGTGCAACCCAGTAAGGTGCAAAGGATCAAGATGGCGAAGAGTAGAAGCAGGAGCAGAAGAGTATGCAGGACAACCATAATCGAGTTTAGACAGTACAAGAGAGGAATGCAAAGAGAGGAGCGTGCGCCTATGCGCTCCTCAAGTAGTATGGGAAAAACTTAGAGTAGGTTAAGGGCCTTAGAGCATTCAACTTAGAGGTAAGAGATATAGGGGGACCAAGACAAACGAGTGTCAAAGATTAACCCTAAAAGCTTCACGGAATCTTTGTACACAAGGGGATGACCATAAAGCAACAAAGAGGGACGAAGAACGACACGCTCCGAGTAAAAGTCATAGCACAAGTCTTGGTTGCAGAAAACTTGAAGCCATGATTGGTGGCCCAAGATGACACAGCATCAATCACAAGTTGAAGCCGCCGTTGAAGGAGAGGCGAATCATCACCTCGACAGCAAAAAGTAAGATCGTTAACATAAAGAGCGGAGAAGATGCCAGAAGGGAGGGAGGAAAGAAGACCATTGAGGGCAACCAGAAAAATAGTAGTGCTCAGAACACTACCTTGGGGTACACCTTCGTATTGCCGAAAAGAGGCAGAGAGTGGCACCAAGCCTGACTCGAAAGGAGTGACAAGAGAGGAAGCTTTGGAGGAAGAGAGGGAGATTACCATGAAGGCCAAAAAAAACGAAGTTGGACAGAATGTGGTATCTCCAAGTTGTGTCATAAGCCTTTTCCAGGTCAAAAAGGACAGCAACAACTGAGGTCTTCGCAGAAAAAGCAGTACGAATATAGACCTCCAAGTTCACCAGGACATCAGTCGTGCTGCTGCACTTGCAAAAACCAAATTGAGAAGGAGAGAGGTGGTGATGGTATTCCAAGAACCACATCAGACGAACATTTAGCCAAGACATCAGCCAAGAAAGATGTCAGGAAAACACTGGGCAGGAAACCCATACATGGAGGTGTCTTAAATTTTAGGAACTAATGACCAGAAACTGGTCACTAGACCTAAGTATATGAGTTAACTTATCTGGGCTAGACTTAACTTTTCTTCAGTTTCTCCTTAACACCAGTATGACCAAACATAGTCATGAGAAGAGCAGTGCTGCACAAGAACAAAACATCAGCCTCCTCTAACTGCCAAATGCAAATCCCAAGGAATTTTTATTTATATTTATATATATACAGTATATATATATACGTACAAGAGTTCTTACATTCTTGTAAAACCAGCATGCATAGCATTTAAGGCAGGTCCTTAATCTTAATTTTCCCTGGAATACAACCCACCAAATCATTTAACAACCAGGTACCCATTCACTGCTGGGGTGAACAGAGGCTACAGTTAAGGACTGGCACCCAGTCAATCCTCCCCGAACAGGATACGAACCCAGGCCAAAGCGATCGTGAAGTGCCAGGCGAGTGTCTTACCACTGCGTCAATGGAAATCTTAATGGATCTTGCCTTAGGAAACATCCAAGTAGAATAACACAAAAAAGGGAAACAAAATATGACAACCAAAAGACATCCCTACCAGGGATTACTAATAATTCAAAATTATGATTCTGCTTAGGTTTTATTTCCAAAAACATAGAGTGTACTGTATTTCTATACATTATATTTCAGTTTGTGATTCAGATACTTAAACTAACAAACTTCTTAAAAAATTAACTTGTTCATTTCCATTTATGGACCAGCAAGTGTGCACTTAATGCCTCGATAATGTCAGGAAAATATTTTGTTGCTAAAACAAACAACTATATTTAAAAGTATCACAACTTATCACATGTTACCTTTTCAAAATTCTTGATTCCAAACTCTTCAAAAGTAATTATAAAAATACAGTATATACATGTATGGGAGAACCAGTGACTACAGCTGTTGCGTTCCTTGTTGAAACTGTATCTGCATCTGTTCCTTAACTTGGTCTTGCATATCCAGCGCTTTCTTCTTGTACTCTTCACTCTTCTCTTCATCTTTCTTAACACCATCTCCTTTCCGATACATCTGTTAAATAAAGAGCCCAAAATATTAATTACACAATATGTCTAAATCACTAAGGCACCAGACAAAACTATAAAAACTAGAGGCATCAGGTGCATGAAAATGTGCCCAACTGTCAGATAGTTCAAATACCAAACTTGGGTCCTAATCAGTTGCGAGCCAATTGTGCTAAACTCCAGGTTGGGTAACAACTATGCCTTATTTTTTATTATAAAACCATATGAAAGTACTGTACTGCACCTAAAGTTAAAGAATAGTTTATACAATTTTAGTTATATAAGGCTTGCTTTTTATGTTGTAAATCTGGAAAACCAATTCATGCAATTTTATAAGTACTATTGCCACTGTACCTGAGAAATGTTTGCACAAGCATACATATTGCCCAGCTGACAGGCCTTCATGGAGTAGTCAAAGGCTTTCATCATATCCTTGCTGACAGCATCCTTTACTCCTTGAATATATATTCCCGATATGTAATAGCAAGAAAAAGCATTGCTACCAGAACAAGCCTTGTCTAAAAGCTCCAAGCCCTGCAGGGAAATAAATTAGATAAGCACATAAAAGTTTGTTTATTTGAACTGTATAAACAAAGAATGCAGTAAAACATGTATGATATTACATAACAGCTGCATCAAAATCATATGCATTCCTACCTCTACTACAATCAAGACCCAAAATGATCACAATCAAAACCACTGAGAATTTCCAATATTTCCAGATATTAGATGTAGAAGTGTTACATTAGAAAGTTTACCTTGCATCACTTTACTAATTTTCTCTTATTTATCCAATATTTTTTCTGGGAGGGTTCTCCTTAGTGGCTCCCTGAGCTACCTGCTGGGTTAGCTTCAAGCCTAGAGTACCCCACCTAGCCCTGGCGAGTCACAAGTGCTTACCCCAGACTAGCACAACCTGTTCCACTCAACAGAGAGAAGGGTATCTGGGAATAGTATATCAACCCAAACCAAAAGGAAAAAACACCAGAATGATAGAGCACTCCAATAAAAGCAATTGAGCGAAAAATATTGGCAACCCTGACAAACTATGTACATATTAATTAGCCAATCCCAACTGGTAGTCAGTCATACTCCCTCACCACCCTGGAAACCCCTGGGGCCAGATTCATGAAGCAGTTATGCAAGCACTTACGAACCTGTACATCTTTTCTCAATCTTTGGCGGCTTTGTTTACAATTATTAAACAGTTAATGAGCTCCGATGCGCCAGGAGGCTGTTTATAACAATTTCAACAGTTGATTGGGAAATTTTCATGCTTGTAAACTGTTTAATAAATGTAACCAAAGCTATCAAAGATTAAGGAAAGATGTACACGTTCGTAAGTACTTGTGTATCTGCTTCGTGAATTTGGCCCCAGGGCTGCTGCCAATTGACCATCTCAAGTCAAGTCCAAGATGCAGCCTACAGTCACAGCTCCTTGTGTCCCAGTCATCCTTCCTGGCTTAAATTTTAGCTAAGTGCTGGTTATCCTGTCAGATTGTCCTGCAGGGCAATATGTTTGTGTTTGTTCCACTTTATTTTTCTTCACATGCATGATTGTTCTAGCTTCACTTTTGTGTAAACCTCAAGTCTTATTTGCCTCAACTATTTGAGCCTAGAGTTCACTTCTCTTGGTGCAACTTGTGTCACACCTGCTCTATCAGGGTTCTCTTCCCTGTGGGTCGAGGGTTCAGGTGTCTGTCCCTTGTAGGTATCTCTTGGAAGATCTTGTCCCAGATAATGTATTGGCTTTGGCTCCTCAAAGAGGCACTGCTTCATTTCCTGTCCAACCTTCTGCATAATTACTTTTAATCAAGCACTTTGGTGGTGTCCCCTGGACCTTCAGGATGCATAATGGTAAAAATTGAATGCAATTCATTCAAGTTTCAAGGACTGATTAGGAGTCTCATTTAGGGCATCTCGGTTACCACTTCAAAAGTCTTCCCTTCAGTTTGAACCTGGCTCTCTAGGCTTTTACCAGATTGATCCAAGTCATGGTTTCTCATCTTCATCTGTTGGGGCCCTGTCTCTTGACCTACCTTGACTGGTTAGTCTGGGCTTCCAACTAGTCTGCTATACCACCAGCCAGGGATTCGGCTCTTTACCAGTTAACAAGGTTTAGGTTCCTGGTCAATTGACAGACGTGCAAGTTGGCTCCATCAAGGGTCCAAATCTGACTGGATCTCATTTGAATTTCTCGGCAGAAATCCCTGTCAGCTTGTATCTGAAAAATTTCACTTGCATTCATCTAGTATTAGTGCTGCAGAAGCTTTAACCTTACCTGCATGGTTTATCCACTGGGCATGATCTAACCTTGGGCATTATACCAGTTTCTCCAGATTTTGCCACTGTCATCATCACTGGAATCATCTGGTTTGATCTCCATTTGCCTTTTGACAGCTTTTCACACTATTTTCCTCCAAGTTTTTTTTGGGTTCAGTCACATGGCAGCTTCCTCCTCCCCATGCTCTACATATTTACAGACACCTCAGTTCTGGGCTGGGACTTCACTCTTACCAAGAGGCTCAGAACTATTGGTTGGATCCACTGTAGGGTACACAGTGAGATTCACAAGTTCGCCACAGTTTGACATGCTTCTCAACTCTATCTTCTCCCAGGCTTCATGGTCCAGCTCCACTCCAACTGCTCTCCAGTGGTTTATGGCCTGAATTGTGGGGAAGGGGTCACATCAGCACCTTCCATTGAGGGCCTGGGTTCCACATATAGTTTTCTTGATTCTCAGGGTTTGACTCTCCCAACAGTTCACATGAGCAGCATGTCCAACATGCTCACTGATGGTCCCTCCTTTCTATCACTTCACTATGGACTGGACAGTCGATGACGTGTCCAGTGCTGTTCGGTTGCTGGTAGGGGGGGGGGAATCTCTTAACAGATGTGTGGAATTAGAGGTTTTCAGTTTACATGGCCCCTTTCCTGGATCATGAGGCCCTAGTGGTTGATGAATTTCACCTGGAATGGAGTCAAAGGGGGTTTCCTTTATCTCTTCTATCTAGTTGAGCAGTTTCTCCCAGCCCCTTTCAGACTGGAGATGTTGTCGGCAGGGTGGTCCTTTAGGCTCTTTGATGCCCAACTCAGCCTTGCCTGCCAACTCTTCTGGCTTGGCATCTGAACTTGTGCATTTTTCTGTGGCTCTGCTCTGAAGATGGTGCTGAAGATGTGGCTCTGCTCTGAAGAAGATGCTGTTTCAGATAATCCGTCAGAGGTTCCTCAATGGTTCTAGGCTCTCCGTCAATGTTCACATTTGGTTTACTGTCATCTGTATGGTGTTCAGGTGGTGGGTCTTATGATGTTGCATCTTCAGTTCCATTCACCTGGACTCTAGAAGACTCGAACCATGGACCCCACGTGTGTAAGGCCGAAGCTCTATCAACTTTTTGCACTTACAGCATTTGCATTTTATTTGCATCTTCAGCTTTTCTCCCAGCAGTAGCATTAATTTGCTTAGTGGTCTTTTCAACATTTGTTGTTTCTTTGCCGCCTGTCTTCAGTGTCGATTCTGGTCGTCTGGACTGTTTGTTGATTAGTATCTTAGTCACTTCTTATCAGTCGGCCTTGACAAAACCACTTTCTGTGGCCTTTCAGACGTTCTCTTGTGCCTTTTTTTCACCTCCACCCTGTTAATTCTCCTGCAGTGCCCACTTGGTCTCTGGATTGTCTTCATATTTTTACTGTCGTCTGATCATTTTTTTGTGTTCCCTTTGGTCAACAATCTTTTCTTTAAAGTGGTGTTTCTGTTGGCTCTTACTTCCTGATGTAAAGCTGGAGAGTTTCATGTTCTCCCTGGGTACTAGGGGTTTTGTTCCTTTAGGGGCAATTTTGTTGTCTACTGCCATTTCTAACCTTTTCAACTAAGAATGAGATGATGGAGTTTCAAAGGGGTTCTTTGGTTATCAAGATTGCACAGGTTAGTGCAGAACCTTCTTTATCTAGTGGCGGCAGTTCACTGTTACTTGTGTGCCAGTTGGTGTGCCTCGGGTGATTATTTGTTTGTCAATACAGTTGACAAAGTCTGTGTCCTTGACTCCTTGTTCTAAGACCCAGTTGTCTTGGGCTTGTTTGTTAAGTTTAGACAAGTCTATCCGTGGGCTTGTGATGTTTGCAAGTTTGCAGCTCTTAAAACTTTTTTTACTAACATCTTGGGTGGACATTCAGGGTCGTGGGTTTTCCCTCTCTAAATCCGTACTTTTTTCTTTGAAAATGAAAATCCCATGTCTCAACGCTAGGACATGGGAAATATGACATATGTAGTTAAATCTCTTTATAGACAGGTTCTCTTTGTTGCTGTCCTTCATATGAGAATTTGAAATTAAAACTTCACTCTGAAATCAGTCCATAGAACGTGAGAAATATTAGGGTACGTAACTCTCTTAAAATGGCTCCAATCACGTTTTTAATGACCTCGTATATTACAAGAAACAGTTGGGGCCGTTGGGAAAGTTACAGAGTATATTTAAAACAAAACTCTCGTGGTATGATTTCATTTTTACTTGGTAAAGTTTTTGTTCACTCAGGTATGGTCCTGCTAGCTTTTGAAAATGAGTTTTGAGGCTGTGGACATGAGAAATAAGCTAAATGTAGCTAATTTTTTTGCATATATGTTCATTTGGTAGTTGTCTATTATAATATAGGTTGAAATTAAAATTTCACCAAGTGAAATTAGCCAACAGGTCATGGAAATGCATCCTGGAGGCATCTCCAGTTGCAACAAATTACTCACTGCAACAAAATGAGGTTAGTCCAATATAACAACCAAACTACATACCAGTCGATTGTGTCTAATCAACTTGAATAATGAACATTCATTAACATAATGAACCCAAAAGGTGTCTGTAATGGAGCTACATAATTATTTTGTAGTGTCCTTTACAGCTGTCATCCCCGCACTACACCACACCTCAAGAGAGAGAGCAAGAGAGAACTATACCTCTCATGGAGAATAGCCAAGCTGGTCTCACCTTATGTGCAAAGAACAACATTGTCAATACTTCTTGTTCACTTCTTAAACTTCTATATAATTAACAATACTTGTACACTTATTGCGACTGGAGACATATACTTTCTTAACTTTTGTCTGCCGGTTGTGAGAAACACTACAATTTCACTAATTAAAATATTCATTAATATATCTACATACCTTTGTATATACAGTACATACCTTTGTATAATCTTTTTCTCTTGGAGCATTACTTGGTGTATTTGACACACACATAAGGCCGCCATTGAGACAAGCATCAGCATCACCAGCTGAGCATCCCTTCAAATAATAGTAATATGCCTCATCCATGTTCTGCTTGCATCCCTTACCAAGAAAATTATAATTTGCATATTTATAACAACTTTTGGCAAATGATGACTCATCACAGTTGCTTCGATAAACTTTTGCAGCCTTTTCAAAGTCCTTCTTGACACCTTCTAGGTAGTCCCCTAAAAGATGACAACCTAAAAAATATTAACATACTATTAATAATGTACAGTATATACAACAACTATCAAGTGTAATGCAATTGAACATTTTCTGGAGTTGAGAAGAGGCTTTAGTTAGGTAACCCCTCAGCCCCATGAAGGGAGAGGCCAAGTCCCTTCACCCTGGCGGGTATACTTAATGTATGGAAAACAGCTAATTCATCCTATTTGCTGTCAACTTTACTATTTATTAAAGTTACTTTATTGTTCACCTTGTCATGAATTACTGGTCACTGTCTGGCTTACTTACAAGGCACTTTTTAATAGAGTATACATTATTAATTCCATGTTTATTAAGTTTATGAATGCTTCTACTTGTTAAATTTTCCCTATTTACATTTGTTATGGCAGTTATCAATTTCACTTTACCATGTAAATAAAAGTTTACAGTTACTTCTTCCCATGTAATAATTTTGTTAAACTTTTTATGGTATTAAGTTATTTAATGTGTGTGTACATGCTGACTAACTTTTATTCATTACCAGAAAATTATAAAATCTATCTGACTGCAGACACACACTCAACATATTCTTGTCAGCATTAATATAGCAAAATAAGACAAAATCTAAATTACATATTATATATAATTCATTTGTTTTGATTTAAAGAAAAGAAGGTAGTTATTCAACTGTATAAATCTCTGGTGTGCCCCCACTTGAATTATTGTATCCAAGCATGGAGATTAAAGAAGTGTTAAACGTTAAAGCAAATTTAATGGTTCAATAACATATGTATACAGTACATAAACATGGCAAAAGTTTATGTAAGGAATAACCTTGCATTCAATCTAGTTTATGCAGGTAATTTTGTACACAAGCCAGTTCATTAACATTTTTAACCTGAGTTTATCTGAATTTACATTTTTTTTTAAATATTAAAATCTATCTAAAGTAACCCTACCTAACCTAACACAACCTAACCTAACCCAATGTAAGTAAGTAATTATCAAAGAAGGCACCAAGCCGGAGTAACCCAATGTAAACCAATCTAACCTAGAATAACCCAATCCAAATCCCTGCCTAACCACTTGAACACTACCACTGGACGGTAGTGTAACGGTCTCGCTTCATGCAGGTCAGCGTTCAATCCTCGACTGCCCAAGTGGATGGGCACCATTCCTTCTCCCTATACTAAATTCTTATCCTGATCCCTTCCAAGTGCTATATAGTCGTGATGGCTTGGCATTTTCCCCTGATAATTCCTTCCCTCCCTAATCCAAATCTTATCTAATGATATTTCAAATTTGAGCCATTAGAAAAGTATTAGTATGTGAAGCAGCTCTATACGAGTGGACTGTATCCAGATTTAGTGATGGTTGGTCAAGAGTAAATACTGTATATAAATGATAGTCCTCTGTACTACAGAAGGGTAGACATAGCCTAAGCTACTCTATCCTTTTGAGATGTATCTTATTGTCTCAATAAACATAATCATCTTTATTCAGAAGAATGTGCGTACAAAGAACAAAAGAGTAATGTACATGGATTTTGCTAAAGCTTTTGATACGGTACATACCACATGAAAGACTGGCAAGGAAATTACAGCCCCATGGAATAAATGATAAAATATTAGAATGGATAAAACAATGGTTGAGGAAAGAAAACAAAGGGTTGTGCTACATGGAAACGAATCGGAATTGAAAAATGTGGCAGGTGTGGTGCCACAAGGGTCCATTTTGGGACTTACCCTTTCTGCCATATACTGTACATCAATGACATAGATGAGAATATTACAAACCTCATCATCATATTTGCAGATGACACAAATATTTATAGTAAAGTGGGAAATGATGATGATGTTGAAGCCTTAAAAAAGAGATCTATATGAACTCCACAAATTGTCATAAGACTGGCAAATGCTTTTTTTGACAAAATGCAAGACCATGCATGTGGGGCATAGCCCACCCCATGACCACCAAATGTAGCATTACATTACAGCAGATTCATGAAGAAAACGACCTTAGTCAAAATCCACCACTCATTAGAAGTTGAACAACAGGTGGGTGCAACAGTCAGAAAATTTAACTAAACCCTTGGGATAATCAAGCGTACTTTTGACTATAAGGAAAAGAAGGTAATGGTTTAACTATAAAAATCTCTGGTGTGCCCCCACTTAGTTGGGTGAGGAAACCCACCTCTTTGGGGTTTTAAAGTACTGTACAGCTGGAAAAGATCTGCAAGGTAAATAGGGGGGGGGGACCTTCGACAAGCCGCCGGCTTCCTGTCCTCGTCGAGGTCACTAGGGTTAGTGGCCCTCAGGTAAATCAGGTAAATATGTCAAGCCTTTGTGAAGCATGCAGTGTACAAAATTATTAGTAAAATAATTACAAATTTATAATATGTTAGCAATGATATTTGTGGAGGGAAGGACGGGTGGCAAACAGCAGTCAACAAAGTATTCCTGCCTAGAGTTAACGTTCCTGCATGGGATGTATACCTCCACACAAAACTGAACATTAACAGTTATAACAATGTTAAATTTGCTGTTGAATAATGCAGGGAGGCGAGTGAAGCCCACCTACACTCATACTAGTTCTCTACACCACTTACTGTCAGGTTTCTTCTCACTGAAGCACCCAAACCTGTACTCTATACCAAGGTTTTCAATAAATTCTTTCACATCTTCTTCTTTCTTGAGATCAAATGCCATGACTGTGAGGGAGGCGGCCGTCCTCACCACAAGGCTGCCGGCGCCTTCCTCCTCCTCATCCTTACACAATTCACAAACAACACAAACATATAAGTCCGTTTTCCATTATACAACACGAATAATAATATCCTTACACTTATAATTATAACTGCTATATATCTTTTACTCCTTTGCTATATAGTATCATTGTTCGCTAAACAAATATTGGTTGGGGCAATTAATCATGGAATCTTTCATATAGAAAAACGATAGCAGCACATTGCTGTTTATACCAGTGTTTGTTAATGTACGCAGTTATTAAACGCATTTAACATTTATTTTATTGAGTGCCGTTCAAACACGGAGTTAATATTTTATAAGTGCCCACAATTTCATTTTGACTGATTTTGTTAATTTATCATACAGCCGATTCCCATTCCGTGGGCAGTAGTGGACCCCCCATGCCCATCCCGAGGGCGGTAGAGGACCCCTATCCCGTTGGCGGTAGTGGACCCCCATCCCAAGGGACGTAGTGGACCCCCATCCCCAGGGACGTAGTGGATCCCTATCCCGAGGGACGTAGTGGACCCCCATCCCAAGGGACGTAGTGGATCCCCATCCCGAGGGACGTAGTGGACCCCCATCCCGAGGGACGTAGTAGACCCCCATCCCGAGGGCCGTAGTGGACCCCCATATCCATCCCGTGAGCGGTATTGGACTCTCATACCCATCCCGTACTCACCTAGTTGTGCTTGCGGGGGTTGAGCTTCGGCTCCTTGGTCCCGCCTTTCAACTGTCAATCACCTGGTGAACAGATTCTTGAGCCTATTGGGCTCTATAAAATCTACATTTGAAACTGTGTATGAAGCTGTGCCTCCACCACATCACTGCCTAATACACTGACATGCTTAAAAGTAATTGAACTAGAGACTACTGTGAGGAGTATATCTTCGCCAGTTTCCGAGTCAAGGGTGCTGAGTCTGTACTGACTGTGGGAGCAGTCTATAGAATTCCTAACACTGATGTGTCCGAATTCAACTCTAACCTTAGAAATCTAATACTAGATAACAGACTGAACAAAAACCATCTAATTATCGCAGGGGACTTTAATACTGACCTCTGCGAGCCTGAAAACCCTACTGCTGCTAGTTTTCTCAACTGTATAAACTCCTGCTTCCTCATACCCTTAATCACTAGACCTACTAGAATCACTGATAGTACTGCCACGGCTCTTGATCACATCTGGACCAACATAATCTCTCCGCTTACTTCAGGGATAATCATCGATAGCACTATACAGACCATTACCCCACATTTCTCCTAACTAACCATTAGCAAACCACCTCTAGAGACAAGGGAGATAAGCTTTAAAATTCAAATGTTTATTCAGGTAAAGGCTGCACAATGAAACTGCTATAGGCAATTTTATAGCTGCTGCTGCTAATGTCAACTGGGAGTCCGAATTAGGTAACATAGGGGACATCAACCTAGCAGTGCAATCTTTTCTTCAACAAACTCTCAGCCTTTATAACACCCACTGTCCTATACTAACGAAACAAGTCACAACTAAAAGGCTAAACAATCCTTGGCTTACAAAGGGAATACTTAAATCCATTAATAAAAAACATGACCTTGAGAAGAAGTATAGGTTAGGAATTGTCTCCAAAGAATTTTCCAAGAATTACTCATCATTGCTATCTAAAATAATTAGAAGAGCCAAAACTAAATACTACGAAGATAAATTTACTCAAACAATGGGCAACATTAAGAAAACATGGAGCACAATTTCACAATTATTGGGATCAAAGAAGATTTTAAATAACAATCTCTCTTGCCTATTTATTGCCTGTATCCTACTTCCTCATCACAATCGACTTGAGAATAGTCCAGGACGAACCGAAGCGTCGTCGTCCCTTCACCTTCTAGTGTGTGATCTGGTCAACATACTTTAGCCACGTTATTGTGACTCATCGCCTGCATTTAAATAACAAACCAATACTCCTGTCCAATAACGATGGTCAGCTTACAGCCTCTGATACTGCTATTGAGTTCTTCTCTTCCATTGGGTTATCCCTTGCAAATGATATTCCATTTTCCAGTACTGATGTTCAGGACTATCTTACAGGTAACTATCCACAGTCTCTGTACCTAACGCCTGCAAATTCCACTGATGGAATTTGCCGCCCACTACCGCCTACTACCTGTGGGCGGTAGTGGACCACCATACCCATCCGTCGGCGGTATTGGACCCGATACCCATCCATGGGCGTTAGTGAAATCCATATCCACAAAAATAATGAAGGAATTCATACCATATGACTGAAATCCATATCCATCCGTAATGGTAGTGGACACCTAGCTTACCCAACCACAGGTGTTAGTGAACTCCATATCCATCCATGGGTATTAGCACTGTAACGTACGCTTATGTTACATTGTTGGGTTGATTAGAAACACAGTGTTTAGTGGGTTTTCATATTTATTTAGTAGTCGTGGATACATCACTGTCGTAGACGTTGAGACGGAGCTTGGAGCAGAGCAGAGAGTTGAGTGAGGCTGGAGTCGCGGAGCTCTATGCGGGAGAGGCTGGTGGCTCGATGGGGAATCGTGAGTGACTGAACTCGATGGGGAGCGAAAGCGTTGTAACTCGATGCGGTCGTAGTCTGCTGTCTACTCTGTGTGATTGATTGATGAAGATTAAGCCACCCAAAAGGTGGCATGGGCATGAATAGCCCGTAAGTGGTGGCCCTTTTGAGCCATTACCAGTATGAAGAGCTGATACTGGAGATCTGTGGAGGTGCGACTGCACCCTGCGTGACGGGAGATGTCTTCCTTGTGAATGTGTTAAGATGAAGATGAAGCCACCCAAAAGGTGGCACGGGTATGAATAGCCCGTAAGTGGTGGCCCTTTTGAGCCATCACCAGTATCAATAGATGATACTGGAGATCTGTGGAGGTGCGACTGCACCCTGCGTGACGGGAGATGTCTCCCGTCTACTCTGTGTCGAAGCTGTAGCGTCTTGGGACGGTTGGAACTTTACACACCGAGTGCTACATTCTTGAGGTTGAAGAGTTGTGGTAAGTCCAAAGCGTCTGTATTGAAGTTAACTGAATCACTTTGGAAATTGTACTGTTCGCTTCTCGATGCTTATATTATTGGACTATACCTCAGCTTCCTCCCATTGAATAGAAAGAATGTTACCAGTAATTAGGGAATTAATTCCCTAATTACGGGAAATTGCACTAATTTCGCAATTAGTGCTAATTGAGTTTGTCATTAATGTAATGAGAGGTTGGAGCGAGTATAATGTTTACTCACTACAACACCAAACCCATCCCGTGGGCGTTAGTTAACACAATACCAATCAAGTGGGTGTTAGTTAACCCCATACCCATCCCGTGGGTGTTAGTTAACCCCATACCCATCCCGTGGTTATAGGCTGGTTAGTACAGGAAGGTGGGTGGGGGCAAGTGGAAGTTACAATGGCTTTGTTCAGGTATTGATGTTGCCTGTTGACACCGGGGCTGGTGAGGAAGTTGTCTGTGTTGTCTTGCCTTGCAACACATCCTCCTGTTTAGATAGTATTTGTGTAACTATGTGCACCATCGTACATATATTGACGTAATGGACACGTAGAATTTTGTGCTATTCTCTTTATAGAGTCCGGAAAAATTAAGCTAAAACTAAACTGTCTCTGGGGTTTAGCTTCACCATTGTTGGGGAGAGGAAGTCTCGTAGGTTTATCGCCAGGTTCCCCCCCTTGCCCAACAACAGATTTTCCAAAGATGTAACCCACAACAGTTGCCTAACTCCTGGGTACCAAGGAATGGAGCGTGCCAAAATGTATCGTCCTGCTTGGGGAATCGAACCCCGGGAACCGTCAGCTGTGAGCTGACTGTGTTAATCAAGGCAACTCGTTACGGACATCGATAATTAACGGTTCAACTTACTACGGACATTAACTCTAACGATATCATTAATGAGCCAACTCGTTATAGAGATATCGATAACGGGTCAATTCGCTAGGGACATCGTTAATGAGTCAACTATACAGACCTGGCAGTAACCTCTGTCAGGTTAACTTAACCAGTCAGCTGATGATTCGTTGAAGAGGGCTTCTATTACAAGCTTCCCCTCACCTTGGCCAAACTGACCAACATCTGGTAGTTTACCCGTCGACTGGCTAGACTGACCCAGTACTGTAGTCTAGATGGGATGCACCAGGTGTTTATAGGCCTCGTAAAGATCCAAATGCAGAAGACTGGCAAATGTTCTATAATGTTATAAAGTACAATATCTTACATGTAAGATATAAAATACAAGTCATTACTACCATATCAACAACATGACCTTGCAGCAGATTGATAAAAAAATGAAGTAATGGGTCAACTAGTCAGTTTTCCATAAAAAAATGGGGGCCTTTGACAAGCTGCTGTTGTTGTCTTTTCTCTTCCTGTCTCCGTTGAAACAGAGATAGCGCCCCTCAGGTAAATTCAGGAAAGCTTCTTAGCAGGGTCGAGTGGGTGTGAAAAAGGGCAACCTAACCTCAGAAATAATGAAATTAACTTAATTTGAAGTAAAAATAGTTATTGAGCTGTAAAAATATCGTTTTGGCTTCCCATTTTTTCATAAATGCTTGTGTCAGTTTCGAATTTGAGAATATAGTTTATGTAGTCATCTATCGTTGATGTATATTATAAAATTTAAATGGCTCTAAAATGGAACCTTGCTGGACAATATGCATAACATTTATCCAGTCAGATATACACCTGAAGGGCCACCATCTATCAGGTGGCTACTACACGAGATGAACCGGTGGCTTGTCGAAGGTGTCCCCCATTTTTCCTAATAAATTTTCCATATGGATTTTGAACTCAATAATGTTTTGGCATATATAACTTCTCGGAAAGGCGGTTCCATGGGTTTAAAAACACAAATTTTGCTACAATATACCTATTAATAATCTTTAAATTTTGCTACAATGTACCTATTATTATTCTTCAAATTTTGCTACAATATGTACCTACTAATAATTATCTGTTAGATTAAGGACTTGCCCGAAACACTATGCGTATTAATGGCTTTGCAAGAATGCAAAATGTTGACCAGACCACACACTAGAAGGTGAAGGGACGACGACGTTTCGGTCCGTCCTGGACCATTCTCAAGTCGATTGTGTATGAATGCAAAATTCTTGCAAAGGTCAGTAATTCGGCCTTAGAGGGGGACCTCGATAAAAGCCTAACGTGTATGAATACACTCTGGCTTCCTGTCCCCTGACACAATGAATTATTGTTATTAGTATAGTCAGAGAACATATCTAATGAACTCACAAATGATGTATAATGAAATAACAAACTCTGCTTACAGACAACACTCAGCCCCTCCCTGTTTAAAACCCTAAACATGCAAAGCTCAACGCCCTAAGCCATATTAATGCTCTCTCCACAGCATTCTCTCTCTCAAATCATAATCACTGATGGTTCCCTACACCGCCCCACGGGTGCAGCTGGAAGTGCAGTTGTCCCTGCACAACTGTAGGGTCATAAGCTTGGGTGATGGCTTATATTTTGAGTGGGGAGTCCGTATAAACAACTGGGCCTCTACCCTTCAGACCGAACTATTTGCCTTGCTCCTTGCACTGAAATGTGTACAAGTCTCCAAACTTGATACACGTTTTGTAAGTGACTCTTTATCATCCTTAAATGCTCTCAACTCTTTAAGAACTGCAACAGGCTCGTGTCCGAAGCTAGACACAAATACCACAAAATTATTAATGATGGTAACAGAGTCCATTTCATGTGGTCTCCATCTCATGTTGGCCTCCAAATGCATGATAGAGTTGACGAATTAGCCAAAAAATCTGCCTTTAAAGGAGGCGTTGAGTATAATCTTGGATTGTCAATGAGCAATCTGAGAGCAGCAGTACACCAAGAACTTCAACAAAATCTTGTAGATCTGAGGCAAAGTGAAATCGACACCAGTAATTCCATCTATCATCATACTATCATGCAAGAGGAGCCACACATCTACGGTTCATCCAATAAAATCAGCAGACTTCTAGATGCTACTACTGCTCGGCTTAGACTCGGTTACAAGTATCTCTGGGAATTTTCATTATCTGCTGATGTAGACCTGACCAAATGTAAACTGTGTCAACAAAATTATTCGCACACCCTCCGTCACTATGTGATGGAGTGCGAAAAGATACGTGAATTTAGAGACAATTCTATAACCAATGTTCCAGCAATGTGTAAATATTTCATTCAAAATGATCTGCTACCAGAAATTTTAGCCAAATATCCTCAGTTTGCAAACTGTAGGTAGTAACTAAGTAATTGTAACCTATCCACCGCTGCCCACTGGATGGGGGGCGGTGTGCAGGACAAACATATCAATTGTGACACTAGCTCTCCACATGTCAGTTGTTTAATTTAGAAACTGTACTTGAGGTCGATCTCGAACCCATTGTTGATGTGACGGCTTATACTGAATTTTGTAACTAGCTCATCAAGATTGTAACTTGCTTAGCTAAATGAATTGTGGGGTTCAGCCCCTGAGCCCATTATGTGCCTCTGTAACCCTTTCCACTACCGCCCACAAGACGGGTATGGGGTGCATAATAAATGAACTAAACTAAACACTCCACACATTCTCTTGTGCCATTTACATTTACAAAACCCTGTTCTTAAATGCAAACCCTCTTCTGAAACTCTTCCTGGACAGATGTAATAGAACCCATAATCACCACACCAGAATAAATGTCTTTTTGTTATCCCCAAAGTCAAACTTAATCTGTGTAAACACTCTATGCAAATAAAGGCACCTCCTCTATGGAACTCGCACCCTAACGAATTGAAAAGCTGTCCAACTTTTGGCTTATTCAAAAATAAAACCAAAACGTACCTAATTTAATTTTCATAGTTTCCTACCAAGTGCTTTAAACTTGCACTGTATCTTGTGCTACCTACTCCCACACTATATGTGCCTAAGCCATGTACCTTAACAATTGTAATCACTGCTATCATCTTATATCATTGTTGTTATATTGAACACATATTTTACTGCATTGTACCTTGAAATAATCTTCAAATTATGCTACAATGTACCTGTTGATAACCCTCAAATTTTACTTTAATGTACCTACTAATCTTTGTTCTGTTCAAATTTTCTTACAATGTACCCGTTAACATTTTTTAATTTAGCTAGAAATTACCTACTTAAAATTATGTTAGATTAAGGACCTGCCCGAAACGCTATGCATGCTAGTGGCTTTATAAGAATGTAATAACATCAATGCTATATACTCTCATAAACCCAATATATTTTCTTGTTTATAAATAAATAAATAAATGAATGAAGTTGTCAGTCAGTGTAGCTTCCTTATATCAAAAAAATCAAAATCAAAATCAAAATGTTTATTTAGGTAAGGTACATACATAAAAGAGATTTTACAAAGAGTGATGGATTTATAGTTAGGGCTAGTACATACAATGCCTAAAGCCACTATTACGCAAAGCGTTTCGGGCATAAAAAACTTAAATGACTAAAGCTTAATACTAATTGAGCATAAAGAGTAAAATGAAAACATGGAATGAAAACATAGCTGAAAAAGCAGCACAAATACAATTTTGTCGACAAACAGCGCTCTTTAAAAAAAACAGACATTGGATGACATTAGAGGGGTAAGGTAGGTTACAGGGAATTTATTAGGTATAGCTTCGTTTTTATTTTAAACTGGTTGAGAGAGGTACAGTCTTTAACATGGTTGGGAAGGTCATTCCACAATCTGGGTCCCTTGATTTGTAGAGCATTTCTAGTTTGATTAAGTCGTACTCTAGGAATATCAAAACTGTATTTATATCTGGTGTGGTGCTCATGGGTTCTGTTACAACCTTCTATGAAGCTTTTGAGGTCAGGATTGGCATTACAGTTTAGCGTTATATATATGTATAATACACATGAGAGAATGTGCAGTGACTTAATGTCTAACATATTCAGAGATTTGAGTAGGGGTACCGAGTGATGTCTGGGGTCAGAGTTGGATATTGTCCTAATTGCAGCTTTGTGTTGAGTAATTAGAGGACGTAAATGATTTTGGGTAGTAGAACCCCAAGCACAAATACCATAGTTGAGATATGGATAGACGAGGGAGTAATAGAGAGTCACCAGGGCAGGGCAGGGTACATAATATGTACATAAACCCCCAATAACAAAACATTATAAATATTATCTATATACACAAACATTTAGTGGTGTTGGACGCGACATTGACGTTAAGGAAGAAGAGTAGCCGAGTAAATAGGCCTGTAAGATAGGCCTAATACGAGGAGTGGTAGGAGTTTGTGAAGGATAGAAGTTTGTGAAGTTTTCCCCCTGCCCGAAACGCTGCGCGTACTAGTGGCTTTACAAGATTGTAATTACTATCCTATGTATCCTCACAATCTCAATGTACCTTCTTGTATATATATAAATAAAATAAAATAAAATAAAATAAATAAATAAAGTAGGTGGGTGAGCGGAGGCGCGGCTGACGACATTCACTCCTTGTCTCCCGTGCAGCATTGTGGGTAGTCAAACCCTCTGTGAGCTTCTGAGTGGAGCCACTCGACTCGTGTGTGTGTGAAAAGCTGTGTTATTCTGCCAAAAATCTTGTGTTGAACGGCAAATGCGTGTGCAGTGTTGAATTATTGCAAGGGACGTGATGGTTACAGTATGTCTTATGAGCGGAGTGTGCGGCCGTGGTTCCCGAGGCAGTGTTGTTCTTACGTGACTGATTCACCCCACTCCCTCTATACTTACCATGACACACTCGCCTCCTCTCTCTCTCTCTTTCTCTATCTCCTCCGTCATCTCTCGCAGTAGACACGCGCACACATGTCATCGCAACACTGCCTGACACACCTGACACACTTTACCGTGTATGTGGGCGTTGTTATGTTGGGTGTTGGTGGTGGTGACGCAGTGGGGGGAGCATTGCCCTCTGCTACCCTGATTACCTTCCCTGCTTCACCTGTCTTCCCCCGTCTGTCCTGCCTCACTTGGTTTTTCCCCGTCTGACCTTTCCCGCCTGCCCTGCCTCACCTGTCTTCTGCCCTGTCTTCCCCCGCCTGTCCTGCCTCACCTGTCTTCCCCCTGCCTGTCCTGTCTCCTCTGCCGTGTCTTGCCTCACCTGTCCTTCCCTGCCCTGTCTTGCCTCACCTGTCCTTCCCTGCCCTGTCTTGCCTCACCTGTCCTTCCCTGCCCTGTCTTGCCTCACCTGTCCTTCCCTGCCCTGTCTTGCCTCACCTGTCCTTCCCTGCCCTGTCTTGCCTCACCTGTCCTTCCCTGCCCTGTCTTGCCTCACCTGTCCTTCCCTGCCCTGTCTTGCCTCACCTGTCCTTCCCTGCCCTGTCTTGCCTCACCTGTCCTTCCCTGCCCTGTCTTGCCTCACCTGTCCTTCCCTGCCCTGTCTTGCCTCACCTGTCCTTCCCTGCCCTGTCTTGCCTCACCTGTCCTTCCCTGCCCTGTCTTGCCTCACCTGTCCTTCCCTGCCCTGTCTTGCCTCACCTGTCCTTCCCTGCCCTGTCTTGCCTCACCTGTCCTTCCCTGCCCTGTCTTGCCTCACCTGTCCTTCCCTGCCCTGTCTTGCCTCACCTGTCCTTCCCTGCCCTGTCTTGCCTCACCTGTCCTTCCCTGCCCTGTCTTGCCTCACCTGTCCTTCCCTGCCCTGTCTTGCCTCACCTGTCCTTCCCTGCCCTGTCTTGCCTCACCTGTCCTTCCCTGCCCTGTCTTGCCTCAACTGTCCTTCCCTGCCCTGCCTCAACTGTCCTCCCTCGCCTGTCCTGCCTCAACTGTCCACCCTCGCCTGTCCTCTGCCCTGCCTCAACTGTCCTCCCCCTGCCCTGCCTCGCCTGTCCTCCCCTGCTCTGCCTCGCCTGTCCTCCCCTGCCCTGCCTCGCCTGTCCTCCCCTGCCCTGCCTCGCCTGTCCTCCCCTGCCCTGCCTCGCCTGTCCTCCCCTGCCCTGCCTCGCCTGTCCTCCCCTGCCTCGCCTGTCCTCCCCTGCCTCGCCTGTCCTCCCCTGTCTCGCCTGTCCTCGCCTGTCCTCCCCTGTCCTCGCCTGTCCTCCCCTGCCTCGCCTGTCCTCGCCTGTCCTCCCCTGCCTCGCCGGGCGTCGCCTGTCCTCCCCTGCCTCGCCTGTCCTCCCCTGCCTCGCCTGTCCTCGCCTGTCCTCGCCTGTCCTCGCCTGTCCTCCCCTGCCTCGCCTGTCCTCGCCTGTCCTCCCCTGCCTCGCCTGTCCTCCCCTGCCTCGCCTGTCCTCGCCTGTCCTCCCCTGCCTCGCCTGTCCTCGCCTGTCCTCCCCTGCCTCGCCTGTCCTCACCTGCCTCGCCTGTCCTCGCCTGTCCTCCCCTGCCTGCCTGTCCTCGCCTGTCCTCCCCTGCCTCGCCTGTCCTCGCCTGTCCTCCCCTGCCTCGCCTGTCCTCGCCTGTCCTCCCCTGCCTCGCCTGTCCTCCCCTGCCTCGCCTGTCCTCGCCTGTCCTCGCCTGTCCTCCCCTGCCTCGCCTGTCCTCCCCTGCCTCGCCTGTCCTCGCCTGTCCTCCCCTGCCTCGCCTGTCCTCGCCTGTCCTCCCCTGCCTCGCCTGTCCTCGCCTGTCCTCCCCTGCCTCGCCTGTCCTCGCCTGTCCTCCCCTGCCTCGCCTGTCCTCGCCTGTCCTCCCCTGTCCTCCCCTGCCTCCCCTGTCCTCCCCTGCCTCGCCTGTCCTCCCCTGCCTCGCCTGTCCTCCCCTGCCTCCCCTGTCCTCCCCTGCCTCCCCTGTCCTCCCCTGCCTCCCCTGTCCTCCCCTGTCCTCCCCTGCCTCCCCTGTCCTCCCCTGCCTCCCCTGTCCTCCCCTGCCTTGCCTCGCCTGTCCTCAACTGGCCCTCTCCTGCCCTGCCTCAACTGGCCCTCTCCTGCCCTGCCCTAACTCACCACCTGTACATTGTGCACACACGGTGCAGTATATCTTAGTTATGGTTGATAATACACCAATCAGTGATGGAACATCAGAGTTCTTGGCCTGTCACTGCACCACCTGCACCATTTACATAAGCTCATGGTGCTGTTCTATTTAGGTGCAAGCTTACACAAGATTATAATCTAAATAACATACTTTGTATTCATCCTAGAATTAACAAACGTATAATTTTGTGATGAACCATTCCATTTCCAACAACAGTAATTTGTATATTTAAATATACAAATTTATATACTATTCAGTATATAACGGTACGTATATACTAACCAAACCTAACTTGCCCAGAGAATTATGGATAACTGAAATGAATAAATCAGAAGTTCACATAGTGGTTAGTAAGCGGGGGTCAGTATTTCAGGACTTGAAATAAAATTCTGAGCCATAAAAAATGGTTAGACCCCCCCTCTTTCCTTAACGTAATTTTCCTTTATAAATTTCACTCGTGTTTTTCAAGAAAGCTGTTAGCATGTTACCAGGAAACTGTGTGAAGCTATAACTTAAACAGAGGGAGTTTACATATTTTGTTTTTCAATAAATGTATAATATTATGAGGTGTGAGCCAGGCCATTAAAAAGAAATAATTTGGAGAACTAGTGGACTTGGTGCCAAGCCAAAAGCACCCTCTGCATTTCTGCCCCACCTTGGATTCGAACCCGGGATTCTCGATTGCAAGTTGAGAAGAAATGGTGCTAGAGCTTTGCAAACCTTTACATTTTTGGTGAACATCTTGGGCTGTTGTGGATAATGCCAAGTTTGACTTGGTCACATGCTAAATTGATATTGGATATATTGTATAATCCAAAATAGAAATACAGTAACTTACTTGAGATCATAACCAGCAGTAAAGCTATTACCTAACCAAATATACTTTTTTCAAGCTAGAAATATTTAGTAGTAAAGTTTCATCTTCCAAGGGTACTGTATCTTTTGCGCATATCTAAAACATTCAGACTGTTCTTATAGGCTGTCTCATAATTCTTAACCTTACCTGCTTATCTGTTTAGCTGTTATTGGTTTTGGAGATAAATGCCCCTATAGCCCAGTCTCTGACCAGGGCTCCTGGTTGGTGGTTTAGTGAATCAGGCTGCTGGGTGCAGCTGCTTGCAGCCTGATATATGAATTACAGCCTGGTTGACCCATTATCCTTTGGAGGTGTTTATCGAGTTCTCTCGAAGACTGTGAGACGTCGGCCAGTTATGTTGCTTTTGTATAGAGGGAGAGATTTTTTTGTTTATTTATATATACTGTACAAGAGTTCTTAAATTCTTGTAAAGCCACTAGCACGCATAGCATTTCAGTTTAATCCTTAATCCACATTTTCCCCGGAATATGACCTGCCATATCGTTTAACAACCCATTCACTGCAGGGTGAACAGACTACAGTTAAGGATTGGCGACCAGTCATTCCTGCCTGGCCTGGATTCAAACCCAGGGCAAAGCGTGGGCGAGTGCCTTACCACTGTGCCACGGGGACTATAATGTTGAAAATAGAAAATAGAGGCCTTGATATTGATAGAATTCTCTCTCAGCGTACCTATTGCCCCTCTGCTTTTCAAAAGGGTTATTCTGCACATCCTGCTTTGCCTCCTTATCTCATGTGATGTTACTATATTTCCATGTGCAGATTTGGAACCATTTCCCTGTAATATTTTTCAAGTGCAAATTATTACAGTATACATCTCTCACTTGGTATCTAGAGAATACAGATTTGAAATTGTTAAGTGGCTCCAATAATTTAGATGTGTTATTGAGGGGGATTCAGGCAATAAAAAGGCCCTTTCGTGTTCTCCAGGTCAGCAATTTCTCCAGTTTTCAATGGGGCTGTTAGTATGCAACAATATTCCACCTTAGAGAGCACTAGTGTCTTAAAAAGTATCATCAGTAGGATGGCTTTTTCTTTCAATAGTGTGGCTTGACTGTGTTTTATACGTGGTTTCTGTTTTGATATTTGGTTTTTTCCCATAGTGCAGTAGCTGGAATTGATCAATATTAAACATCATGTTATTTTCTGTGGCCCAATGAAAAATCTGATTAACATCAAATTGGAGGTTTGCCGTGTCTTATGTTATCTACGCTCGTGAAAATCATAGTATACAGTACTATAGTTTGTACCCTTGTCTGATATAAGGATGGGAAAAAGTACCCGAGCAAGCACAACACAGTACAGTACTTTGGGGAATGAGCATTTTTTTGGTGGATCTAGATTTTACTTTGTTGACTACTGGGTGAGGGCATTTGTATGTAACTATTCATTTAGCCTGTTAACAAGATGGTGTTTGGGGCAGGGTTTGTGATGCTTTTTAAACAGCATTGTATTTTCATAAGTGGGCCTTTAAACGAGTAATGATTTGCATTTGGTGATTTATATCCAATGACATTCATCAAATGTAGAATTCTTGGAAAATGTTTTGTTTTAATATTGTTTAAATTTCAAGTTTGACAACATTACACTTGGCTAGTGATAGGTATGTTTTGTGTATGGACATCATACTCTAGATGCATATATCAACAATTAAGATATATATATATTAAGATATACTGTATATATATATTATTTAGTTTTACAGTATATTTATTATTTTTGTTAGTACTGTACAGTACAGTATATACTGTGTTGGTCTAACCGTGGGGTAAAGGTTATCATAAAATTTGCTACATTCACATAATCCATTCCTACTTTAGCATTTGTGGTGATAAATGTTTGCTTGTTCATTAGATACTGTACAGTGCTATCTAAGTCCTCTTCTTGACTAATTTCTGAGCAGATCATTGTACTGTATAATCTTTCATTATGTGGCATTTATCTACATTGAATTCCATCTAATATGTTTTGCTCGTTGTTTTCCAAGTCTCTATTTAATACTACTGTAATATGTTTTACAATCTTTGGAATTTATTCTTCTAAAAAAAATTGTATTTGCAACAATCATACAATAGCTCAGAAACATTATTGGGGCGAATACTTTACTGATCTTTGTGGGGTTCCCACTTGACTATTGTGGGGCTTCCACTAGGATACTGTACACAGGAATAGGGGGTAGCCTACACAAGTTTTTAGGTAGTCTGGCAGAACCACTGAAAACTTTACAAATATTTCATATAATATATTTAAAATATTTCAAATAAACAAAAGATGGGGGCACAATGAGTAGCCTATGCTCTTTCTTTTGTAACCATAAAGGGGTTCAGGAATTCATACACTCTCTCTCGCTCTCTCACTGTTTTTCTTTTCTCATTCATTAACTCGTTGGAAAAAAAAGTGGAATGGAAAAGATTTATACTGGATCTTTAATTTTCTTAAGCATAAAAAACAGTTGGCTATTACGATCTGTCACTGAATAGTACTAGTACACTTTGTAGTGTTAGTAGACGAGTGGAGGTGCAAAGACATGCCATGAGTGGAGAACAGTAGTGACGAGAGATTGAGCATGGCAGAGGCAGGTGGTGGGGAAGGAGGCTCTGGCCCTAGCCTGGGTTGCTCCTCCACCCATATGGATATCCTGACAGCTCAAGTGCTGCTCAAGAAAGGTAAACGTTATGCAGCAAAATACCTTCGGGATGAATGCTTAAGAAACTTGTCGCCCAAGGATTCGCTGATACCGCGTACACAGGTAAGTGCACAATTTATCAATGTAAAATTTGTTTATGGTAGGATAATACTGCCAGTCATAGGCCTAATTGAGAAACTCTTTCATTATTTCTTCTCTATTTATATTTCTAATTTATATATTTATATTTATTTAATATATTTACACTATTGAGTCTCTTCTTCACCTTCAGTTAAATGTTGGTGATTGCCACTGGCACATCGTTTGGTTGGAAATTTAGTCTCTGATCCCCCATTTATTAAGTTTTTGTTAGTTTCATCTGATTTTTAAGGATTTCACAGTGTACATTATCCAGTATTTCCTAACACAGTACTGTTATCGACATTCTTAGATAATAATTGCCAGAAATGCTGTGCATACCAGTGGCTTTAGAAAGGTTCCTACAAAAAGTGCTGGACCATCTGTGTTGCAGTGAATGTGGGCCTGCGGGCCACTCCAAGCAAAGGCTGTTGGGTCAAGTTATCATAAGTTGAGCCTGGCCTCAGGCCAGGTTCTGGGAGTAGAAATCCCTGAACCCTCTCCATGTACACTCTAGGTGATCTGTACATCCAGGCAGTTAGATGGGAGCCGGTCGGCCGAGCGGACAGCACGCTGGACTTGTGATCCTGTGGTCCCGGGGTCGATCCCGGGCGCCGGCGAGAAACAATGGGCAGAGTTTCTTTCACCCTATGCCCCTGTTACCTAGCAGTAAAATAGGTACCTGGGTGTTAGTCAGCTGTCACGGGCTGCTTCCTGGGGGGTGGAGGCCTGGTCGAGGACCGGGCCGCGGGGACACTAAAAGCCCCGAAATCATCTCAAGATAACCTCTCAAGATGTTGCTGGTCACAGCTGATACATGGATTACAGCCCGATTGATCAGGTATCCTTTGAAGGTGTTTATCAAGGTTCCTAAATTTGAACACTGAGAGAGGTGAGCTAGTAATGTCCCTTATGTATATAGAGGGAGAGTCTCTAACCACTGCACTGTGCAAAGCATCTGAAGGTGCTCTGAGGGTTGTGATTTTTTTTATTTGGGCCATATTTTAAGGTTTTTATCGTTCTGTGTGATATGAAATGAAAATGATTGAGTTTGGTAAACATTTTGACATTAACATTAGCTGAACATTTATAAAGACAACAAAAATATGTCCTTAACAAATGCGCCATGAAATTTTTGCCAAAAACAGGTGCGCAGTTCAGGGATTAAAAGTCCTGGGCTCTTAGTGTTCAAATTCTCTATTAGCATACCCATTGCACCTCTGCTTTTCAACAGAGGTATTTTGCACAAGAGTGCAGTGCCAATTTTATAGGTGCCAATACATTGGTGGGCCTACCTTGTGTTATCTTGTGATAATTTCGGGACTCGGCGTCCCCTCAACTAGGCAGTTGGACATGGCTGCCCATTGAGTGATGTATGAATCACAGCCTGGTTGATCAGTATCCTTTGGAGGTGTTTTATCAAGTTCTATCATGAACACTGAGGGGGGCGGCTAGTTATGCTCCTTATGTGTAGTGGTTCTAACAGTAAAAGATCTCTGCACGCTCTCCAGGTCAGCAATTTCTCCAGCTTTGAAAGGGCTGTCATTGTGCAACAGTATTCCACTTTAGAGAGCACTAGCATCTTGAAAAGTATCGTCGTTGGTATAGTATCTCTAATTTGAAAGGTTTTTGTTATCCAACCTGTCATTTACATATTACAATGGGGCCTCGATTTACGATGGTAATCCGTTCCCAGAGACGTATCATAAGTCGAAATATCGTAAGTCGAAACGATTTTTCCCATAAGAAATAAAGGAATTGAATTAATCCGTTCCACACCCCCCAAAAAATTAACTTAAAAATATATTTTACTGAATACAATTTTTTTCTCTAACTACAATACAGTACATATGTTTATCTTACCTTTATTGAGGACTCTTGATGGCATATGGAAGATGGTGAGGAGGGGGAGGAGAGAGGTTACTGTTTGGAAGGGTAGTCCCCTTCCATTATAACATCAGGCAGTGAAGATTTCTCTGGGGTACACTCTTACATTTAGCCTGCATACCACTAGGACCTGCTTGTTTATCTCGCTAAAAATGTGTCTAGTGACACTTGTTTTTCCCTTCGTTTTAATATTTGTCTATAGTGATGCATCACAGTGTCATAGAAAAGGTTAAAGCAACGGCCTACTGCAGCTGGATTTGGGTGAGTCGTTTCAGCAAAAGTTTGCAGTTCTTCCCAATGCTGCACACATTTTCTTAATTTTTGAGGAAGAGACATTCTGTACTGCCTCCTCCTCCCCTGAAAAAATTTCATGGGCTGCCTCTTGTTGCTGCTCTTTTTGAGGAGGAGCTTGGAGTTTTTCGGTGGTCAGTTATTTGCCATGTTTCTCCTTCAACTCCTCATTATCAGCACTATTCAACTCCAAGCCCAGTTACTGGCCCAGAGAAACAATTTCCTCAACAAGAGGCACTTTAAGTTCAGGCTCAGTCTCATTCTGCAACACATTCAGGCCACAATTTTCTCCTGCCAGAGATCATGGTTCTTAGTCACTTCTTGCCAGGCTTTGTCTACGAGTTATAAATACTACAAATGGTAAAATGTTTTTTCCAGAACTCTTTGAGGGAGAGGTTTGTGGCATCCTCACTTCGACACATGCCCTTTGCATGCGCCCTTTCATAAAGTTTATTAAAATTGGCAATGATTTTCTGGTCCATAGACTGAAGTAGAGGAGTGGTGTTGGGAGGAAGGAACTTTACTGTAACAAAACTAAATTCCTCCATCAGTGAATCCTCCAAGCCTGGAGGATGGGCAGGAGCATTGTCGAGGAGAAGCAGGGCTTTGAGTGGCAAACTGTTCTGCAGATATTTTTTGATTGCAGGGCACACCACCTCATTCACCCACTCGGTAAAAAATTGCCTAGTCACCCCATGCCTTAGCCCTCCACATCACACACATTTTGTTTTTCTGCACATTATATTTTTTTAAAACTCTTGGATTTCCGGAAGGATACACAAGCAAGGGTTTAATTTTCAAATCACCACTCGCATTACCACACAGCACAAGAGTAAACCTATTTTTCATAGGCTTGTATCCGGGCAATGAATTCTCCTCTTGGGTAATATATGTCCTCTTAGGCAATATTTTCCAGAATACATAGCCCTGTCTTGTCACAATTAAACACTTGTTGTGGTAGGTATGCCTCACTGTGCACAAAATCTTTCAATTCCCCAATAAATCTTTCAGCCGCTGGTTTGTCTGAGCTGGCATCCTCCCATCCTCCTGGCATATATAATAATCAGTTTTATGTTCAAAAAGCAAAAAATCGCCCCCCAAAAAAATTCTTATAAGCGTGATCATCACTAAGCTGGTGGCTCTAGTAAACTGAGGCAGGTCGGCCCACACGACCGGGAACCATGCGCTTGGTCGACCTGAACATGTATCAACGAAAATTGTTAGTCGACGACACAATCGTAGTAGTTGCATTTTCCGATCAAATTTATATCGTAGCTCAAAATTATCGTAAGTCAGGGCAATCGTTAGGTGAGGTGCCACCGTAACGAGTTTCGAGCTCGTTTGAGCGAATCCCTTTTCCGTGCAATTTGTCTGCTGTACCTGTATTTAAATTTTTATATACAGTATTTTTAAAGTTATCAGGCTGAATTGTACTGGAATGAATGTGGAAACATAATACCCAATGCACGTTGGAAATATTAGAAAATATTGGAGGGGTGACAGGTAAACTTCTAACTTGGATGAAAAATTTTCTGACATTGAAAAATGAGGGCAGTAATCGGAGGCAATGTATCGGACTGGAGAAATGTCACAAGTGGAGTAACACAGGGTTCAGTTCTTGCACCAGTGATATTTATTGTCTACATATTAATGATCTACCAGTTGGTATACAGAATTATATGAACATGTTTGCTGATGATGCTAGGATAATAGGAAGGATAAGAAACTTAGATGATTGTCATGCCCTTCAACAATACCTGGACAAAATAAGTATATGGAGCACCACTTGGCAAATGGAATTTAATGTGAATAAATGCCATGTGGAATAGAACAAATAGACCCCACACAACCTATATATTATGAGAGAAATCTTTACTATCTATCACCTGAAAACTATCACCTGAAGACCACATGAAGAATGTTGTGCGAGGAGCCTACGCCACGCTTCTAACTTCAGAATTGCTTTTAAATATATGGATGGCGAAATACTAAAGAAATTGTTCACGACTTTTGTTAGGCCAAAGTTAGAATATGCAGTTCTGCTGACTGTTGTTGACAACTACTGAGTTGAGTCCTGGCAATATTTAGTTGATGAATGCGGGCACCACTTGTGACCTCGTGCGTCCAACTGCATCCACACGTGGACTAAAAAGAGAAACCTGGCACTAGAACTTTAGAAGCTCAAAGGGCAATTGAAAAGAAGTGTGCAGGAATTACTATACAAAGCTACAAGAAAATTGTCTCCAATTATCAACAGTTTTTTAATAGTTTTGTTAACAGTTTGCAGCACCGTATGTTTACAACAACATCCATGAAAGGCTCTCAAATTTCTGAACTTCAAAGTACTCTGTGATATAAATCACCGCTAAATGAAATCTGTTCTTGAAAATTACTACTGGCCTGATGAAATACCACCTAATTACAGAGAAGCTGAAATATCTCTCTAAGAGGTTTAAGCTTTCTTCTTACTCTGCACTAAATGCCTTTAAGAGACTACAGTATGTGGAGGGTTATGGATGCTGCATCCTCAAAGATTTACACCCATTACTGAACTGTTTACAAGTTATTCCTATTAGTACTGCTGAGTGTGAGAAGGGATTCAATCACATGAACTTGATAATAATACTACATTCAAGAATTCTCATAAATCATGTATCAGCACTTACATTTGTTAAACTAAAAGGACCTCCTCTAGTTCAGTGGAATCCTGAGCCATATGTCGCATCATGGTTGCGGTACCACAAATCTGCAGAGGACACCAGGACGAGTTGCTTCAAACCCCAGAAAACATCCCACACCTAACCCTT